ATACTCTAGCACTTATTTGGCGAGGGCGTTAACGGCCAGTTTTCAGGATTTTTGAGTCTGGATTGTTAATAAGATTCCTTTAAAATTTTATATATGCAGAACGAGCAAAAACTGAAAAATAAAGAAAGTTTACTACAGTTAGCAGTTAGTTACAAATTATTGGGGAATAAGTTTATAGAACTGTAGCTACTTCAAAAAATGCTCTTTTGCTATTGTGTTATTTCTGCTGAAGATTGACAAGGGTCTCAGAACACACAAAGAAAACACACATAAGTGTTGTCTTCTTATATCTGCCATATCAATCGCTGAATCGAAGAAGCGTTGTCAGAACTGCTTTTGGTTTTGGCAGTTTTCCTTATCAATTTGCTGCAAATCTCATAGAACCGTTTGAGCAGCATTGTTTACCTCTATCCCAAAACAGTCAAATACACACATGTGTATCATTAAATCTGCATATGTGTATGTGTGTGAGTGTGTGTGTGTGTGTTTAATCCTTGTTTGCCGATTGAAATTTGCAAGGATTAAGTGCACTCAGGCAATGATGCGCATCTCAATTGTGTGTGTGTTCTTCTGCTCGATGCGACAATTGTCAAACTGCCGATTGATCGTTGTCGATAAATATGCTATCCGATCGCTTGAGCAATTCGCGAAACTGTTTGCTTTGTGGCCTATGAAATTGAAGCCGATGTTTATCAGCAGCAGCTCATGCGAAGATGAAGCTTCGCCCTGTTGCTGACCCAATGGTTCCCCAGGGCTAACCCAAACCAGAGCATAATCAAACTGCGTAAGAAGGAAAGAATTTTCTGTATCCTGTTCAAATAGTTAGAAAACAAAATTTTGATTCATATGTTTAGCAACGGGTATATCACAACTGTAGCAACTAAGGCTTAACACATTTTCAGTTTCTTGTTGCATACTTTGAGGCGTCACACAGACTCAAAATGTTGAATATATCGATTTATTGGCATATATCTATATATACACCATATCTTTTCTATTTGTATAAATATAGAACATGTATTGAATAAGTTATTACACTTGATGAATTTTATTCGAACAGAGTGTTCAACCACTAACACTGATCCACCTTCTGCATTTATTGCTTACTTAAAAATATAGGGTATCTCTTGGTAGAGATGCCTTTGCTGTTCTGTTACCATTTTTGTTGCTGCTCTTTAGCCATTTTCCCCCATTTTGATTAACATTAATGAGCAACAAAAAGTGCAAAATTTACATGGCAACAACGTCTTTTTTTTTGTGGGCTCTTTGTTGTGCGGGCCTTTTCGAAAAATGTGCTATTGAAATGAGTTGGCCGCAATATGTGGCAGCACCTGTCCCCCCAACAACAGTAGAACGCAACGACGGCAACAAGAGTAGCAACAGCAGCGATTTAGGCATTAGAATCCATTGAATTGCCGTTGATTTGTGGCATTTGCATACTAAGGCAAAGGCGCTTAAAGCCTCAAGACTCCAATCGCAATGCCAAACCCAAATGGGGTCCGTAAGCAGGCTATATATATATATATGTATATATATACAAAAACAGTCGTATTCACATTATGTATTCATTATGTTCAGTTGCATTTCAGAGGCAGTCAGTCAGTCACTCAGTGGACTCTGTCTAAAGACGGGCCTGAGATTGCATTGTCAGCGCCTTTTTGTTCAACTACTCATTAACATTTATTTGCAAGTGCAGAGAATGCAGAAGCAAAGCAAAAGCAACTGCCATGATAAATATGACAAACAAACAAACAAACGAACGAACAAACAATCAAACAAACGAAAGAAACAACGAGCGAATAGACAAACAGACAAACACAACAGACAAACAAATGCATTGCGAAAACAACAAAGAATGAAAATGACATTCGCCATAATCAACGACTATGCGAATGCTATTCAATTATTGTTTTCATTGCAAAACATATCCATTTAAAGCCACAATCATAATATAATAAATATATATTATTTAAGCTTTTATAAAATATATATAGCCCAAACCACAATTAATTCATACTTTGAGAATTTTATTGAAACCTCTTCTCATTTTCTATGATATTTAAGGTCAGTAAGTAACCTTTCCCTAGACATAAATAAAAGCTTCATATAAGTGATTGAGTAAGAATTAACAGTGGATTGGGCTTATTAATTAATACAACCATTTGCAGAGTTCAACCTTAGTACAGGGTATGCTCTGCAATAACAATGGCTGCCTAACAGTGAAAGAGATGCAGATAGAGACAGACGCATTGCCAAAGACAATGTCCCGAGCCAAGTACATAGAGTACATAGAGAGCACCAAAAGGCAGACCAAAATTCTCCGGGCAGTTCTAGAACTAACCGGGAGATATACAGACATACAGATACATATAAGAATTCGAGCAGAAAATCAGTTCCAATTAGTAGTGAATACGTAGCTTTGCTAAAATTGAAAAAGAAATAAAATTTTATAATCGATTAAACTCAATATGAGTTTAGTTTAAAGTTAGTTTATGTTTAAAGAACATTGCTAGCCAAATTGAAATGGAACGGCCCTCGCATAGCGAATGGCACAGTTGCAATCGTCAGTCAGTCAGTCAGTTAGTTAGTGAAAAGAGAGCTGGAAAAACGTGCGCCATTGTTCGGAACTTGCATTTGTTGACTGACAATTGGCAAAAAAGGTAACGAGTGCAGAGCGAACTGCTTGCACTCTATACCCGCATCTAAGCCACTCCCCTCCTCGCCCCCTTGAGTGGTGCCACCCAACGCCACCCACCCAACCAGCCAAGAGCGGGCGAGTCTCGAGTGTTGTGGCAGAGTAGCTCAAGTCATTAGAGCCAAATTAAATTAGAATTGGAATTGGAATTAGAGCATTGCGATGAGGTTGTGTGCATTTGTCATTAGTTTGTTGTTAATTAAAATGAAACCCAAGTGAGAGTCGAGACAGTTGAATGAAATCAAAATCAGCGCTAAAAACCGCCCCACAAAACAAAAGCAAACACCTGCGCAGCACACACACAAGACAACACACACACACACAGCTCTAAAAACAATGGCGACAAATGGAGCTGTCGCTGCTGTCGTCGCCGACGTCGTCGTCGTGGTCGCAGTCACTGCAGTTGTCACGGGCAACAGGACACCAAGGAAATTAACAGAACAAAGCGCTGCATGAATATGAAATGCAGGGAATGACATCGGCTTCAGTTAAGGCTTGGGCAGCAGCAAGGACTTTAGCGACGCATTTTAAAGAGCTCACCGTAGATGATTAGCCAAAAAAGAAATGATGTAAAAGAAATATAAATATATATTGCAAAGAAAAGGAGAGCAGTCCAGGCAAGTCAGCATCTGTTAGAAAAGTGTCCATTAAGATTAGTTGATTTTGCTTTCGATAGTTTGAAGCGTTAAGTAAATGCGTTAAATAAACAAAAAACGCATAAAAATACAACTCCCATTTGACTCCCAGCCATGTAAAATATTTGTATTATCCCAACCAGAAGCAGCGCCGTTCGTCCGCAGTCGCAGAGCCAGTTCCAATTGGAAACGCCCACCAGCCGCCGACATATGCAGCAATAGACGACAACGATGGCGAGCCTTGTTAGTATTGTCATCTCGCTCGCTCAATAAGGCGACACCTGCTGTGCGTGGCGCTCAATTGGCGCTCTCTTCTTGCTCATTCGCTCTCTCTCTCTTGCGCGCTCGCTCTGTGTCTTAGTGTTACTCTAGCTCGCTTACACGTGCACTCCTTCGCCAGCTCGCTCTCTCCCTCTCTCTCTCTCTCGCTGTCTGCACAGCTGAGCGGTGCTCTTTTTACTTTTTAAGCGTCGCATTTCTTTGCTGTTTTTTCTTGGCACAAGTGTCACCTGCACCTCTCACACAAACACACACACACAAACAGAGAGAGAGAGAGAGAGAGAGAGCGAGAAGAATGCTTCTCTCTTCTCATTAGCATGCCTACAAGTATTTCTTATGTTTCAGTTTCAAGTTGCACAACGTGCGTATTTTTACATATTACAAATTGTCATAAAAAAAAAGAAGAAGAAATCTTATTAATCAAAAACAAAATCAAACAAACAAACCAATAACAAGCTGCGGCTAACCAGTTGGCAATTGCATAAGTGTGCGTGTGTGTGTGTGTGGAGCGAGAGAGCGCTAACTAAAAGTTTGCATGGCAAAGCTTCGGGCTCCCCACTGACTGACTCCGTGTATGTGTGTGTGTGTGTGGTGTGTGTGTTTCGTCTGTGGCTGTCGGCTGTAGCCAACCCCCCAAAAAAGTGACAAGTCCGTGAGACTCGTTCGTCTGGTGGCTCGTTGGAGAGCGCGCGCCAAGTTTTTAGTTACGCGTCGGAACGTATCCGTTGAATAGCCGCCAAGCCAAAGGCAGCGCTTAGAAGTCGCAACAGCAGCAACAGCAACAGCAACAGAAGCAGCAGCAGCGACGGCCTTAGTTTTAAACCATAGTTGAATAATAATAATAACAACAACAACAACAATAAGCAGACCGGAAAAACGTTTTATGGCAAATAACTGGGCAAGTTTGTTGTTTTGTCGTTTTGCAGTTGCCAGTTGCAAGTTTTACGTTGCATCAACTTAACGAAACGCTTAAGCGACGGTTAAATACATCAATAAAACTGACCAATAAATACATACAAAGCAAAAGTAAAGTGCGTTTTTCAGTGTTTAGCCAACGCCACAAAACAAGAAAAAAAAAACCGAAATTGGAGCTCAGGAAAAGTGCTCATCAAAACATCAATGAATTTAAGATCGATGCACAATAACGCGTGTTGCTCATCAAATCGTGAAATCATAGCCATAAGCTACTTATTTTAATGTTAAACAATAACAACAACAATAGTGTTATTTCCATACTCAATGAATCAATAAATGAATGAAAAAAGCAGCTAAAAAAATAAGAGCATAAGCAAATAAACAAAGATAAATAAACATAAACTAGTGATATTCAACATGTAAAGTGTAAAACAAACAGCAGCAACACACACAAATATAAATACAGATAAAGATACATATGCAGATACAGATACATATACATATATAGATACAGATACAGATACAAAGCTTTGATCAGCTCAGTTCAGTTGAGCCCATAAATGTCTCTCATAAATTGTTCAAAAATTATACAAACTCAACATTTTATGGAAGCCGGCGCGGAATTTAAGCCAAACAAACCGACGCCTCGCAGCAGCCACAACAACAACAACAATAACAACAACATTCACATCCATAGTTATTAGGTATTATATAGAATATACTTAAGTATATTTGATTCCAAGCACAGCACAGCAAATACAAAGGAAATGCAGCACCATTTAAGGTAAGTCCGAATAGGACTTCGAAAGCATAGCTAATATTAAGTTAATTATAAATGTACTTAGACTCTATCAATTATTTCCACACTCTTTATCTATGTGTAATTTTTAAACTGAAGAACGATATATGCATGTATAAATAAAGCCATCAAAAGAGTATACAAAACCAATTTCAATGTTAGAAACTTGAATTTTCAAATGAGTAATTTTTTTATGGTCACACATTTAAAATTGAATAATCACTTGGATTGTGCCGAATCATTATTGTCGGAATCTTTATGGGTTCGTTTCGCTCGTGTCGACTCTGGCTTTCAGTTTTTCAACAATCACATCCTTCTTCGCTATGTTTGCTCATTTCATTGTTTGTTTTTCCAAGCTAAGAGAGCGTGGAATTCAAAATAAACGATATTAGCAGAAACCAATCGCAACAGAATGGATTAAGCCCTATAAATACAAAGGAAATAAACATGAACTCAAAAGCCTTTACAGTTTCTGAGAGCCCAACGTTTTTACAGTGTCAATCGTATTTCCTGAAGTGTATTATCATTTGGTAAATATCAATTACAAGAAAGGCAAGCTTCAGCTTGAAGCGTCCTGTACTTGTTTTCCTTAACTTATCCAGAATAGAGGTCAGCGTTGGAAATGACGCAATTTGCTAAATACACCTGTAAATAATGAACAAATAAACGATTTAGTGACATGACTTCTAATGAGAACCGAACTCCAATTCTGCTCTAGCTTGCACTACTTTGAGGTGATACTAAGCACAAGTGTGAAATGCTGATCTCAACACCAAATACAATTGTGTAAATAGAGTTTTGCTAATAAACAATAGCAGTTCCATATTTTGCGTCTTGGCCAACAACTGGAACTGGAATATAAGTGTGTACACAAATGAAGCCAAATATAGGTCCAGATGTTATCTAAGTTAGTGTGCGATAGACAGTTGAGCTGGCTGTAGATGAAGCTAACTAGCGATATTCGCACATCTCGTTACAGAAACAAGTCCCAAAGAGCTGGCATTCTAATTAATATCCATATATTTGTATTCATATTGGGTATTGTTTTGTTGAGTTTTGGGATTTGCCCTTGGCACGAACTTGACACTAAACCAAGAGATACATTTACGATGCGATTGTTGCGAGTGTGAAAGTTCTTAATTACAAACATTAGGGGGCCCCAGCGGCTTAGGGCTACGGATCACAATCACAGCGTGTGCCCAAGAGACACTTTTCAATGGGGGAATGAAATGAAAAAAAAGGGGACTGGGACTGGGACTGAGATTGGGATTGGAACAACAGAGAGACAAGAGCCCGAGCATAAGTAGAAGCGGAACGATACATTTCAACACAAAGTGGAGACACTTAAAGCTCTACCTGTATTGAATTGAGATTCTCCACTTCTCTGACTTCTCGATTCTTGAGCCTAACTGCCACTCCAGAGAGCTGTGGCTGTTGCAACAGCCTCTGGGTCTCGTCTCTGCGCAGGCTCAGCATGTGGCTAAGCCGATCATAATTCTTGTTTGACACTCCAACAAACGGATGAACAAATGAACGAGAAGCAAGACAGGGATCCCAAACTGTCCGGTTGCCCAGTTGCCCAGTTGCACAGCTGCCCAGTTGCAGTCATTCAGTCTGCAAGTCTCGCGGTCTGCCAACGACAACGGGTAGCCCGTGAAAACAAGTAGGAATGCTTAACATTCCCACTACTCAACTATGAGATACTCTGTAATCTATAAATATACGCACAGACTTATCAGCTGCAACTATGAGATACACTCTGCGATTTCAAAGCAGTTAATTCCTTCAGTATGGTATACCCTATAATTGTAACTGATAGAGAGTATAAATATTTGCTGATCGGCGGGGCAATTTACTCCTACAGCGTCGATGAATCGCCGCCAGAGATTTGCATAACAAAGAGAAAAGCGTAGACGAAGGCAGTCGTTGCAATGCTCATAAATAACTTGGCTGATATCTATTAACGCTTTTACTGGTGTTACCGGATTAACGCTAGAGCCCAAAAGCAGAGCATTGCAATCGCATCGAATTGGATATTGGGCTAGAAACTCAATGGCCCACGCACTATTCATATTTTGATTGATAATTTGTTGGACAACTTTTGTAAACTGAATGATTTCCGTTAGTTCTCGCAGGGAATGGGCTGCATCAGGGTTTGGGTTGGGGTTGGGGCTGGGGTATCTCTGGTAGCATTGCTGATGATATTCACAGCAAATAAAAATATCTGGAGTGCAATTTGTGCACAGCTGGTGGTGCAACCGTTGCTGCTGCCAGTGGCCTGTGGTGCGCTCCAGTTCCAAGCGAGCACCACATTTGGCAGCAGCAGCAACTGTTGCAAGTTGCTGCCAAACCATCTTGACAACACAAAAATTTGTTTGCACTCCATAAGGATTACAAAAATATGCGTGTCCCCTTTCCCCCCTTTTTTTTCTCCAGCAGGTTGTTGTTTCTGTATCAGACCCTCCAATTTTTTGTATATTTTTTTTCTTTCATTTAATAAATTTCATGCTTAATACGCATGCCTGGGCAATTTTTACTTTAACACCAAGTGGGTAATGCCCGGAAGCAGTGCAGATGTCGCAGTTGTCGTAGGATACAAGAGAGTTATGGACATGCCGGCGGAAGGGGGAAAGGATAACAATCCAGACATTGAGATCGAAACAGCGGATTAACTGTCTGTCAGTCTGTCCAAAGCCAACAATAACGGTTATTAACAGCAAAGAATAAGCGCACTGTGAATTGTCCATAAAATTGGCAGCAATTAAGCATGCCCATCCTAAAAAATTATTAATTCTTAAAGTTAATAATAATTATTGATTTGTTTATATTACGTATTTTTTTCTTTTTGTATTTACTATATTTGCATAGAAATTATATATATTTAATTTTATGGACTATATATATGTCAAAGGTATAAAAATTAATAATAATTACTGTAATTGCATTCATAGTTTTTCAATTCAACAGAGCCAAATGCTTTAGGTACTATAATCTGGCCAAAACTGTAGTAAATGATAATAATAGAATCGCTTAAACTATTTCGCTTAGCGATTTAATTAAAAAAACATATATGGCAAATTAACACAACAGTCTAAGCAAAACTAACCCACAAAAGTGGGTATATACTTAAATCGACGCTGAAAGTCTTTATCTATGGAAATATGTAGTGCAGATGACGTATTGGTCGAGCATCGCATTAAATGGGGACTCTATCAACTTGTATATATATATATGACCGAATGTCTTCCACACGCCCAACTCAATTGTACTCCAGAATCGAAGCGTTGTCCTCGTCATCACTGCACCATTAAGCAAATTGAAAGCGTTTAGCCGGACGCTGGCGGGGATCTGCTTCTTGACCATGAACTGGAAACCCTTTTCGTCTGTGTGTCTGTGTATGTGTGTGTGTGTATTGTGGTGTGTATTTAACACATTAATCCGAGCGACCCACACTTGGTATGGGCATCAAGTGGGCTGCATAAGTCCCGATTATAATGCACGCACATGTGAATTGAAAAGCCGAGAATTGAAACCTATCAACGGCAATGACCTGACTTGACCGTATTTAAAAAGAACCGTATTGGGTGCCCAAAACCGGGCAGCAAGAAGAAGCAGACAAAAAAAAAAACGAGAGAAAAAAATGTGAAATGGTCTTCAAGTGCCCCGATGCATAATGAACAGGATGTTACTGGACGCCGTTGCCGTTGCCGGCGTGTGCAGTTCCGTCCCCTTAAGTAAGGGTTGACATTCGGTCGACAGAAAAGGCTTCATTCAGCCGGAATCTCGAGTTGAGGTGGCGACCGCCAGCACAGCCAGCAAGTGGCTCTGGGGTCCATTGTTTCTACTTCATGGAAAGGGGATGCGGTCTGTCGTCGAGCTTTGGGGCATGGGCGACAGGCGACACACTTTTAAAAGCCCAAATCAATTAGTTAATTGATTAACAAAGCCCAAAAGGGATGCATAAGATTTTCAGCTTATGCCTTCAACATTTGTCGCCTTATTTTTAAACATGGCTGTGGGGTTCTTATTAGGAAAGTTATCGATAACCGAAAAAATTTAATATATTAAAAAAAAAAATTGAAATATGAAATTAATCAATTTGCGAACTGATCTTGTTTTACAAATAGCTCAACTCTTACTCTTCAAAGCACCTTAACCACCGACACCAATAGAACCAAGCCAGCCACAAACACAACAACACAATCCCGGCCACAAGCCAGCAACAAATCCACTGCGGCTCCATCTGTAAAATGATGGAACGTCTATCCACACATTTGTCACTCTCGGGATTATCGCTCGCACATCCATTGCAGAGTCATTTGAGCTCGGTGAGCTCCAGCAGCGGCACACATCTGGGCCAATTGATACAGCATCATCAGCAGCAACAACAGCAACAGCAACAACAGCAGCAGCAGCAACAACAGCATACCACAGAACAGAGCCACGCCCACAGTCACGCCCATCATCACACTCAGCAATTGGCGCTGGGTCAACTGGGGCAGCAGCATCATCATCATCAGTGCAACAGCAACAGCAGCGGCGGTTCACCCAACGGCGGCGGCTCCTCCGCATTGGGCCTGCATCCACATTTGCACCACTCAGCGGCGGCAGCAGCAGCAGCACATCATCTGAGCGCACAGCACTCGCAGCTGCATCAGCATCACCACGTGGCAGCAACAGCAGCAGCCGTACAGCAACAGCAACCACACTCAACAGCCTCGCACCACACAACCCAAGCAGTCAGCTCGGCAGGCAGCTCGCTGCACAGCCAATCGCAGGCGCAGTCGCATCAGCCGCACAGCAACGGCCTTGGCCAGCATCACAGTCTCGTCAGCTCCGGCTCCAGCTCGAGTGCGCCAGTGCATCACACGTCCAGCACGTCCAGCACATCGAGCAGCGTCATGGCAGCCGCTGCAGCTGCACATCTGCACCACAATTCACAGGCATCACCCATCAGCAATCTGCACCAGAACATGGGCAGTCTCATGAACAGTGGCAGCAGCGCCAGGTGAGTTAGTGCAACATCTGATAACAACAACTATTCTTTGAACTATTTAATATTAGACTAGTTCAACAAAACTGAAGCAATTTTTAAATGATCAACAATTTATTGAAAATATTGATTCACCATTAAAATTGTATTGTAAAAGTTCATATTTGAATAGCTTGCCTTTATTGAATTCACAGCGATGTCTTCTTTAGCCTGATGATACAGAATACAACGAAACGACAGAATGAGGAGCACATAAAACGTCCAATGAATGCGTTTATGGTCTGGTCACGTTTACAACGACGCAAAATTGCTCAGGATAATCCCAAAATGCACAATTCGGAGATATCCAAAAGGCTGGGTAAGTGATCATAATACTTTGTAATATTCAAGTCTAGACAGTTGCGTTTGAAAGAGTAGATTATTGCATATTTATGAATTGTGTGTATGTTGCAAATAAAATGAAATTCTCGTGTTGAATTATAAGTCTGAAGAACATGCAAGCCACTCAGCTGAGCTCTGACTTGTGGCCAGAATGCATGGCACTTTAATCTCTTTCCTTTTTTAACGAACCACAATAGGTGAGAACGATGGCTTTATGTGTGTACATATATTCATATATTGTGCAAGCACTCGTTGTATGTTTGTAATCTGAAAACAATGAATAAATCTCACACAAAACTAAATTAAGAGGCGGCACACGACCTGCCAATCTCTCGCGCCCACTCGCTCAGTCACCCCCACTCTCTCTCTCTCTCTCTCTATCTGTCTGCCTCACTCTCTCGTTTACTTATGCAACTTAAACTAATCAACGTAATACCGGCTGGTATCCCAACCGCACCCCTCCACAACTGCCACCCACTCCAAATTCATGGCAATGACAATGACAAACCAAAAACTCGCTCTCAACGCAACTGTCAAAACTGACAAGCGGCTGTCAAACAACGGCAGGAAGAGCAGATCGAGCCGAGGAAGCTGTTGATTATGCTGGAATACGAAGGCGAGAAGGGTTGCCTGCCTGCCCACAAGCCATCCCCACCCCCAACTGCAGTAGCAAAGGAGACGGTGCCAAATCATCGACGCCTGCCTGCTGCCGCATTGTCTCGCCGCTTAACTAGTTGCAAAGTTAAGTAGTTTTTATCGGGTGGGGCGGCGGCGGCTAATCCTACGCACAAACACAGCGTACCTTATCTGGGCTATGCCTACGGGTTTCGGGATACGGGATTCGAGATTTTGGTTTCCAATTCGCATCAAATTCAATTTCAATCACACACGCAGCCAGACAGACAGACAGACAGGCTAAGAGGCACGTGGCAAGTGACAGCAGAGATCTTTAGCATAACAATGAGGCAACAGGCGCTGCTACCTTTTGGCCAACTCATGCATATTGGATGAGACTTGAGCAGTATAAGCAGTAAAAAAGAAGAAGAAGAAGCAGAAGAAGGAGAAGACTATGCGCTCCTTGCTGCTCCTTGCACTAATCAGGCCCACAATATACAAAATACTGTCATAACAGCGATAACAATAAGCCCAAAAAGCGTCCCTCATCGATAACAGGCAAAAGTATATGCCACAAAAGTTGGTGGCAGCCATTTTGTGCAATTTTTTAATAAAACTCGACGGGGCTTCCAATTTCAATTCCACTTCCATTTCCATTTCCATTTGCTCAACTCCCATCGAGTTGCGCTGCCTCTGGAGCACTTGTGAAATGACTTTTTCTTTTTTACCTTTGTTTAAGCAAAAACAATGCAAATTAAACGCGACTCACTTGCAGTGCAGTTGAGCGCAACAACAACAAAAACAACAACAAAAACAAAAGGCAAACTCGCTGCACTTGAATGCGGGCAGCTGGCCAGAAGGGGGCGCGGTTGTTACTGAAAAAGCCAGCAAATAATCCACAAGTTAACGACTTCAAGTTACCACGTTAAGATTTCTTCTATTCTCAAAAAGAAAAACCTGATTTTGAGCTGCTTTTCAAATTTGAATTTATTTGTTCCAAGACTTTGAGTATCGATAAATTTAACATTTATGACACAGTTAAGATTTGATTACGTTATTCTGTTTATTTTCTCAAAATACTCGGTATTACTGAATATATGACACCAATTTAATATTTGTAAAAAATCGAAAACAATATGAAAAATGTTGCACAAAAATATGTGTGCAGTCAGAACATTCATTCCGCCTTAAACTGGAGTAGAGGGTGTAACCAGGCAATGAGGGTGGCTACAACCAATGTTGGTGATGTTTTTCACAGCCATTAAAGGTATTTCTTAATCAGGCAACTGACTGCCTTAAAAACGTTTTTGAACGCAACGTTTCACAAACTCTCAAACTCTCAAACCAGAGTTCAAGTAGCAGGCCAAACCAATATATGAAAATCGATGCCTAGCAAACAACAGCAACAACAGCAACAACAATCTAAACACAATGTACACTCCACAACAAGCTTGAACTTTTTGGTGGTCTGAGATTTTGAAGGAAGGCGCGAGCTTTTGTTCGCATTTCATTTCACCTTTTTTGTCGATTTGGTTCTTTTTTGTTGTTGTTGTTGTATTTTGGCAAATCCATTATATCAATTGACAGTTCTGTGTAATATTTGCTGTCAGTTGCAGCTATTGTTAAGTTTGCTTTACTTTTTTCTTGAGCAGGGAGTACGAAGAAGACGCCGGTTGCCATTGTGGTGAATGAGCTGCTGCTGGTCAGAGTGGGGCAAAAGGAGGCTCAAGATGTAGGTAACTCGCTTACAAAACAAGTAAATAGAAAAGAAAAAATCAGGACCTTTTCCAAACGAAACACACATGAAATTGGCAGTTTCCTTGAACGAACTTTGAGGCATTTTAAAGTTGAAATTTAAAACTAAGAATATATATTTAAACCTATTAATTGCTTCAAGTTATGCTCAATTGCAGCTGCAACAACAATGGGGCAACTCTGTCCAAAATAAAAGGCGAAAATAAACCATTTGCCACATTTAAACAAATGATAAAGTTTTGCACTTGAAAAAGTTTGCCCTGGCATTCAATTAAATGAAATAAAATAAATACATAAAGGGGCTCATTATGAAAAATTGTGCAGAGAAAAGGCGGCAAGCAAAAAAAAAAAAACTGTGGCATCAACAAAGGCGCCACAAAAAATGGCGGCGCGAAAGCTACTTTTTTAAAAACGCACACATACACATACAAACACACACACACACACACACACACAGATACAATGCGAAAGGCACACTGCAAGAGAGCGTCGAGAGTTGAGTAACGGTAACTGGCAACTGGCGACTGGCAACTCTGGAGAGCTCTTCAGACGCCGCCGTCGCCGTCGGCGTTGCCATTTATTTTATTATGCCAAACAAAGGGCAAACAAAAACAACAGCAAAATAAAATAAAAATAATATAAAATAAAAAAATACAAAAAAAATGTGTGTGGTATAGAAAACAATTTTTGTTGCGCTGGGGCTTAATTGAAATTGTAACTGTCATTAATTACTGTCTGGAAATTTGAATTAACAACAAAACAAACAATAGGCGACACAAACAACAATCACAACAACAACAAGAGCCACGTCAACAAAATGGCAGTCACTTTTGTTGTTGTATGGAAAATTGTTTTGAAAATAATTGAAAAACCTGTCGAATCGCCTTCGTTTCCTTTTTTAATCAAAACTCTGTCCGCCCAGCTCCTGCGCGAATATTAAATAATGTTAAACAAAGCCCCCCCGAGAGATGGATGGCTACCCAACTGACTGACGACTGACGACTGACGGGTCTCGAACAGTCGATGCTCGAACAATGGCCAAAGACTTTGACTCGATTCTCGGATTCGATTGCCATTGCGATTGCGACTTCGATTCGCATTGCGCATTGCGAGCACAAAAGGTCGAGCTCTCAAGCCTTTTGCCCCACCACTCTGTAACTTCTTTTGTTGCACAATAAAGCCCAAACAATTGATTAGTTTGCAATTGAGGAAAAAAGGAAAAACGTTTCCCCTTTTTTCAGCAGCAGACAGCAGTTCGAACTTGAAGGTCGGCCTGGCAATTGGCAGGTGTGTGAGAGACGACAGTCGAATTATGTATCAGACAGTGGGCGGTTGTGAGTTCTTAATTACAACACGCCCAATCAAATCGAGCATCAGATACATTAAGCAATTCTTTCATTATGAAAGGGAAGCCAAAGCCATTAATTATGTAACTACGGTTATAAAATTCAGACTAATTAAAGTAAACCACAGAAATATATATTTAAATATAAATATTTATATTTTAAATGATCCACCAATATATTTAGATAATAAGGACTATAATTCTATAATTTAGTTATTAAACATTTAATATGACGATCTATTATAGCTCACCTTGAATCAATTTTATAAAATCGATATTTAAGTAGACATTTTCATTATTATCGACACTCTACTGTCTCTCCCTCGTTTAGCGAATAGAATAAGAGCTCAGTTTTAACGCCTATCCAACACTATTCAAGAGCATCAAATTGCAGGGCAAATAGTTTAATCGCTGGTCAAATTATGAGTTCAGACAGAGAGCAAACGGTCTAGTGGGCGCCACTCTCGGAACAGAGTAAATAGAGCCCAAGGGTCCAAGTCGAGACTCCGTAATCCCCATAAGTAGCCCAATTGTGTAATGTGTGAGTGTGAACTTCAAATCGAGAACTGTCCCAAAAATAGCACTCATTCCCCTCACCTTACTTATTTGTAAGGGTCTGGAAGTGAACAAATTGTGGCTCGGATAAGTTAGTCGTAGTAGCCCCAATTGTAAAACTGTGTGAACTACAAACTGCAACTGGAGCCGGCATCTGTTCAATATTTACCCTGTGTTTAGCACCCACAGCATTTTCCAGTGTTTCTTCAGGTTGCTGTTGTATTCGGGAAAAACTTGTTAATTATGCTTGAGCCAGTCCGAACTCGGGCACTGTCTGCCGCACATCTTGGCAACTGTCATGTGCAACTTGTACTTGTTTTTCATATCAATTATTAAGCCGGCCACTCAGCCAGTTGGCAGCGAGCAGGGGACGGGGGAGGGGGGAATGGGCGCCAGACGACAACGGGCAAACATAGACATTGTCCAATTGTCATCCTTTTGTGGCATGTCAACTCAGCCCTCCTAAGTTTATACAACTGTACAACTTGTAGATACTACTCCCACTCCATTTCTCTCAATCTCCCTTTCTCGCTCGTCTTGTTTATTATTATGTGAGTTGTCTGCAAGTCTATGCCTCCAGCTATATATTTGCCCCATAAGGTGTCGTGTGCACAGGAGTTGAGTTGTGCATTTGATGCCCAGTTGCCACTTGGACGGCTTGTCAATGTATCTATAAATTAGTATTTTAGCAGCAACTGCCGGTAAAAGGGGCAGCTACTTGCAATATGAGTGGCTCCAAGTTGCTAGTTGGGGACAGGGGCACATGTCTAGTCTTTGGGCGCAATTGTGCTTTTGTGTTGCGTTTATTGTTATACTAGTTTTTGTTGGACTAACTCACTTAGAGTGTGTGTTTGTGTGTGTGAGCGTGTACGAGTGTGTGTGGGCCTGACAGCCGTTTCTTCTAAGCCCTGTCAACGTCCTGGAGCTGTTAGCTTGCTTGTCATTAGTGTTGTGTATTATTATTGTTGTATTATCCGATAACAATGACATTTTTGTGTGTCTGTGGGGTGTGTTTGTTTCGCTTGTCAGTGACTAAAATTACACATTATAACTAATTAAGGAGATTTCCCTAGAGTCCGTTTGTGCTGTTACACATATCCGTCAACTAATTTACTTCCAATCTGTTCCAACTTTTTGCATAATAACAACGATTCGGCTAAATAAAAGGCTTTGTATTAATAGAGAAGCGCTTAAAGATAAAAATGGGAACAATAGATGGACTAAGAAGGTTCTTTATATATACGAGGTTCTCGTATATATATATCATAAATGGACAAAGCGTAATAATTTGTGTTAAATAATTTGAACAATATTCTTCTTGGTCTTTTTCGTATACGATGAAGATTAATTTTTATGGACGAGAAAAATGAAAGTTTACTGGCTAAAGTTAAATCAAGAATTTAATTTCAACTTAACGCTAATATTTGATTTTTACAATTTTGAATTTTACTGCTACATTTTATTGTTATTAGTCTATGTTACCTATATTAATTAATTAAATATTTCAATTACTTAACCGCATTTATTTGGAGCTGAGCTAATAAAAACATTTATAAGTTGGAGCTTACATAGAAGGTTTTAGCTTCTTATTAAGCAGCTAACAATTGTCATATACAATGATACAAACATTCCAATTCTCTAATCCAAGGCTATAACCAGCATATACAATATATCGACTCATTTGGGGCAAATAAGTGAAGGGGAGAACACTTCGCTCTTGTGAGCATTTTAGACTTTATCAGCAGCCTTGTGACACATGTCATTATAACATTTTACATTAACTTAAAAACATTTGCAATTTGTGCGCACAATGAGGACCCACAATCTGTCATACAACCAAGAGGGTCCTGCCTGCCACTTGCCACTTCTGAGAGTATATATGTGGCACGTGCATATGCCATGTATTCATTCAGTACAAATACAATAGCGAATACAAATACAAATACAAATACAACATACATCCTCGAAGAGCGGGAGAGCGAGACAGGAAGTGCTACGCAAGCACGCCCCCAAATGGGCCCAAGCCACCTGCTGGTTTCGGGCCATTATCGTGCAAGGACTCGGGTATCTTTCTCTAACCAGTCAGTGCCGATCTGAGCCGAGTTGAATGTGGAGTGAGTTGCTGACTGAACTGAACTGAGTTGAAATGCACTGACAAACAGGCAACGAGACAAACAACGAGACAACAACAAACGACGACAATGCCAAAACTGGCAACAATGGTGGTCACATAGACAGGGACGGGGACATACTATAGATGGCCAAAACGGCAATAGAAAGAGATAGAATGAGTGAGAGAGTGAGTGAGAGCCATGCAATGGAAGTGGCAGAGAAGGAAGATGACAACATTGTTTGGTATCCTTCTTGCTAGTGGCAGACAAAACAAGTTTACACGGCTTGCGTGTGTGTGTGTGTCTGTGTGGCTGTTAGGAAATTATGTTGATGTGCGTCCAGTTCTGGAGCAGGTTGACATGAGTGTGTGCTTCATTGTGTTGCCACATTTTGACAACGGCTTCAAGTGCCCAACGTGAAGTATCCCATGGATTAACAACTTATATGTAGTACATTTATCTATATATAACTCGTTTCCAGGTGCCGAATGGAAGCTGCTCACAGAGGAAGAGAAACGTCCTTTCATCGATGAGGCAAAACGGTTGCGGTAAGCTAAGCCCCAACTACCCCTACTCCTCCTCTCTCATCTATATTAAGCTTGCAATTTATTGTATCTCAACAGTGCGATGCACATGAAGGAGCATCCTGATTACAAATATCGACCTAGACGCAAGCCCAAAGCTCTGAGACGCGATGGTTACCCATATCCCATGCCATATCCATCGGTTCCCGTGGAGGCGTTACGAGCAGGTATGCAAGATCATCACAAACTATCTTAAAAAACTTTGAACGGACAGCATTTTGCATAAAAATAAAAGCTCTAGATTAAAGATTAAAACAGTCAACTAACATAAATACAACAGGCTTGAAAATAAATCTGAAAAATAATGTATATAGAAGTTGCTTAGAAACGCAAGACTTTGGCTTGAATAATTAAGTTTTAGTAAATAATTTTCGAGCTTAGTAAGCTCACAATATGGGACTCTAATAATATATGTATGTATTTTAATTTTATTTTGACCCACACTCTGCAATAACATCAATTAAATTGTAAGCAAACATGAGTTGCGAACCCCTTGAAAGCAAAACACTAAAAACACAACAAATTATGCAAAGCAAGAAGGCGAGCTTTATGAGCTAAGGCATAAGACAAATGCAAATGTGGCACGACATATGTATGTATGTGTGTATGTGGCACGGTCCCACCCATACGCGGCAATAGAAATAACCCAAGAGCTGAATGAAAATATGACAAACTATACTCACACTCGGTGTGCCTGACTGGTTAGGTTTTTTGTGAGGCCCCCCCTTCCGACCTGAACAATATGGCGTCGCTGATGGGACAGGGTTGGGGGTGGCAACTAATAACCGGGCGAACCACCCGTTCACAAGCCCTGACAAACTGTGAAGTCATCATCCTGGCTTAACAACTCAATTCAAGTGACAGCACAGACAAACAGACATACAGACAGAACACATAGCATAAGTTACCATTCATGATTTGCCATACGAAAGCCAAAGGGGGCAGGCGGGTTGGCAGTGGTAGGGCGCTGTTTCATAGTTTGTTTGGTAGTTTGTCTGGTTGGAGGTTTTAAATTAGCATTTGTCACGGTATTTTTTGTTTGTCTCTTTTCGCCCCGGTTGGACCTCAAATTTTACGCAAGTTTCTTGGATTCAGTTTTGTGATGTGGCAGCAAATTTGTGCGTTGGCGGTTTAGGGATCAGTGAACCGGGCTAAGGACAATGCCATCACGATGATTTATGCGCAACGGAAATGATAATAAAAATGGTAGGAAATGCGTAATAAATAAAACGAATTAGTCCTTAGACTACTTAACTGTCACTTCAATGCACACACGGCTCCATACAAAATGCCTGTATGAGATAATGCTTACAACTGAGGCATGCAACAGCTTTGTGCTGTGCATAGAATGAGTTGATTAAAAATATAATGGCGAAAATCACGAAAGAGTTAGAATTAATGGAAAATTTGAGAACTGAATGGAAACAGGAATAAAAGACAATAAATGAGATTGTAGAATTTCATTACTACAAGAATATATAGACAAGCAGGACCTATTCATAAATAATTCAACATATCATTTATACTTTGAAAGCTAATAATTTTGGAACTTGTCTTGATGAATATAAACACAGCTCAAGCTTCAACCACTGTCATTTCACACAGATTTATTTTTATTGCGATGTTAATTTAAGCAAAAAATAATAATAATAAATAAACAAAACTACCAGCTACCTGTAAAAGTTTTGTGTAGTACCTAATCCACTATTGTCTGACATAATGGCAATGAAGATGATGCCATGTCGAAATGTCGCTACTTGAGATGAACAGAAACGCTTTCAACTTTGTTGTCTAAGCCATTTTAATTGCCACAGCAGTTAACAATTTGTACAATTTATGGATTGAAGCGCCATGAATGAAATATTTTTCAATAAGCGGCGCTTGTAATTATCGAGGCCCCTTTAACAAAAGGCCAAGAGGGCAGCTGGACGACTACCGTTTAGGGCAATTGGTAATAACTGCTTGGCATCTATCAGATGCAGATATACTCGGTATCTCTCTCTGTTTCTCTCAAGTCAAAATAGCTGATTCAGCGCACAATTAAATACCGAGGAGAGAGTGAGAGACGCACAGAAATAGGTACATATATATCTCTATATAAATATAAACATAAATATATGAAAGAGTTAACCGAACAAAAGGGGCGCAAAATATTTCGAGTGGCAATTATTTTAAGCACACAACAGACCCAAAACCATTGTCATAATTATTGTAAACTTATTTTCTTCTATATGTTTTTCTTTTTTATGTTTTTCGTTTTTCTCTCTGCTTGTTACCTTCTCTCATTTTACTTTGTTTGGCTTCACTTGCAGGCATCTCGCCGGGTTACTTCGCCCCCGGTCCCACAGCGGCCGCCTATCACCTGGGCAGCCATCTCACACAGACATCGACGCCAACAACAACGCAGGTGAGTAACAGTCTCCCCTTCCCTTTTCCTTTCCCTTTGCCTTTGCCGTTCCTCTTTCAGTTCCACACAGCCCGTTGCAGTTCTTAGATGGGGGGTTAAGCGTTCAAGTGCCTGGGCACTGTCCATCACAGAATGTTGAACGGTAGCGCGTCCAATTACATCGATCGGTAGTCGGGGTCGCCTTAATAATAATTTAATTACACACACCCATGGCGGACGCCTACTTTAAAAGGCGGAAAACATGCGGCCGTGACTAAGCGCGACACGCTTCCTGATCACACAATTCGATCCTGGACACATTCTGGCACGTCATGCTAAGGATTTGCCACAAGTTGTCATTACACATTTAGTTGCTGGTTTTTTTTTGTGGCCAGCCGATCTGTGCTGCGATAACAAGGTCTCGAAAGCAAAAACAAACAAAAACAAAATGCAGGTGCTGCCAAAAGTAGTCGTGGCCCAAGGAAAGGGCCCAGCTGCTCAGCTGGATATTACAGCCCAAGTAAACCAAAAATTGGCAATTAAAACTTGAAACTGTTTGTGGCCGTCCGCAATCCAAAATCTAAGAGGATGGAGCAGGCTCAGCGCCGCCCAGCAGCTCTGTCTTCAGGCTTTAGGCAACCTTTGGGATGTGTATGTTCATGTGTGTGTGTGCGTATATATATGAGTGTGTATGTGTGTGTGTGTGTTTATTAACAACCCATTAAAAGTCATGACTGTTGCTTGGCATTGTTGTGGCTGTGGAGTTGTGGCTGCCTATTTGAGGCTGTGATTGATGTCTGCGGCTGCTTAACATGCATTGCGGGTGTTGAAAGCCTGGCATTACCCTCTAACAATAGCCTTACTTGGTGTTAATAATATACCTTTGGCCAGGCCGTAGTAGCATTTTAATGATAGACCAACTTTAAAGGCAGCAAGCGTTCTTCTCGTTCCACAAATTGAAATCCGTATATGAAAATTGCATGGTGGGCGGATTAGAGGATGGACAAGACGGCACTTATTTTATCAAAAGCAACTCTACCACTCTGCCGAGAACTATTATTCTGTCATAACTCAACATAAAAATGCCATAATTTAAAACATTCCGATGCCTCTAAAGGTATTCCTTCAAAAGAAGTATTTCGGAAGATACGAAAGAACTATTTGCAGTTTCTCAGCACTCGTTCTTTAATCTAAGCACTGCTAAGAAAATATTATGGTTTCACAGCGATTTGTGGAGATCATTTAAGAAATTTTAAACTCAAGACTGATTTAATAGAAGCCCGAAGAAATCCGAGTATTACTTACTTCAACTTCAGCAACCCAAACTTATCGTAGACTTGAAAAAAATCATCACACTATGTGCACAGCTGACATTGGGAGGCAAAAAATAATAGAAAAAAACTCATACAAAGACATCAAAACAGTATTTGCGACATTTTAACCACCTGCCAAGGCTTTAACCTCCATTGCAACATAATTGGGCCTTAAGCCACTCTAAACAATCGGGGTAAATCAATTAACTGAACCGAAATCCAAACATAAACTCCGTTTAAATCACCGTGCATCAAAATATTTACCAATCCACACTAATTCCCAATTGGGCGCATATCAAATCAAATCAAATTGTAATCCAAAACGCTTGCGGGCTAAAACACACAGACACACACACACAGGCACATGCAATGACTCTGTCAGTTGGCGCTGCTCCTGTTGTTATTGCTATTGCTGTTGCTGGTGATGATGATGATGATGTGTTAACAACATAATTATAGCCCAGAGCAAAGTGCTCTGCGAACGGGGAGCAACCCCTCAAAACAACCACTCAAAACAAAACGGAAACGATGCAAAAACAACCCCTTACACACTTAGCACCCGTTTATAAGAACCCAGATCCCACTCCGCTACCCCACCCCGACCTCGCTCGCGTCCTCGTCCTCGTCCCATTCTCAGATCCAGTCGTAAGCCCGAACCCTATTAACAACTGGTGTTGCAATGAGAAACGTATTGCAAATCAAATAACATTAAACTGAGACGTGTTTTTCTATTTATTTTTGTTGCGTGGGGTTGTTGTTGTTGCTCTTATTCATCCTGTATCCACAATTAGTTGGTCAAATAAAGCCGCAAAAGTGTTAAGCAATTTGCACTAACCAAGGGTTACGCCTCACACCCACAAATTATACAGCTTTATACTTGATACTCATGTGTATTGAGGATATTAGGGTATTGGATAACCTTATCAATTTATTCATTATTCCAGGCTGAACCAATTAACATTTAGCAGGAAATTATCAATATATTAGAGCCCAATAGCATCCCACAAAATCAAGGTTACTTAATGGTTTGGCATCCTGATCAATACTTTATTCAAAGGATTTCATGTTAAAGTTCGATCCCAAAAAAGTTTTCCCCAGCCATAACTTCGTCAAAACTCAACCGATTTGCAAAAGCAATATGTTTTTATTCATGGTTTGATATCTAGAGAAATACTGCATTAAAACTTGGAAACATGATTTCTGGTTGGAATTCATGTTAAAAGTTATATCACAATAAATCCACTTGTTCTAATCTTTCTACCGTCACAACTTCCTCAAAAATCAACCGATTTTCAAAATCAAAACATTTTTGTTCATGATTGGGTCTTTCGAATAATAATGCATTTTAATTTGGAAGCAGATTTGGTCATTATTTATATACTAAGTCAGTTTATAAGGATTATGCTTTGCCTTTTCAGGCCACACTCTCTGGGCAGATGGACAAATTTGCGGCACTGGAGCGCAGTTCTTATCTGAGTAATGCAGCTGCCGCAGCAGCAGGGGGCAGCCATGCGAGTGCTTACAGCGCCTATCTGGATCCCAGTGTGCTGACCAAGGCCTACTTCGACTCCAAGATGTATCAGGATCGTGGCAACTATGCCTTTGATATCTCTAAGATCTATGGCGCCCAGCAGCATGCGGCGGCGCACCACCAACAGCAGCAGCAGCAACAACAACAGCAGCAACAGCAACAACAGCAACAGCAACAACAGCTGCTCATGGCAAGTAGTGGTGCAGGTGGTGCTGGTGGTGGTGGTGGCAGTGCCGGTGGCAGTTCGCACAACAACAACAGCAGCAGTGGCCTGGATGATCGCGATGCCACGCCCCAGCTGGATGCGGGTGGTGGTCAAGTGGAGGCAAAACCGCATCTGCATTCGCCCAGCGACGTCGGCTTGGACTATGCCCATCAGTATGCCCAGCAATATGGCGGCCAGTTGGCCAGTGCCGCCGCTGGAGTGGGAGTTGGTGTTGGTGTTGGAGTGGGCGGCGCTGGTAGTGCTGGTGGTGGTGGTGGCGGAGGCGCCACTGATTTTCGACGACCGTTGACGGTCATCTTCTGACCGCCATCGTCCAATGGCAGCGAGGAGTTGAACTTGTCTATGACTTAGGAAATGAGAGATTAAAGTTAAACGTAGCCAACTTTACAGTTAAGCCTCGAGTTGTAAACTAATCATAAGCTTTGTTAAAATGGGGAGCAGCAGCAGCAGCAGCAGAATTAAGAAGCGGGAGCAGGTGCTGGCGCATGTGGTGATGGAGGACTCTCAGACCCACATACACACACACACACACAGATATAAGGCAGGAAGACAAAACGAGCGGTGCAATTTTTTATGTTTTAAACGCTGAACGAAGTGCATAGCATAAATTTAAAATGTATTTAAATTCTACACATATACAACATCAAAAATACAAAAGAAAAACAAAATACAACAAAACAAAAATGCAACAAATAAAACGAGCATTGTCAAAAAGCAGCAAATTGTTGTTAATCAAAGGGGGTGGTATATATTTTGTTAGAATGGAAAACCCCAATGAACAATTTAAGCGCAGACTTTAAGGCATTGTATAATTTTAATTTTACTACTTACTATTAGGCTTAAACTATTTGTCTCTTTAAATTCTCTTACAAAAACTTATCAAACCGCTAAAAAGACATCAAAACATATTCGTTTGCCCTCCATTTGATTCGAGATTAATTGCAAGTGAGTGGCGGGCTGTCGAGCTGACTAAGGGTGGGAGTGGGAGTGGTGTAAGGTCCACGAGTGCCCTCGGAGGGTTGCAGGGTGCTGAGCGAAAGTCAAGAGCGCGCAAACCGTTAAACGCTTCCTAATTAAGGTAACTTCTTGTGGCAGCTCCTTTTGGCCAATCAGCTGCCGCTGCCGCTGCTGCAGCCTTCGTTGACAAACTCGCAAAGCGGTCTGCATTTCGTTTGCTCAAGCAGCGGCAACAACTCAAAGAAGTTACCGTTCGCCACTAATTAGTGCGAGTCAAGGTGCAAAAATCACCCACAAATTTAATTAATTTTATGCCGTTTTGAGCGCAGCTGCAATTAGCGGCAAGCCTATTAAACGCTAAAGAGGGGTTGAATTTAATCTTGAAATTTTGCCAACATATTTAATACATTATAATACTTGTAATAACGTATACAAATTACTCGCGTTAGAGTAACTTTTCAACAATTTTCTTCCGTTTAATTCGCAATAGAAGGTAATTTGGTATTGTGCTATAGATGGCGCCGCCACAACTCGTGAGAGCTGAAGATTAACCTAGATGGCGCTTACACCAGCGACATCTATGTGGCTTACTTAATGTGAACACTCAAGCTTCTCCAAACACTCGCCAGAGCGCACAGTTGACTGTACGTTTTACCATATGCTGAATAGGTGGCGCTAGTCTGAAACGGGTATGTGTTTAGTGGCTGCTTGGCAGCACTGGTTATGTTAACTTCATTCGCTGTTGTTACCGCCACCTACATCTGGTGGTTAACCTTGTTCAAACATTAACAGTGCATAGACTTGCTTGTTCTGTTAATATTGGTATGTAAATGTTATTTGTCTACACCATTTAAGATTTCTTAGTTTTGAAACTAAATCAGTAAAAAATTGTACTTCTCTTAACCCATAGAATATTATTAAATGATCAAATTTATAAAAAAAAAATTTTATGAACAGATAAAATTGTATAAAATCAAATCTCTTTGTGAATTCGTCGTGTAGAAACTCTCAGAGCTGGAACAAGTTTATGCATAATACAAAAACCTTATTAGACTGGCCAATCGATATGTCCATATCGGTCAGTTAGAATATCAGTGGATCTCTTATTAGTAAAGAAAAATCGAGCCTACCTTTTTAAAACCGTTGATTTGCATATTCAGTGGTAAATTGCTATCAGATTTCTCCATTCTTCACTGCTGACTACTGACACGCCCACTTTTGCCCACCTCAATGGCCTCCTTACCGCTGTGGTTTCACTGCGCTCATTTAAAACACAAATCACGATTAGCGAGCCACATTTCCATATTTTTGGGCGACAAAAAACTTTTGCCCGCAACGATGGCAATTGTGGGCGATGGCAACGATGGCGACACTGTCGACGACTCCTCCATAAATTATTGCAGCTAAAACGCAGCCAAACAATGCGACGTCACTGAGTGGACAATGAGTGGGGCGGGAACACGGAAAGGTGCCCGGGGACTTTCGTCGAAGCCATAAAAAGCGCTTCAAAAATACCCAAAATTATGGCAATCATCGCACAACCCAGCCAGGTCCTGGTTCTGGTCCTGGTCGAATTCCGTGTGTCCCACCATAAGTAGCGCAATTTTTGTTAGTATCGCAGTGGCAAGTGGCAAGTGGCAAGTAGCGGAATTGAATGATGCTCTGCTCATTGTCCTGATGGTGGGCATAATAGAGCAGCCGTAATGTCCATTATGCGAGAACAAATGGCAGCTGGCATAGTGTGTGCCAGGACACGATAACACTTGCCGTGCAGCGAACATTGAGCAGCGAGCAGGACCAGCAAGCGGGGAGAGCAGAGGAAGCTGAAGCAGAAGCAGAAGTCAAGCAAAACTATGGACACCAGTTGCTGGCCATTGTCTTGGTAGCGCTGCCTTGGCCAATAAAATGCATTCAGCTCGCATGCAAAACAAAAACGATAAAAATGCCGTCACCATTGAGAACGCGTCTAAGCAGCCGCAGCGCCATCCATTACCCCCACTCCTCCCAGGCATTGTCTATGCCATTGGCCAAAGCGCCACTCGAGCGTCGACATGCGCGCAACGTGGCCTTTAAAGGGAGCCCAGCACCAGCAGCAGCAACAGCAGCAGCAATGGGGTTGGGGGTGGGTAGCCAACAACAGTTGATAGCGCTGCCATTTTTATTGTACCGGGTTGGGGGCAACTCTCAATTCTATCTACCTCCCCCAGTATCTCACTCTCTCTCTCTTCTTTATCTAGCCAAAAAGTCTACACATCGTTTCACGCGCTTTGGAGAGCGACGCATGCTCAGTGCAACAAAAACATAAAAAAAAAAAAACTTCATTTGAATTTTGTGTCTTTTGGCGCGAAACAGTTTTCAAATTGTGCATCACGTGGAGAGTTCAAAGGCATATTATTGGCTAGTTTAGAAAGAATCCACGATTATATTCCTTTAACAATCCATTTATTTTATTTTTTATTTCACTTACTGGAATGTTGCTTATCCATAAAATACGCTTATTTATTAAACAAAATATACCCCTATTGCAATTATATGAATAAGAAACCTAGAAAAAATGAGCAACTTCCTGTGATCAATTTGCAACAAACAAGCAAAGCAATTGAACTGGTTACTCCCCTACCAGACAATAAAGGCGAAATGCAACGAGAATTGCATGAACATACGTAACATACGTGTAAGTTAAACCGATACAAAAATAAGACTGTGTTTGCAGACTGATTGATCGAATGACGATCGATTGTGGAAGCAAATAAGCCAACAGACAAAATTGATAAGTAACTGAATTTTTGGTCGAGATAATCGTAAGTACATAAATCTTACAATAAGCAAAACATAAATACCCAATAAAAATACATGTATGCATGTTCTTTTTTGTGCAAGATATTATCTGTGGAAAGAAAAGGACGCAGGACAAACAATTGGTGGTAAAACAACAAGAGCAAACATACAAACAAATACAACAAGCAGAAGGTAAGATATATATATTCGAGGCATGAAATGTGAGCAGCAGCAAATTGTATCACTCAGCCGCCACGTTGTCGTTGACTGCGTTGTCTTCGCGTCCTCGGAAGTGTAAAGAAACCAAATAACAAAATAAAACAACTCTACAAACACCCGTCGCGCACTCTCTCTCTCTCTCTCTCTCTCGATCGTTCGGTCTCTGTCGCACGCTATCTGCCTCTTGGTCGCTCCTGTGGTGCGTCGAGCGAGCAGCCCACATGCAACCACCACTACAATAACAAAAATATACCCTCTGCACACACACGCACACACACACACACACTCACCCACTCAGGCTGCACAGTTGAGTTGATTTCAGTTTTTGTTTGCCGTTTTTGTTCCGCCAACTGTCGCAAGTTTTCGAATGCCATCCATAGATTGTGCCCTTAGCCCATGGCATAGAATGTGTGTTTCAAATCAAAACTGTCGCGCACTCGATACGGACGCACCGTCTCCGGCAACGCACTCGGCTCCGGGTTAGTTTAGCTGAGAAGGAAACGAAACTTTGAGTGCTGCTCAAAAACGTTTGTCAAGTGTTATCCAAAGTGTTTAAGTCGGGCTTAAAACAGTTCAAAATACACAGATATGCACTGTACTAAATATTAAACAATATTCAAGAAACAAAAGATCATTAAAATAATATCAAAGTTCGATGATTAAGTGGTGAAGAGCTTAACATTACTGCAAAGTGTTAAAAACAAACTGAGCTTATTAAAGATTGTTATTCTCGGGATTACAAATCAAATTTACTTGCTATACGAAAGGTAAGCATTCATTTTATACAAGATAAGATTTCTGTGTGAGTCATAAGTTGATTGTTTATTTAAATATTGTTTAATTGATTGATTGGATATTACTATTGACTTTAGAGCAATCCATAAAAACTAGTAGTGTATATTACTAAGGTAACTTTTATATTTATAGTTCAAAATAAAAGATTTTCAGTTGCAAATCTAAATTACAGATCGATTTAATTCCGTGTATTAAAAGTCAACATTTATAGATACTCCGATTATTCAATCTCTATAACCTGAAACTATTAATGTTCATCAACCTATTCCAAGATTGCTCTCATAATCGAAAAATAAATAAAGAATTTCCGCTTTTCGAATTAATTTTGGCAAAGATAATTTTATCTACTTCTTAGAATTATAGGAATTATTTGCTTACATTGCAAACTATGCATATTTACATTGCCAACCATAAATAGTAAATATTCTGTTGCATACTATATAAATATTATGTATACCTGAATTGTAAAATGGCACAATGAAAGCTTTATATAAGCCAAGGGGATTTTACGGCTTTCGAGGAATAATCATATCTAGGAGTAATCATATCTATATCTACACTGTATGTATGTATACAAATGTACTCAATGAAAACATTTCTAATTGGTCGAATGCGAATTCACCATTAAAACACTTTATGATATTTGGATTACTCATTACCTTGTGGCCCCTTGCGCAGTTATCCAAACCATTGAAGTAATCCCAGTTGAAAAACAGTTGAAAATAGAAACTCACCCTTCTTCACTTTTGGGCACAAACAAAGCATATCTATTGAACTCCATTACCGTTTGCATTTCAGCAACATATACGGTGACGGTCAGTGCATTGCACCATAATTCCCGGACCCATCGACGACAGCAGACAGACAATCGGGCCACTCACCTGACCACCCCAACCAAACGCAGCCATGTCGAGCATCTCGGCGTTGCTGCATCGCAGTCACAGTCACAGCCATAATTGCAACGGCTACACGAGCAGCGGCAGTGGGAGCAGCAGTCACAGTCATCACAGCAGCAGCAGCTTCTCACCGCCGACGACAATCGGGGCAGCCACAACACCGCCGCCGCCACCGCCTCCAGTGGTTCCCAAGCAGCAACAACAACAGCAGCAACAACAAGAGCAGCAACAGCAACAACAACAGCAGCAACAGCAACAGCACAACAGCTCCAACAATTCGAATGGAAGTTCGCATCATGACCACATTAAGCGACCAATGAATGCGTTCATGGTTTGGTCCAGGGGTCAGAGACGCAAAATGGCGCAGGACAATCCCAAAATGCACAATTCAGAGATATCGAAGCGTTTGGGTGCCGAATGGAAATTACTCACCGAATCACAGAAGCGTCCATTCATTGATGAGGCCAAGCGATTGCGGTGAGTGTGTGTTGTGTGTCTGTGTGTATATGTCTGTGTGTGTGTGTGTGCGTGTCTGTGCGTGTGTGTGGGTTTGTCAACTGGTTACAATTTAAGCGATTAGCTAAGACAATGGAGAGCTATTGTAAGGCTTCAAAATGGCATTGAGCAGTTTTGAAAAGGTTTTAGGAGCCGGGGGAGGTGTTTTGATTGGCATATCTTGGGTAAACAATGGTATTGAAATTGGTGTGTTGTTGTTTTAATTTTGCATTTGGTTTGAGATTGATAACTGTGCAGACAGTTAGCTCACTGTTTGCACTGTCTGAATCCTTTTATTGATTGTATTGGACTGCCAAATGGTTGTGTAAATGTTAACTGACATTTATTAATGAGCGCAGTTCACAGCTAGAGGCTTAAACTAATGGCCATTCGATTTTTGGTTAAGACAACAAAATACATATAAATAAACCAAAAAATAAAAAAAAAGAATGCCCATCAAATTGAAAAACAAGCAACGCTGTACAAATATTTGCCAATGTGCGAGGCGTTGATAAGGCGGCACACTCGCATATCATTTCAATTTCAATTCGATTGTCTTCTTCTTCAGTGTTCTTTCTTTTTGGGTAGAGATAACAGGACTGACCAATTATGGGTATGGGAACTGCAACAAAGCCAAAGCCACTCAGGCAAGGAAAGCAAAAGTGACAAACAACAGCAACCACAATTCATAATACACACCTTTTATCAACATTTATCGTTTGTCAAACAAATGTCAACAATTGCGCATTGTTGCACCTGGGAATGCTCAAAGAACTCCATGGCTCTACAAGTTTGGAAAACTCTGTCTTGCTAAATGGCCAGATAAGCGTTCAGTCTTACAGGAGAGGTTTTATTGACGGACTTAAGGGCAATTTGAATACCCTGCAACCACAGTTCGTATTTAATTACAATAATATGAAAATTCTTTATATCTAAAGAAAGAGGAGCCTTTGAGTTGAACTCTCAATAAATAATTTGTATATATGTTTTCGTAAAATGATATCATATCGTACAATTAAAACCAATATATAAAATAAAGAATATTCAAAGCCCTTCCTCAATTTGATTCTTTAGATAAGCAAATCAGAAATCAAAATTATATCTATTTTTCATCAAAACTGATTAGATATTTATTTATTTCCAACAATCGCATTAGATCTTATACTTTTCTCGGTACGAATTACAGGGTATCAAGCAAATGTATATAATATAACCGCTACATTTGTGCGGCTTCATTTTTATAGCCAGGTGAACGGGACAGCAGATTGACTTTATGATATCATCGTTCGATCGTTTTATATCGTTTTATATATCGATGCCGTTGCACGATCTTTGATCAATGTTCCAACATTTACTCAATTTACAGCGCGCTGCACATGAAAGAGCACCCCGATTACAAATATCGGCCGCGTCGCAAACCCAAGACACTGAACAAGTCACCCGTGCCGGGTGGAGGCGGAGGAGGTGGCGGAGCTTCCAGCACTAGCAGTGGACTCTCTTCCGCCGGTCAGCTGAGCAAGGAACATGCGCAGGCCCAGCACTCACCGCATGCGCCAGGCTTAACCCATCATCACCATCATCCGCATCATCCACATCCCGCCCACGCTGCCCACGCCCATGCGCATCATCATCATCATCATGCGCAGCTGAGCGCTGTGGCAGCTGCCGCTGCAGCCGCTGCCGCCGTCTCGCATTCCCATTCACACTCACCCACCTCGCTGGCGGTCAAGTATGGGTTTGGATCACCGCTGGAGCTGTCGCTTCCACGGGTACCTGGCGGGTTTCCCGGGCTGGCGCATTATCCGCTGGATCCAACACTGGCGCTCGATCTGCAGGCGCGTCTGCAGGCCATGTATGCAGGTAGCATCTATCATCCATGGCGCTACTTGCCGCTGATCAGTCCCGACACTCCGCCATCACCGCCCAGCAGCAGCGGCACAACCATCTCATCTTATGGCTGTGTCAAATCGGCCAAATCCTCGCCGGTGGCTGTGGTGCCAGCGTTGGCCACAACACCGCCCAACATTATTTGACCGACTCCGCTGCGCTACGGCGCTGCCGCCGCGGAGCATGCGGTCTAAAGTTGCAACATCAACGTCAACAACGTTAACACATACATACACACACACACCCCAATCCCCCACCCAAAACTGGTAGCAGCAACGAAAGCTCGCCAATTGCTAGTATGTAGAAACCTAGTTTTAGCTGAGTCTTTGTGAATTTGTGTTTTCTATTTTTGTTGCTTGTTTCTGTTTCTGTTTCTGTTTTCCCCTCGGACTGTGCTCGAACTATTGATTTTGAATACTTGTGGTATTTACTTATGTACATATATATGAAGATAACTTTTAACTGCAACTAAAAATAAATAAAAGTCAAATTGTTCCTATGAACTTTTTATATGAGTATGTTTGATTAGATCGCCAAGAGAGACAAGTCCAGCAAAGTCCAGTCTTGTACTTCTGGATGAATACATCGAGGAAGAACAATGAAGAAGAAGTTTTTGTTTAAAAAACAATACGAGAAGCCAGATATATAAAAGTCGCTGAGCTTTCAGCCGATACCATTATCAAAATCAATTGTTTAATTGCAGCGCCTTAATTGCTTCTAAGTTCTTAGTGCTTTATATATAGTTGAGGCAATCCAAATTGACCCGATCTTGTGTAATATATGCGTATATATATAATAAATCTATATTTTAATGTGATATAAAAAGAAAAAAATTGAAACTGTAAACGAATAAACGATTTTTAAATAGCACACGCCCCACTGATTGATGACTACACTTGTAAGACTCTTCACAGAGGCAGCCCACACACACATATATAGCCATAAACCACCCAACCACCCAACCAGCTTGGCAATCTGTCAGCACTCAACCGCCAGGGGGCGCCACAGGCGCGTGAATAATAACGACAATGTTTGCTGATGCGTTGATTATTAGTTTAAATTGACGGCCGCTCGGGGGTTTGTCTACCGTTATATTGTTCTGGGGGTTGCACGCTCTCAACTCTTAATGCTTAATGGGATTCACTACGCCCACTTGTTTATGCAACCGACTGTGAACTGCGATGAGGCGTGGCAGACTGACTGAATGACTGACTGGCTGGCAGGCAGGCAGCAGGCGATGATCACATAAAAACAATTGACACCTTTCCAAAACAAAGAAGCTGCCAACGGACAGTAAGGGATGAAGGGGGTGTGTCGTGTGGCAATTGTAGCGACCGACGGCATCATAACCAGCTCAAAAGCCGCACATAAAACTCACACAAATGCCACGCTGCATCGCAGCCAAACTGCTGATAAGAAAGCGAACGCGCGACGTCTGCCCAAAGAGTTTCCCAACCCCCCACCAAGCAATCCAACCCACCCACTCTACCACAACTGACAACGGACTCCAACCCGGCAGCCAAAAGTCGTGCGCTGATTGTCTGCATAGCTACACACACACAAACACACACATATACAGACAGAGCAGAGCGAAAGCGAATGAGAGCTCACGTCTGGCTGCCTTTTGTTGCCGCAAGGTCGTTTTTATAGTGTCCTGGTCCGACAACGAGAACGAGAACCAGAATCCAAACCCGAACCACATCCAGCATTGGCAATAAAGACAGCCCCTCGTTGTTTGTATTTGACCTCACCCAAATGCCAGTGTCGAGTCACAGTCACAGTGCAAATCACTTGTGCGAAACACTACCAAATACTAGAACAATATTTGCCCAATGAAGTTGTCATGCAGCCCACAATGCGATGAGGACAATAACCCCCCCAACAAACACTTAAGCCCAGCCGAAAACAAGAAGGGGACATTCCTTGAATGAATGATGTTGTCAAACTGTGGCATTTCCGAAGGCAGCCAAAGATCTGGTAATTAAATAATATATAGATAGCTTTGCTCGGGTCAATAATTGTTGACCAGGAGAGGTATGAAACATTCTCTCGTGAAACAAAAAGTACTTGTACAAAAAAATAGAAAATAACACAGAATATATTTTGGTATACCTGATTTTTAATAGATCATTTAAATAAGCTATGCCAAATTTCTAACTACAGCGATACCATAATTATGAGCATGTTATTATTATTTCTATATCGTTATCAGTAAAGCAGCTTATAAATTAGAACCTGGCTATCTTTCGAGACACAAAGACTTGCAAATCAATTATCAAAATTTAACGGGTCAACTACTCAGTGCTCTCCACAGAAGTCAATAGCTATCAAAACTAGCAGACACGCGTAGGACACGTGCACTCACCCCAACACCAATACCAGTGCCAAACCAACACACACACATATTACCAGTTGAGAGTTCTTCCAATTTTGTTGTGGGTTCTCCTGAGTCACTTGTTTCAAGGCAAACAAAAAATGCGAGTGGGGCGCGCAAAGGACAAACGAAAAACGTGTGAAATGAAAGTTGTTTGGTTTGCTTTGTGCGTTTGCTGAGAGCGACTGAGAGCGGCTGAGAGAGGAGTGGTGCACTGTTGTCTGGAGCGTGGATGAAGAGGTGACAAAGTGGCAATGAGAGCAGTAGCCCGGTAGAGATCTTCCCCCAACACTAGTGTACAAATTTTTGTTTTATTTATTTGGAACGACGTCGCCTGGTTCCCCCCTTAACCTTCTGCCATTCCTGTTTTTCTTATTTCTTTTTTTTTTTTTGTGCTATTTCATTCCTGGCACACTCACATCCGTTTCGATAAAAAGAAATATTTTCTTTTTGCCATGCGTTGCTATGGCACTTTTCTTTTGGCCCTGGCGCTTCATTATTACTATGAAGTAGTATATTTATATTTATTTTTTGCTGCTTCTTATTATTTTGCTGAAGTTGGCTCTTTAAGGTAGCCTCGACCATTACCCATTACGCAGAGGATATTGTGGGGCCATGAATCAATTGGGCAATGTCCATTGCCCGGAAATGTGGCGAACCGAAAAAGATGGCACTCCATTTGCGGTTCATTTATTTGAAGCGAAGTAAGGGGTAGCCAAGGGAAGGGAAGGCAAAGCAGAGGAGACCTGTCTTCTGAGATTTCTCAATCCACGGAGCCTGTGTGCACCATAATCGCGTGTAATAAATTTTAATTTTTTAAGCATTTGTAAGCAGTTTTATCGGGCCAACAAAGGACTACATTTTTTAAGTGCCAAGCCAGCCAAAAAAAAAGGATATAAGATTAAGACGCCAAGGCGAAGATGAGACATAAAAAACGCCAAGCAAATTAGCGACCCAGTCGAGGAACACACGACGGGATGAGGTCGAGTCGAGGATAAAGCAGTCGACAAGGAGGCTGCTGCTGCTGCTCAGCTACTGCGGTTTATCACGCCCACTGCGTCAACGGATATCCGACGCATGGAAGACAAACAAAAAAGGCATTAAATCGCATTTAAGTCAAGGCGGGACGCAGAAGGCGAAATGAAACCAAATACCACCCTCCCCCCCTGCCACTCCACCGGCTTATACTCGACTTGATGGCAGAGCGTAGCAGAACGAGCATAAGGATGACGACAACCCAAGATACCGATGCCTTGACAGTTCCACATTGGTGTGAAGGATGCTTACAGCTTATCAAGTGGATGCTGCGCTGGAGCTTCAGATGCTACCAATGAAAATAACATGTTAATATTATTAATAATCTGAATGAAATTCGAGTATGAACTTGTGGCACAAGCTGCAATATATTATTCTAGCTATAGTATTCAGAATTGTACAGCATTTAAAAAATTATTAACAGACTGACAGATAAGAACGGAGTTTAGAAATTAATCTAGAGTTCACTTAAGTTGAATGTAAATTACTGATAGGTTATCAGATAGGGACAAACACTTTTGTTCGAAGCCCATAATCCAATTATATCAAAAGTAAGATTTATAATTTACAGCTTCTCAAGCCCTTTGTGCCTTTAAATTTGAAAATTAACTAATAAATGAATAGTCATATCGGTCGTCGCCTGCCTGTTGTAAATTAAAGACTCCATTCAGTTGTTTTGTGCAATTTATAAAAATAATATAATGGCACATCAGATAAAGAGATGGTATACTGTATTAATGAAATTGCCCATGTACGATATTACTATACATACGCAAAACGGACGCCCGTCCCTGGGCTCCAGTAAATGAGCCGGGCAGCAATTAAACTGAGCCCTGAGCATCAGCATTCACCGCGCAGTAAATGCATTCCCGAACAATGCCAGACTTCTGTGTGTATGTGTGTGTATTTTTTAGTGCCTTTTTTCCAGTAGGTACGCGTAAAAAGTGGCAACGCTGCCGCCCACACAGCACGCCGGGAGGGAGCTGGCAGGACTGAAAGCTGGACAGGCAGCACAAAGGAGCAATTAATGCAAAATTGTCGTTGCATAATTGCTGAACATGCAGCTGGAACAGCAGCTGGACATAAAGAAGCAATTAATGGCGCACAAATGCGCTTGGCATGCATAAAAATGCTGAGCTGTCTGTCATCCTTGTGCTGTTAAAAAGTTGAAAAAGTGCAGCAGCAGAGGCAAATCAAAGTTGCTGACCATTTGCCAGGCCGGCAAACAATTGCAATTACATTAGAAAAGGCAGCACAAGCAGCAGCAGCAGCAGCAGCAGCAGCAACAATGGCAACAGTTTAGCCTTAGCCTTAGCCTTAGCCATGCGGCACCCACGTAGCGCGTTGACTTCCGTTGCATGCCAGGCACGTTGCAAATTGTCGCAACGCAGCGCATCAAAAAGCAAAAAAAAAAGGAACGAAACACAAAAGCCACGGCCAAGCGAATTGCCAATTTAAATTTGAATAGAGGAATTGCAAGCGCTTCTCACAGCTGGCCGAATCCTTTCACAATTCGCCAATCACTTGGTTGTGCCCCAATAATAACAATGGCAACGAACACAGCTTTACTCCGTTTGTTGTGGATATGGATGTGCAAGTCTTCTAACATTTAAGCAAAAGGAACTTACAGCATTAACTTTTAACAACACATTTCAATACCATTTATCGCTCTAATTTTTTCGAAACTTAAGCACCAACTAAACAAGATAATAAATTAGATAGTCCAATTTGACATTCTAGTTCAGCATTCTTCTTATGTTTGCGGAATTTAAGGTGTCAAGAATAAAAAATGTATGGACACATGTAAAAACAAATTGTATATACACCTTATGACGTGATTACTCATATAAGGAATTTTGATTGCACGGTCATTGGAAATTTTTGCAGATAAGTGGCAGTCGGCATGACAGCAAATTCTGGCTATGAATGCATTAAACAAAGGAAGCAAACAAAATCCATATAGCCTCAGGGCAATGACCTAATTAAGCATCGTCTTTATCGGTATCAGGCAACCAATCAACCAAGCAGTGCATCCAATGTGCAAGCTGCGATCTCTGACCGCAATTTCGACTCATCTAGAAGACCTGTCTATATATAATTGCATAATGGGATGTAACTGATAAACATTTTGTTGCCAGATCGGGTATAAATACAGCGTTGAGAGCAGCCAGTATTGCAGTCGCCTTCTGGTTTCTAAGGAAGTAGCTACTACTAACAAGATGAATAAGCTTCTCGTGCTGGTAGCCTGTGTGCTTGGCACAGTATCCGCTGGTCGCATTCTTCAACGTGACTTGCAACGTGACCTTCGCCCTGGTAAGTTACCCAGCCTGGAATAATGCCTTAATTTATGTTGTGTATTTTGCAGTTGACCAGCGCATCGAGCGCTTGTCCTGGCAGGACTTGCAGCGCCAGAAGTTTATACTAGACATCGTGCAACGTGTGCAGCAACCATTGCAACAGGATGATCTGATACAGCTGGACCAGGGCCTGATTGTAGACGCACAGCGCTATAATGGTGGCATCGATGAAGATATACAGCGTGTCATCGACTTGGATCGCCAGCGTCGCTTGCTGGATGAGCACCAGATCTTCAGTATTCTTGATGTGGGGCATGTGCAGCAGTTGCGTGGCATCTACAGCCTGCTGGTGCGCGCCATTGACTTCGAGACACTGCAGCGCAATGTTGTCTATCTCAGGCGCAACATAAATCCCGTGCTGCTGATCAATTCCCTATCTTTGGCAATTCGCGATCGCGAAGACACCCAAGCTTTGATCATTCCTGCCGTGCAGGAGCTATTGCCGGAACTTTATCTCAACCAGCAGACAATTGACAACGTCCAGCGTAAGCAGTTGGAATTGAACCAAAGCAAGCGCCCCTCTCTCTTGGATCTGTTGGGTCGTGATCAGCGTATACAACTGATTAATCCTTTGGTATGGCGCGATCTACGCCTACAATTGGCGCTGAGAAGGCAACAGATTCAGCAAACCCAGTATCGTTTGGTGCTGCCCGTCCAGGCGACGGCTGAACAGCAGGATGTCACGCTGTTGACCGAGGACATTGGCATGCGCAATTTTATACAGAATTTAATCCAAGAGCTAGCTCTGTTTGAGGACAATAATAATGATGTGAACATAAACTTGGAGAAGGAACGCCGCCAAGACAATGTCGAAGTCGATAACAGCCGATTGCTAGGCGAAAACCGACGGCGCGCGCAGCAACAGCAGAACATAGATAACATTCGTGAGCAAAATCTCCGCCGTAACGTGAATGATAACGAAGATGTTCAATCCATAGGCCGTGTGCCTCTGCTGCGTAATATTGGAGTTGGTCTTGGAGGCAAGTTGGAAAACTACGTCAACCAATTGCCCACTGTTGACATTAACAGCGATCGCCTTTTGCCAGTGGGACGTCGCCGCCAGAATGTAGACCGTAGCGAGGATGACAATGAGCAGTTGCAGTCCCGTTATGAGGGTCTTCGCATAGACCAGGAACAGGCACAGAACATCAGACAAATCAACAAGAATGGAGATAACGTTCAGCAGTTGAACAATAATCTTCAGGCCGTGCCTCGAGATGATGACCGCCTGGTGCACATTAACAGACGCCGGGTGGTGCAACCCATTGATAACATAGAGCCCCGTCGTATTAATCCAATTGGAGAGGGTCGTCGCGTGGTGAATTCCAAGGCAGATGAAGACATTGAGCAGCTGATACGCAGTGGCAATCGTCTAGATCAGGTAAGCGATGAGAACATCGCAGCGATTATTGCCAATGTCCGCAATCTCCAGCGGAAGGAACAGAACCAGCAGCAGCAGCAGAAGCAAGAGAAGGGTCAGGAAAGGAACAATCTGCGAAAACTGACTGACAATCTGCAAAGTGTGCCTCGCGACAATGAGCGTCTAGTTGTTGTCAATAGACGTCGACTCAATCAGCCCGCAGAGAACTTGACTCCTCGTCGTATCAACCCAATTGGAGAGGGTCGTCGAGTGGATGACGTTAATCCCCTGACGGAGGAAAACATCTTGCACCTTATACGCAGCGACAATCGTTTGGGTCAACTTGACGATGGGGAGATCATTGAGATGCTTCGTCAAAATCGCCAGCGCAAAGAACAAACGCAACACGAACGCCTTCAGCAGCAGCAGCAGCAGCAGGAACAGCAGCAGCAAGAACAGCAGCAGCAGGAGCAGCAGCAGCGGGAGCAGCAGCGGGAGCGGCAGCAGCAGGATCAGCAGCAGCAGCAGCGGCAGCGGGAGCGGGAGCAGCAACAGCAGCGGGAGCGGGAGCAGCAACAGCAGCTGCAGCAGCAGCAAGAGCAGGATCAGGAAAGGAACAATCTGCGAAATAGTAACCAGGAAGATGACATTCTCCTTTTGACTGATAATCTGCAAAGTGTGCCTCGCAATGATGAGCGTCTGGTTCATATCAATAGACGTCGACTCAATCAGCCTGCAGAGAACTTGAGTCCTCGCCGTATTAACCCAATTGGAGAGGGTCGTCGTGTTGATGGCGTGGACCCCTTGTCGGAGGAAGACATCATGCAGCTCATACGTAACGACAATCGTTTGAGTCAACTGAGCGATGAGGAGATCATTGCGATATTGCGTCGTAATCGCCAACGCAAGATACAGGGTCAAGAAGTGGAGCAAGGACGCCGCAACCGACGCAGCTTGGACAACAACGTTGAGGAGCGCGAGTCTCGCCGCGGTGAAGTGCTATTGCAAACTCTCCGCCAGCTTTTGGCACGCATTAACCAGGAGCGTATATCTGAGCGATCGGGAAACGATAGGTTAATCAACAATTCTGGTCAGATCCAGTCCAACCAAGATCAAGCTCAGCGGAACGCATTGCGGCTGAATGAGAAGCGTATCGACTCGCGTAACAATCGTGTCCTGCTCGAGCAAATCAATATCATCGAGAGTCGTTTGCAGCAGGTGATTGGTCTTCTGATCCGTGAGGTGAACAACAGATCGGGAGCGCAACAAATTGATCAGCAAGTGCGCATCGAGAGTGTGATTGGTAATGTTCTATTGGGTCGCCTGGGTGACATTGGTATTCTGCGCATCATCCGCGAGCTGCTGCAGGATAGCAACGTGCAGACCGATCGCCTGGGCCTCGGAGTCAAAGTGGGTGATCGTGTGCTGCAACACACACTACGCCGAATTATTAATATTGTGGATGAGCAACGCGATCAGCAGCTGGGCGCCTATCAGCTAGAGCAGCTGGTCCTGCCGGATGTGAAAATCAACGATATACGTGTCAGCAAGCTGCGCACTAGGATTGAGGACAACGACTTGGATGTGAACAACCTGCTGGAACAACCGCAGCAAGCGCAAGTAATTGTGCGCCAGCGTCGCCTCAACAACAAGCCCTTCACCATTGACATAGACATCAGCTCGAAGCGTGCACAGGACGTTATCGTTCGTGTATTTCTGGGACCACGTCAGGATGTGGCGGGCCGTGAACTAACCCTTGAGCAGGGTCGATCTGACTTTTTGCTTCTGGATGCAGTCAACACCCAACTGCAGTCAGGCGGCAATCGTATCCAGCTTCGTTCCACAGATATTGCCTGGACGACACCCGATGCCACACCCTACAGCGAGATCTATCGTCAAATGCTGACCACACTACGCGGCCAACAGCAGGAGCAGGTGTCGATTCCAAAACTGATTGGCGAGAATGGACGCTTCCCGCAGCGCTTGCTGCTGCCACGCGGTCGTGTCGAGGGTCTGCCAATGCAGCTGTTTGTCATTGTGTCACCAAAGGAGCGCCTGGAACGAGAGCAATCACTGCGCTTGGAGCGCATTGGTGGCGTTATAGGCACAAGCAGGGCATCCTTGACAGACAGCCGCCCGCTCGGCTATCCGCTTGACCGACGCATTGTCAATGAGCAGGAGCTGTTGCAGCTGCCCAACGTGCAAGTACAGGAGGTTGTCATTGTGCACGATAACTGAAAAGGAAGCCCATTTCAAACGAAGACCGCCCGATCGATTGCCCTGAAATTACACGTATTCTGACGAAACGATATCGAAATGTAATAGATAATTCTAAATTTTTGGTTTATAGCAATAATAAATAATAAATAAATTTACGCAAGTGATGCCGAAAGTGCATTAAAAAAGGAATCGTTTTTTAACTATAAGAAATTAACTATCAGACAACTTTTTTAGCATATCATATAGAAATGAGACAAGATAACTGGAAAAGATGTTGAACCCATTTCAAAATAATCTCTTTGTATTTGTATTTAAAGCATATTTGTTTATGTAATCGGGATACCTTTTATTAATACTGATTATTCATCTATGAGTTTTGCAGACTGTAAGATAAATCCCAATTGTCGCACCTGACTGGCTTTTCTAATTTCGAAAAACGATTTCAATGCAAATTGCATGAGAGTCTAGCGAAGGACAAGAGGACAAGGATTAAGACCACCACCAACAAAAGCCGCCCACAAAAACACTTTCATATTATGTTCTGGGCAGACAATGCAGCGACCAAATAGCTGGCAGGCAGCTTTTCCTGATACTATAATAGACTTTTCTTATTCTTGCCACACAACTCAATTTGCAACAACGACAGAATGCCGTCCCTCTACCATCCATCCCGGCACTGGCTCTCGCACATAGTATCTGGCATGTCGCAGACGCCCAGCGAAGCGTCAATTGCCAAATTAATTGGCCGTAAAAAATTGAAAATGAAAATATAATCACACTTTCCGTTGGGAAAGTGACGGGGAGCCGTGTTGTCACTGGCTCAGCTCGAAACGATTTTAGCTTTTAACCCTCCGCTCGAGAAGAGTTTTCTCATCAAGGCAGACAGACAGCCAGCGTTGGCCAACCATAGAACAGCAGACATTTCGCTGCAGGCATTTAAATGTTGCATTTTTCCATGTTCCCTCGTATCTCACATCATCAGATACCGATACCCTATGATTTTTTTTTATTTCATATATTTGATGCTCTTAGGCAAAATCGAAATATGTCTCAGCATAATTAAAACCGGTTTCACATATATTTATTCAGTAAGCTATAAAATACTCAATTTATGTCTGAGATGAACAGCTATAAATTGACGCGATTTAATCTATCATTAAATATTGCCTATGGAGTATCACATAGTCGCTATATTTAAGTTGAAATTGGTTTTTGTGCTGCTGGAGAATATGGCACATCGCATAATGGAAAAATGTTGCCACTCGACCTGACTCTCGACTTTTGCCACCTGAATGCACTTTCATTATCTTCGAGTGGCTTTTTTATTCTCTGTTTTTATTTTCTTTTTGCTATCGTCTGATGAGCTGATTAAAGGGCAAACAACTTTGGTATTACACGGCCTATTAGCTGCCCGCTTAATGCAAAAATAATTATGTCTCGCTAATCAGTGCTGTGCGAAAAACTTTCAAGTTTTGAGACTTTCGCCAAGACTATTTAACCCTTTCAGCACACTGCACTCTAACTAAGCTCAAAAACTTTCCACGAGTGGCAATTGAAGGTAGCAAAACGCGTACCCAAAAACTTTTGTGATTAGCGGCCACAGCGCAGATAGCGAGCAGCGCGGAGCAGCTGATGCGGAAAGTGCTCGCATAATTTATGTTGTGCGGCTTTTGCACTTGCAGCTAACTCAGCCAACGGAAATGCCGTTGCGCGCAGCTTCGGCGCCCTCGATTCCCTCACTTCCCCTTTGCCTAGAAAACATCCAACAAATTCCATAGCATACATTTCAGGGCGCTCAACGAAAACTTCTTGCCACGCAAATTAGCGGCCACATTTGTTCCGCTTCGTTGTTGGCTGCTTGCTTGCATGCCGCATGCCGCACACCGCATGCCGCACACCGCATGCCGCTCAAGAGTCCGACGCCGCAAAAAGTTTTTCAGTTATGAATATAAAGTTTATTTATTAAGCAAACAAACTGGCGTTCTTATCTGTGTCGAGTGTGTTTCTGCTACGCTTTTTTCTTTGCATTTAGTTGGCAAACAATTTCGCAGTTCAGCTAGCTGCTCTCTTTTAGCGAAAACATTTCTTTGACTTTGACTTGGAAAATTAATTTGGCTGAAGCGCTGATACATTGACATTTATTAAGACAATATGTTGTTCTATTAAAAAATAATTAGAGTAAACGATTGCAGGGGAAAGAATGGGTAGAATCGTTGATTCATGAACGTAACAAAAAATTGGGGACTTAAAAATGAGTACATCAATTCTTTATATTCATCAATCGCAAAGATCTTAAGCCTTTATAGCAAATATATTTATGTGTGTAATAAAACTAACATATATGCATAGCAGCGGTGAAGAAATGAATGAGTTTAGTTTTTACCTTTTGTGTAGACGTGTGGAAAATATTGACAATCGAAATGATAAAAGCAACCAAAAAGGCGTGAGCTGCCTTCAAATCAACACAAAACTCCACAAAACACCAAAAGAAAAACACCCCCACACCAAGAAACCCTTGCTGTTCCCATAACCCCATTCACAACGTACAATAAATATTTTTGCATGCATTTTGTAATAGGAAGAGATTGAGCTTCATGGTTGGGGTTGGTGTTGAGGTTGGGTCTGTGTTTGGGGCTATCAAGTTGAGCAGAAAACTTCTTGCTATTCAGATTCGTATATGAATACACTCGTGCGAGTGAGTATATGAATATACAATGTAGAAAAATGCTAACAAACGGAAATGTGATATACGCGACGCAGCCAAAATACAAAGGCTTATGGGGTGGGAAAGGGGGCGGCGAATCGAACCAATTGCTTACAAGTTTTTCCAAAATTTTGGGTGTGTAGGTGATAATGCTACATGGCAATCGTCACTGTCGTCTATTCAATTTGTAACGAATTAAAAAAAAAATAGGTATATATAAAAAAACAAGTCAGAAGCCTGTAGTCAAAGTTGACCGGCTAAAAGATACCTTGTCGCTGTAACAAAATACGTTTATCGAATAGTTCTTTAACATCTATAAATAAATCAGATCAGTTTGAAACATTAACGTGAAAGAAAATTTAGATTTAGCTTTGATAAATATTTCAAATACGAAGTGGATTTATTCAAGTTAGTCTACTTTCGAAACTAGAAACGCCTGCGACATTTGTATACACCCGCTTTGACAATATTTGAAGTATAGAGTAAAAAATTCCGAGTCGATGAAAATACATTCAAATTTGTAGGGCGCATTGTCAAAAGGCTTTTCTGCTATTGTAAAGCTGGCACCCCCACTCCCCCATGGAATCTGTCGCCCGCCCCTTTAAGAGCAACTCAGCTGACACGCATTGGCGCATCGATAGATAAGAATGAAAGAGGAACATCTTGAGGCTTGGTTCGCTTGAAGTGGGATTAAAAGCAGCACAGCCCAATCAATGTAGGTTGAGGCTGAGGGGAATTGCGGAAATGCGCACAGGAAGGGATGTTGCTGACACAGGTAAGCAGGTGACTGGGTATGTGGAATCTATCACTAAACTAATAGTTAACAAATATTTTCAATTACTGTTGCTGTCACAGCAAAATCAATCAATTTTGTAGCCACAGACACGAAAGCCAAAGCCAAAGCAATTGCATTTAATTTTCCAATTTGTTGTGGGAGGAAGCTGCGTTAGCTGCCATATAAATTTGTAACACAAATTGATTTTGTGGCCACAGAGATTACAGCAAATGCATTTTGCAACAAATTCACTCTTTTTTTATGTCATTACACGCCAACATTTTATCATCTAATGGTTCGGAAAATGTTTAAAATCATTTTGCAACGTTTGCTGAATGCGTTGTAATTAGGAAAAATATGTTTTCAGTTTGAATGTGGGAAACACTGTGCTACCAAAATAGAGTGCTTCATAGAACTGTGTGATCGAATCGCATTTGTCACGGCTTATTTGCTATTCACACCACAAACAAAGTAAACAAAGCGCCCGGTTTCACTAGAGAAAGACAACCCTCCCGGCAGACCCTCAAGTGGCAAGTGGCGAGTGCGAAAAGCAATAAAACGTTAAGCATACAGCAACACACACACTCTTTCACACACACACACAAAGTCCACAATGCCGTAGCAAATTTGTTGCAAATCAAAATAAATTCCTGCCATGGCGAATAAAAAAAAAACGGAATCATAACAAGAAAATATCAAAATTTAATACTAGGTCTATTTCTGGATGCTCTATACAAGAGCTGATATTATAAATATGACATTTCCCCAATTAGTTAAGGTTTTTCATGTGCTTTGCTTTCAGATCTTTGTAGATATAGAAGATAATTATTGATATAAAAGGAAGCAATTGCCAATATTTTTATTCTACTCTAATTTATAAATAATGTTCGACAGCAATTCAAGTTAGGCCGCATTTAAAATGTACTAAGCCTTCATTTATTTGCAGAGCGTAACGAGGCATAAAAAGCGAAGGCGTTTGTTATTCACTGACAACAATCCCTCAAGCCGATTCAGTTTCCCTCAAGCCCCCTTCGGCCATAAGACCATGTGAATACTGGCAAAAATTGTCGCTTGTCGCATTCACAGCCTTCTCAATGAGTACTTGTCTATGGCATTCCATAACAATTTATGCAATCAGTTGGACAATGCGTACGCCAAAGGAAACTGCTGGATTTGCAGCCACCACCGAGAGCCCAAATGATCCATACCCCGCATACCGCAACCCTGCTCCTGGCCACTACTTAATCCTTTTGAATATTTTTGACACGTGCTCTGCGATTATTTTATTACCCCCGCGAGTGCAGTGTGCAGAAGGGACAAAAAACACACACACACACACACATATACACACGCACAAAACAACAATGCAACAAGGCCACATGCAACCAGGCACGCCCACTCAATAGCCGAGCAACAATGGCGGACATTTTTTGGTAGCACAATGGGCCGGCAATTGATGCAATTCATTCAAATTGTTGGCGACTGTTTGGACTAAAATTGCATTAGTCACTGAGGCCTTTGTTGTTGTTTGTGTTGTTCTTGTTGTTGTCACTGTGACTGGACTAGAACACAAACAATTGGCAATAATTTTCGCGGTTGCATTGAAATTCAAGCGGCGCAAATTGTGAACACAATTTTTAAATACGAATACGGCTCCCACTTAGAGTCCATGCCCGCCCCAATTATGGTCGCTTTGCATTATGTCACACACACACACATATATATATATATATTTATATATATACACTCTATGTATGCACATACATATATTTTTTAATAATGATGCCATTTGTTTGGCCATAGAATTGTGTTGGCAATAAAATTTGGCTTTGCCACATAATTCAAATGGTTAATCGCGTTTAATGGTGGCATTTATCAATATTTTCAAAAAGAGAAACCGCATGCAAATGCGAGCCGCATAATGGGAATGAGAATGAGAATGACAGAGAAAGGAGAGAGCAACCCTGCAGCCACCTAAATCTTTGCTTCCCCCAACACCCACCTCATCTTATTACCCTGCCACCCAATGACAATGTGTTGACAATGCGAAAACAAAAATGGCGTCTAATATGGCGACAAAATGTGGGGCGGAAATAAAAGCGCAGCGGTCAGCGTTGCATTGGGAGCCACCCCCGTACACCGGCCCCCTACAGCTCCCCGTAGTCCCTCGTTCAACCCATGACACCGCCCTTAGTTATGAAGTTTGCCAGCAGTTCCCCATCACGCTTTTAATGCGCACCATTGTGTCAAGATAAAGCAACGGAAATTAGCACGATAGCAGGAAGTTGGCAGCGTCGTTGGCGTTGTTCTTGACGACGACGACGACGACGAGAACGATGAAGACGAAGGCGATAAAAAAAAGCAGCGAATGCCAAAAGGCAGAGACAACAGCGCTGAGGGCCCGAAAGCGAGTTGAGCGACAACTCGAACCAAAGGACCAAAAGGACATCTACAGATGGCCCAAAACGGGCTGCCGGGGCCAGCCACAAATAATAATGAAAACGGAAATGAAATACAATACCCAGGAATGCCACAAGAGATGCTGAATAGCAATGATTATGACGCTCTAGGCGTTAGTGCTGTCATTGGGTCCAATGCCAATGGACACTTTAGTGCCTTTGCTCTCTCTTATTGCATCAGGCAGCCTAGGTGTCAGTTTAATATTTCTGTCACCTAAAACAAAAGACCAATGGCCTATTACACTTGCCAATCTTAAGCATATTTCAATATATTACTTTATTTAGATTTAAAATGTATACTTTATTATAACTCGGTAGCTATTGGAAATGAGTTCATCAAAACAAATTTTGATTACATTCAATATTTAAATATACAGCATTATAAAGAACTTAACCAATTGTCTATACCCAAGTTCCAATATATAAAAACTCAATCCTAAAGACTTATGTATATCTAATAATAAAAAAAAAACTCCCAGCTTAATTTAGTCAACGTGCGAGCAAGGACAGCTTCTTCTACCTTGTTAACAATCAAAAATTAATAAGCCATGAAATGTGCAACAACTTTTTGCCATTTGATTAAGTGGCAGAAGCAATATTTGTTCATCTAACATTGGAACTGAAGTGGCAGCTGGTCTTCTTTTCATAAACCGCACACAAATTAGACGCATACAAAAAAAAAGGCAAAAAAATGAACGCTGATTGTCGTCTATTCTTGTCAACTTTTGGACCGGTGTCTGAGTTGCGGCAGTTGGGGCATGGCACGCAAAGTCAATTAGGCAAACCGACGACGACAAACAAAACTGAAAACAATTCACATTTAAATTTGCGCATTCTTTGAAAATATCACGCGAAAATCGTGGGGGGGCGTCTTACCAACTGAGGATGTGATGTTTGTGGGGAGTGAAGGAAATAGCCGTAAAATACGTGCATATTATTGCGCTTATCTGGCAACAAACACGCCTAGGCCAAGTGCCCATTCCCGGCCCCCTCGATGAGGCCTTCAAGTTGATTTCGCTTTTCTTTCTTACACGAACTGAGCTTCCATGTTGTATTTGTATTTGCTGCTCTTCTTGTTATTGTTGTTGTATTGTGCATTTGTTTTTATGCGTGAACGAGTCTTAGAGCCACCCACTTACCAATGTCTGCCCCAGTTGCCGTCTGTCCTAAGCAAAACATCCTTCCTTAAACGTTTCTCGTCTGCCAAATGTTTCTATGGCCCATACAACTGTGTGTGTGTGTGTGAGTTTGCATGTGTGTGTGTGTTTGTGTGTGTGCGGTTTTATGTATGCATTGTATTGCTGGCATAATAGACACATTTAATTTTACTATTATGCCTTTTTGTTGTCATCACATTCGCATAAGCATAATAAACCGTTTCGTTTTCAAGTTTCCTCTGGGGACTTCTTCGTTTGCCTATTTGCCAGTCATTTTATTTGATTTCCATTCGCAAGAGCGACAGAGAAAACAAGCTGTGTGAAATTCTAAAGAAATTAGCAACGGGCACGTTGGCAAACTAAAATACTAGTCAAAATCTGTAGGCTTGAAGATGCAAGCTAATATGTATATGTATGATGAGTCTTTGTTTGAAATCAAATTTACTATTTTAAATTCATCCCCTTTGTTTTTAGCGTCACAAGCACATCTAATGTGTTTGCCAGAGAGTTTACAAAATTAGCAAGTATTTTGCATACATTTGTCTTGAATGGAATATGCTCGATTAGCACGTCATTCTGCAAACTGTCTTGCTCAACCCTTAGTAAAGATTCCCCCATTCAAACTTGTCTCATAGCAATAGCTGGATAAACACATGCCTGTTTGGCAACAGTTTATTGCAAACTGAATTAATAATCACAGATATTATTCATTCATTTGTGCTCCCACCAAGAAGGCGAACAAAATTTTGTATAAAAAAAGATTAAGGTGCAACACTACTTATTTTTTGTTCATATGTCTGCATATTTAAATAACCGTTAGGGTTGCTTTCACAAAAAGCGAACCTTAGATGGCGCCACAAACCGTGCAGTTGTGTAAATTTCGATAGCCAAAATATCGATAAGATCGTAAGCGCGCTTATTCAAAGCTAGAAATGAATGAAATGCGCTTTCAAGAGTGGCGACGCTGATGACTGTTAAATATAGAGTCAACTAATCAATAAGCATGATAAGATTAATTTCGTATACAGACAAATCTTAGCCAACGATAATAATACACATTATCGGGATTTTTAGTGATTAACAAATTGAGTTAGTATTTAATGTCTTTACCTGTACCTAACTGTATCATTTGCCATAAATTGACCAATATTTTTATTAGCTTCCGAGTCATATCAGTTTCTTATCATTATCAAAAACGGACTTCCGGGATTGATTAATTTTAACGGTTGCCGTACAGATAATAAATATCTCACATATATATGTCTTAACTTAATGGTATCAATCAATCTTTTAGTTTTAGGCTATGATGATGGATTACCACATCCACCCGGGCGCTGGTTAGTACAGGAGCTGTGGAGTCTACAACGCTACCAGCCCATTCACACTCCGCAATTGTCTCTGACCCGTTCCATGCCAGAACCTGCACAAGGAGTTGAAGTCTTAGACCCTCAGCAGTACCACGAGGTAACAGAAGATGTTGTGGAAAGGAGCAGGCATTGGACGAATCCAACGGTTTCTTTGCTTCATATAGTTTCCTGAGTGTATGCACACTTTTAGCCATTGGAAATTGACGAACCAGTATATTCTTGCCCATAGCCAACTCGCTGACAAAGCTTTCGATCAGTAGTCCAGCCTGATCTCTGCCAGGAGGAATTAAATAGCTGCGAATGAGGACGACCATCGGTTCAGATGCATACAGCTCATAGGTGATGTTGAATGGTTTATGATTCAAGCGCAACTGACGAGCCACCAGACGTCTTTGGAGAAACTGTAAATTGTTGCGCTGCGTCTGTAGCAGCTGTTGATCCATTAAATTGATCAGATCGCTGTCCACAAGGTGCTCATAGGTTGTCAAGTTTCCCACATGGATTTGCTGCACTTGCTGATTATCGTATGCTGACACCTGTGGCCTTTCATATCGCGCAATTAGTTGGGCCAGCTGAAAGAGCATTGTGCGGTAAATGGGATCTCTCAGGTTGGACGTGGCCATGCCCAGTAGATTGGGTTCCATTGTGCAGTTGCCGTTAATGGCCAAGCTTAGATGTCGAAATAGCTGCCAGTAATTTGTGGCAATCACTTGACCCACCGTTTCCATTGTCGGCGTTTCGACAGCTTTTTCCAGCTGCTTATCAATCTGGCTTTGCAGTTCTTCAGTAGACTGCCTAATCAGCAGCCACACATCTAGACCATTAAGCTTTGTCGCCTTATACCGCACACCACCCGTTGTCATCAATGTGGGCTCAATTAGTTGCAACGATTTGTGGCCTGTCGTCAGTTCTTCCAGCTCACATAGTGCCACGAATTGCTTTATGTTGTGCAGCAGTATTTGCGGGTGTTCTGGTTTTGCTGCACGCCCATTTTCTAGTCGATACATATACTCATCGTGGGCATTACGGAACGCCATCATTCGATCGCCGTCAATTATAGCTGTGCCCTGCTCATTTCTTGTGATAAGCAGGCGACTGATCAGACTATTCCAATAGCCGTTTAGTTCCACATCCGAGCTAAGCAGTGTCCGGAGAGGTTTTACTTCGATGACAATTGGTTCGGCGGGCAATACTGGGACTTCCAATGGCTGACGGAATCTCCTGGGATACACAATGTCGCCCAATATCTCCTTCCAACTACGCTTTAAGGTTATATTTGGGATTGGCGCTAATTGCTGCCAGTTGACTTGCTGTGCATCTAGGATCACGTCTTTATCAAAGTACAGCTGCGGCAGCACCTCATGCATCGCTGGCAACACTAGATCCTTTGTATCCGGTCGTCCACTAATCGCCAATTGCAGCGCGTTCACAAAGAGCACCGGATTGAAGTGGCTGCGTGCGTAGCAAGCATTACACTGAAAAGTCCTCCAATCCTTGGCCAGCAGTAGAAAGCGATATACACCAAGCAATTGCTGTGGCAGCTCCTCCTGCAGCTGGCTGTAGATGCTATATGGACGCAATATGCGTCCCTGATGCACACGCTCCATGAAATCAATTAACGACGGCCAACTGTCCTATAAAGCACATCAAAATTGTTTACTTAGACTACTCCAGACATTATTAAAAGTTCGTATACTCACTGCCTCGTAATCACTGGGATTCTCGTTGAGCCGACTGCCCATTTCGATTAGCTCCTGTTGAAGCAGCGGCTTGTGAACCTGCAGCAACAAATCCATCAGGAAACGCTGCCGCAGCTGCCATTGTGTTTGCCTCGCCATATTGTTAACCTTTTGAGAATCGTCCAACCACCAGCGCGGGCGTGGGCTCCATCCATTGATAGACACTACAGGAGAGCACAATATGCTGAGTAGACCACAGATTGCAATTGTTACTTGCAGCATTTCGAATAAAACAATGTATAACCGCCTCAGCACATTTATTTATAATTTTTTGAATCTGTACGCCAATGCCGCAATGCCGCCTGATCCCATACCTTATCACAAGTTTATTACATATAGTATGTCTATGTATTGCTCTTTAATCTGCAGACAGTATTGCAATTTATATTATCTGCTAATCGGTAAAAAATAAAAACAAAGAGCAGCAACATTTGGCAAGCCGATGCTTAAACACTCTTTCAGAACTGCTAAAGCTTAGCTTTTTAACATAAAAACATGAAGTTCCAAGATATTAGGGCAAAAATCTTAAATAAATTCGTGTTTATTGTTTCAATAAAAATAAATAAAAAGAAACCCAAAAAAACAAAAATAGCAAAACATGTTTAGTTTAGTATTTAGAACTATGCCAATGTGGCCCGTTTCGCCACAAATTCCCTGGAGCTCTTCTCCTTGTTCGTGAAGCGTGCGTAACTGAAATGAGTATAGATTAAACACATAATATATGGATAAATAGATGCTGATCGACTATACTCACGTTTTCTTGTATTTGGAGACGTCGGAAGCGCTCAGTGACGGACGGGTGGATTCAAAGGATTCGATGAGATGCTTTTGCTTCACTAAAATTTTCTTTGGCAGTTTCTGTTAAGGGAATGGAGAAGTATTAATTAAATGTACTTAAAATAATTCGGACGTAATTTATTGATGAGTATTTTAATGGATGGTCGATGAAAATTATTGGTAAAGCCATTAGCCTAGCACTAGTTAAACTTATATGTGTACTGATATCTAAGCGGTAAAGTCTCTCGGGATGTTTCTGTTTCAGAGCCATCCTCCTCATCGCCTGAGGAAGGCGGCGTCTCCAGCATTGGTATCGATAAATCCAAATACGCATCGTTGGGATTACTGCTAGCCTGTTGCAGTATCCCATCGAAACTCTCCACCAGCTCCGCGAACGTGGGCCTCGCACAGGACTCAAAGTGCCAGCACTGTCGCATCACCACATAAATGTTCAGCGAGCACTTTGATGGCTTCTCCATGCGCTGGCCACTTATCAAATAACTGTTGAGTTCCTCAGCGGACATTATATTCGGATACGGCTGTTCGCCATATGTCATTATTTCCCACAGCAGCACGCCATAGCTCCACACATCGCTCTGGGAGTCGTAGAACTTCTCCTGCAATGATTCAGGCGCCATCCATTTGATGGGCAGTCGTCCATTGGTATTCTTGCGATAATATTCCGTATCCTGTATATCTCTGGCCAGTCCAAAGTCCGCTATCTTCATCACATAGCCATCGCTGACGAGCACATTTCGCGCTGCCAAATCGCGATGGATGCACTGTAAAATTATAAATGTATCACCGATTACTTTGCTAAACAAGATTTATATTAGATCTAAGGGATTATGCTAATTACTACAGCATATTGTTAAATTCAAGTGAGTTTGAGCTAAGATCAATTTTAAATTAGGACTGAAGCTTTATAATTGAATCTACAAAATATGTAAAAAGCTTCATTGGAGCTTGATTGAAACTAAATTTGACAAATAAGATTCAAATGAAGCTTTAGCTCGTTCTTTAAATTGTACGGATCTTTATAGCTACTATCTCATATCTAAGATATAGGAAGATTTAGCTGATTCTAAAGAAAATTGAACAACTAAAAAAAGAGAGAAAGATAATAAATGTATTCGCTTACCCGTCGCGAGGCGAGATATTCCATGCCGCGAGCTATCTGGAAGGCAAACATGGTGAGCTCCTTTTCGCCCAGCTTCTGCAATGGCTGGATTTGCTTATCATCCAGATAGCCATCGCTATCGCTGCGTCGTTGCAGTGCACCGGGCCGATTTTGCTTCAGAAAATCCTTGAGATTGCCATGGGGTGCATACTCGACGATGACCCACAGGGGACCGTTCTGACTGCAGCAGCCCAGCAGATTGATGATATTGATATGCTTGCCAATCATTTTCATCACCTCCATTTCCCGTACCAGACTGGCCATATCAGTGTCCGTATGCTCCTCTTTAACCATTTTCACGGCGACAATGATGCCCATGCCGTTATTGGAAGGCGGCGGACTACGTGGCAAGCCCTCCGCCTCGGCCATAACAACACGACCAAAAGCACCCTCACCCAGAATGGATCCCAGCGACAACTGCTGCCTGGGTATCTCCCAGTTCGCATCCAACGGGAATTCGTACTCATTGAAGGCCTGTGTTGGATCCATTGAACCACCAGTTGTCGTGTTGGAGAAGGTGGTGCGCTGCTTTTCAATCTTGATAACCGGTATCTGTAGATCTACCCCACAGGAGCTGCCGTCGACGCTGGCCGGCTTATAGATGATTACCTTTTTGGTCCATTGATGCACCGTCTCGATGCGATGCTTTAGCAGCTTTTCCCGTTTCAGACGGCGCAGCATATAGACAATAAAGGCGCTACCCAAAATGAACAGCATTATTAACATCCCCACGGTGACAGTGAAGGTAAGGGGATGCGATCGCAACCATTCCCACACATGCCGATACGGCAGATGATCGACGACATGCACATAGACACTGCTATTGCTGGTTCCCAGTGCGTTAGATGCCATGCACGTGTACCAGCCCTCCAGCTCGTGCGTCACATTGTTCAGCAACAGCAGATTCGGTTGATCCACCGAGGTGTTCAACGGTATACTCAGAGGCAGTGAGTGGTTGAGCTGTATAACGCGTATCCATTTTATGTTGGCCTCATTATGCGACAACACATCACAGTTGATGCTCATATTGTTGTTGACAAGCGCAGTCTTATTTTCCATTTTCGTGATGATCGGTGCTGCACGAATGCGATCGAGAACCTTCAGGCTGTACTCGAACTCAATGCAGCCCAGTTTGTTGCACACCTTGCATTTGTACAAGGCCGTATCCCTTGTGGTGACATCCTCAATGATGATGGACCAGTGCCGCTTCTTGTAGTCACCATAGGAGCGCTGTAGTGGCTCATATCCGGTACCTTTATTGAATGTCCAGGTGATGTTCGCCGACGGATTCGCTGTATTGGGACAGGAGAGCACGACGGTTTTGCCTGAGACTAAATGTTGCAAGCGAAACAGCATCTTTTTAAACTTGGGCAACTGCTCGTCGGTGGCATCTCCTGTTCCCTCATCAGCAACATCATCATCCCCAGTACTGACACTCGCAGGTGTTGTTGTTGTTGTTGCTAATGTTGGTTTTGTAGTGTTGATTGGATTGGCTGTCACCTCCAAATAGGCAGCGGAGACATTGCGACCCAATCGATTCTCGGCCACACAAATATACCAGCCAGCATCATCGTAAGTGACGTTGGCCAGTCGCAGTACCTGTGGCTCCTTAATGATGCCCGGTATCACCTCAGCCTCAGTCCCTGCCACGCTCTGCTTGAGCCGTTGCTTAAGTCGTAGGATCAGCGCATTAATGTCACCCGACCGATGCCGCAGCCAGGTGACTTGCGGCTTTAGCTGCGATTCCTCCAGCTTGCACTCAATACTCGCATGCTCGGCGAGCGTAGCACTCACATTGCGCGGATAGCCAGGAGCCAGCAACGGTGCCGTATACTGGTTTAGGTTACTATTCAATGGCTGCAGATAGAGCTCCGGCTCAAGGGTATGCAGCTTACTAAAGCTGACCAGATCACTGCTCGGCTCTTGGTAGCCAATCAGCAGCGTGAGATTGGCCCATTTGTTATTATTGCCATAAAGGCAGCCATAGTTGCCCGATTCCTGAGGTTGGGCTCTCTCCAGCAGCCAGCTGTTGCCGCTGTGATGCAGTTGCTCCTTGTAGTACCAACGTGGTTGGGGTTGTTTGCACACGAGCAGGATATCCACATCGGAGGGCACATGACGATGGCTAGGTGGGGATTCTTGAATCACATCGATTTGGCAACGATGTGCCTCAAAGTGGCAGTTTGAAGAATTACTGCTGTTACTAATGCTGCTGCTGCTGCTGCTGCTGCTGCTGACGATGACTATGATGATGATGAAAATGATGATATGCAGTTTTTGCATTGTCAAGTGTGTTTGTAGTCGTCGTTGTTGTTGTGATTGCCGTTGCTGTTTACTTAGCTGTTGTTGTTGTCAAATTGCTGCTTCTTTGCTAAAACACTTGAAGTTTGCTAAGCTTCATTTCATTTTTTCTGTTTGCATATTTTTTTCCTATTATTTTTACTATAATTTATTGCTACTGGTAGCTAAGCAAAGCTTTATTTCGCGATGCTTTTCAATATTCGAAACAAAAATAAATCTAAAGAAAAAGACAAGCGAATAATACAAATAGGTAACCATTATGTGAACTGACTTCGTAATGAGCAACACCTTGTTGTTGTTATTTGTTGTTGTTACGCGAACGCATATTGTCAAGTCGAATGTCTATAGGTTTTCTATATAAATATATATACATGTGTGCCTGTATGCGAGCAGTGGCCACATGCCAAATGTGTTAAATGTCGTCATTTCCATTGATAAATACAAAATGCCGAACAGTTAGAAATTTGTAATTCAATTATAATTGTCGGTAAATTGTAAAAGTAAGCTCAGATTTCAAGTGGCACAGTGATCCAACGATTTTTTAGATAATCCGATATTTCAGCATAATATTAATAGAAGATACATAACATTACTAGCACATATTCTGTTACCGCATGCAATGAATTGCAGCACACAAATAAAATAAATGAGAAGCCAATCAAAATATTGACTACCAAGTGTTTAACAACTTAAAAACACATATCACAGTTAAATGATAACTAAACAAACAAATAGTTCTGTTTTCCATATATATATATATATATATATATAAATATTCATATATTAGCGGATATGTCTACTAAACTTTCTTATCAATCGGATGTCAGAGGTATTTTGAATTGATAACATTTCATAGAAAGCGATAAGCGTTATACACCAGATACGAGTATTAAAAATAGCTTTAGATTTTAACATGATGATCATAGGATAATTGTCTTTAATTGCAAGTGCAACTTATTATCGGTATCTCAAACCACTGTGCACAACTTATACTTTTTTTAAGGCATGCCCAAAGCTGTTGTTGTTGTTGTAAATATGGTTTGCCGTTGTTGTTATTGTAGTAACGTTTGACAGTTGTTGTTCTTGTTGTTGTGGCTGGTGTGGTTTTTGCTTTTGCCGGTTCGAATTTTGTCTGATATATGCACACAAGTCGCGAATTTTAATTTATTCAATTCCTTGTTTTTATTTTAATGCCAGCTGACGAGACGCGTGTGTTTGAAATATGTATTATTATTATTAAAATTTGTTGTTTTTGTTGCTCATCATGGTTGCCTTCTTGTATTATTGGGTTGTCAATTTTTTTGGTTAATGATGTTTTTTGCTTTTTAAACTGGACATTGTTCCAATTTGATCACCTTGCTGCAAATATTTATAGCTATGCTAAATCGCCTTCACATATTTGGATATGTGAGAACTCTATTTGGAATTTTGTACGAATCACATTAATATTTGTGTTCAAATTTATTATGCATATTTTGTGCCACAACTTTATAGATTCGCAAGAAGAATTTAGACATTGAATGATTTATAGTGAAAATTGGGATTATACATGCAGAGCACGATTTAGCTATAAGACACATAGCCACAATTTATGTATATTATTACTGAAGCAGCACTGTAATCCAGAGGGTTTTCGTTACTTGGGTATTCTTATTATAGAGCCGCACGTTTTTGATATTACGTTCAAACATTATTAATATTGTTAAATATGTATTTTAGGTTGTCAAATATATTCTTTAACGAACATTTGCAGACATTTTTATGAACTCTTCAAATTTGCTTAATCTTTGCTTATTTCTTGATTTTTAAATACTTTGCATTTCACTTGACTGCATTTTATTTCATTTTTGTTTTCTTAAGCGATGGCAATCCATGTCTTTCCAAATGTGAACATAATTCTTTCTTTCCACGCAAATTATTTGCCAAAAAAAATCACGTCTTTGTCTTTAGCTCCAATAAAACAAAAACAATCCACACGAAAAAACCAACACGAGCATTGTGAGTGTTTTTTTTTTTTTTTTTTTGGTTTTTCGGCTGTCAATTTGGCAGGCAGCTAAGATTCCTGCCCGGCGCCCTTTGTGGACTCGTGCGCATTTCCGCTTGGTTGCCAATACTCATTTAAAACTGCCCCATACACGCACTGCCACACACCCCCTTCCCCCCATGTGGGTGTTGGGCTCATCGGGGAGGAGTGGCCTGTTGACAACTTCCGTTGCTTGCACTAACCGCACAGATCCCACAGACCACACAGTTGAGAACCAACCGATTTGCTTGAATGTGCGCACACAACTGAAAGTAACGATCGATTGAATACGCCAACAACAAACCAAACCAAACCAAACCAAATAAAAAAAAAACTTTTTAATATGGTGACGACGATCATCGGCAAGCACGAAGCTGACGTCGCAACGTTTTCAACGATATAGTGAAAATGTAGCTACACACAGACAGACAGACACACGCACATAGATAGATAGATATATGCACGTGTGTGTGCTCAATAATATTTATACAAGTAGCGAAACCTTCACGATCCTGTCGAGCGAGCGAGCCGAGCGTGCCAGCGATTCCTTGGGTTCGGGGCTCTACCTGTGTGTGCAAGGTGTCCGTCCCGAGATTGCAATTGTTGTGGTTGTTGTATGTTGTTCTTAATGTGCGTGTAGTTTTTTTTTTACTTTTATTCTAAGCATGCTTTGTGCTGCTGCTGCTGCTGAGGATTTTTTGCCTTGGCTTGGCTCGGCTTGCATTCTTTATTATCGCGGCCCTCGGCCTATGTTTAATTTATGCACAAGAAAATGTGTCCATTGTCTTTTCAAGTTGTTGCTGTTGTAGTAGTTGCTAGTGGTAGTTGTTGTTGTTGTTGTCGTTGGGTATTTTACGTGCACATGCGCGATAATCGCATATCAATAAGGAAATATCCGTTACGTGACTTATATATATAAAAACCTCCCGTCTGCATTTGTGTTGTCTTTTATATTTTTGGCCCAGCACCCGCATAAGGCTGCCTAATCCCGATCCAGATGCTAGGCACGTAATCATAGCCAGCACAAAACGAAAGCCCCAAAAATAGTAAATAACATTGCACAGTTGCAGTTGTGAGCTCTTCTTCCACTGGAAACACTGGGAACGGAAGAGCTACTAACTGCACAACAACTGCCTTGCAGGCTATGGCCTTACCAAGAACTTGTCATTGCATTTCCGGCTAATCAAATGGATCTCGCACTCACCTCATATCCGAACTGTGCCATCGCCTCCTTAACCGACGCCATGTTCGCCGAGGTCAGAATGTTTTTGCTTATCGGCGCCAATGCAGTTTTTATCGGATCCGTAATGTTCGTTGGTCAACCTGCACCGTGTACTCGAAGTCAACGCAGCCCAGTTTGTTGCACACCTGCATTTGTACAAATTGGTTACTTCAAATGCCTGCAGATGATCGACGACAAGCACATAGACACTGCTATTGCTGGTTACCAGTGCGTTAGATGCCATGCACGTGTACCAGCCGTCCAGCTCGTGCGTCACATTGTTCAGCAACAGCAGATTCGGTTGATCCACCGAGGTGTTCAACGGTATACTCAGAGGCAGTGAGTGGTTGAGCTGTATAACGCTTATCCATTTTATGTTGGCCTCATTATGCGACAACACATCGCAGTTGATGCTCATATTGCTGTTGACAAGCGCAGTCTTATTTTCCATTTTCGTGATGATCGGTGCTGCGAACCTTCAGTCTGAACTCGAACTCAATGCAGCCCAGTTTATTGCACACCTTTCATTGGTACAAGGACGAATCTCTTGTTGCAAGCAGAACAGTTGCTTTCTAAACTTGTGCATCATCTATTGGCTCATCACTTGATGATGATCTGCAGTTTTTTCGTTTTCAATTGTGGAATTGCAAAAGTCGATTTGTTGAGTTTGTTATTTTTGTAATGGCTGATTTTCTAGGAAAGGAGATGTCTCTGACCCCATCAAGTATATATCCTTGATCAGCATCAGTAGCCGAGATGGCTTTATCACCATCTGTCCGTCCGTCTGTTTGTCTGTTCTTATGGTAGTTCGCCGCTAAGTTTTTAAGCTAATTTGATGAAACTTGGCATGTATCTTTCGGCTGAATCGGAATAATATGTAGCTGCAATAGCAACTATATTGTGTACTAAGGTATACATATATATATATACAGAAACTGAACTTTGGCTACGGCTTTACCAATAACTAATCAAATAGATCTCGCACTCACCTCATGTCCGAATTGTGCCAGCGCCTCCTTAACAGCCGCCATGTTCGCCGAGGTCAGAATGCTCTGTATATCGGCGCCAGTGTAGTTTTGTGTTCGAGCCGCAAACCAATCGAAGTCCACACATTCATCCAGATTCAGTGTTGCGCTCAGTGCCTCAAAGATGCTCACGCGCGCTACAGCATCCGGCAGGGGACACTCGACCAAGCGATCTATGCGACCGGAACGCAACAGCGCTGGATCTAGAAGTTCAGGTCGCGATGTAGCCGCTATAACTGTTACGCCCTGCAGTCCCTCAACGCCATCGAGTTCGGTGAGCAGCTGATTGACCACACGATCTGTTACGCCCGTGGAGTCGTGGCCACGCTTCGGCGCCAGACTGTCGAACTCATCGAAGAAGAGCACACAGGGCTTGGCGCTGCGTGCCCTATTGAATAAGTTGCGCACATTCTCCTCGCTCTGGCCAATGTATTTGGCCAGGAGTTCGGGACCCTTCACCGAAATGATACGCAGACTCCAGCAGCTGGCCAGTTGCGAGACCAAAAACGTTTTCCCCGTACCCGGTGGTCCATAGAGCAGCACACCAGCTTGATTACGCAACGGCGATGAGTTAAATATTGTTGGGTACTGTTGGTTTGGGCAATTTTAGACGATAAAAAGCACAGCTTCAGCATTTGTAAATAAATATTTTCTTAATGGCAAAGAACTTGATCGCATTGCTAATGATGTGTTGGTGATTTGGATATTCTTTGCGATCCCAAGCTTAAGAACCTCTAGATATATTTCACTTGTGCGTCCTATTCTTGAATATGGATATCCCAATTACAATTACAATTTCCTCCCTTCGAGGTCTTAAGTGGAATACTAAGATTAGCTAACCTTCTTACCTTAGCAGACATTTATTAATGAATCTTCCCTCTCTTTTGGAATGGATTGTAGAGCCAGGCTTGGTGTAATCTTTATACATAATCTAATAAAGTGTGATTCTTCTGAGAAATTCTGCATCTCTCTCTCTCTCTCTCTCTCTTCAAACTTGTTCTAACTTGTTCCATAGCACATTACGGATTGATTTAAATTCAAGTTATTCAACGGTGTTTTCCACTTTGTAGGTTGTGCTATTTCTATTTCTTCTTCCATTTGAATGTGCTGCACGTTAGTACTTCATTGTCCAGATGAAAATGAACTTACCGTTGATGGCCACATAAGAACCTCCTCGAGCACGGTAACCACAGGTTCCAGGCCGGGCAGCTCCTCGACGCGCATTTCATTCGGTTCGAAGCCAGTCTTTTGATTGCTTTGAATGCCCTGCAGGCAATAGGAATTCGTGTGCTCCAGGGACTCGATGAGTTGCTCATTCGTAAGCAGCGGCTGTGTTTTGCCTATAAACAAGATGAGGACATTTGTTAAAGCCCCTTAGCCATGTTAACTGATTTAAAAGAGAGACCCACTGATACGATAGGCATAGAAAATGGCGCGTTCCACAAACTGCACAAGATCGCATTTTCGATATCCCTCTGTTAGGTTGGAGAACTTGACTACGTCCAAATCCCTGGTCGCAATATGACCACATAGCTCACGCAGAATGATCTCACGATCGGCGCGCTCCAGGCTAGGCAGTCGGGCAATGGTCTGGAACAGATGTCGACCCCGTGGCGCACTGAGGCGCTTGTTCAGCGTCTGAAGCTCACTGACTGTGGCAATGACGGCAATGGCATTGCTGCTGGTGTACTGCATTATCAGCTGGTGGACGGTGTCCGCCATCCGGTTGAAGTACTCGCCATCTTGGCTAGATTGCTCACCGGCCGCATGCGCGAGCACATCTAGATTCTCCAGCACAACAATAGCGGGGGCATGCAACAGGCAGGTGGTGAATATGTTGCGCAGATCCTTTTGTATGGACTCCGTTTTGCGTCCCTTGCTGCGCGAACAGTAGAAGATATCAAAGTAACAGTAGTCCGGCTGACTGGCCAGCTGCTCTAGTATACGCTCCACAAGCACCGTCTTGCCAGTGCCGGCGGCTCCCGTCAGGAGCACATTGCCCTGGCGCAGCACCGAGTTCTGGGCGTTGAGGCACAGATTCATGCGCAGCTCGCTGACAACTTCATCGACAATCTTATCGTACTCTGGCAGCCGGATTAGATCCTTAACACTCAGTGGCGATGGCGCTGGCGGTTGTTCCTTGATGATTTCGTTAACGGGACGCACCAAATCGGCCGCATAGATTTTCGATTCCTTCAGGAACTGTCCATCGACGACGCAATAGCGAAAATGTTCGGGCAATATGCCGACGGTGACCAGCAGATCATCCTCCAGGCGTACCACCTCCTCCTGATTGAGCAACATCGGCCCCTTTTGTGTTTTCTCAATCACAAATCGCTTAAATGCATTCTCAATGATCTTGTAATGCGTCTTCTTATGAGCGAACAACTCAATCTTCTCCACAAAGTTCACCACGGTTGTCTTTGGTCGCAGCACAACGCGCTCCAGCTCCTTGATGTTCAGCAGCTTCATCAGATTCGCATTCAGCTTGATGGACGGATGAATGGTGGCCGGCAAATCAAAGCTATCCTCGCTGGCTCGGCGCACACGCACATAGTACTCCTTGTCGCCGGCAGTGCGCATGCTGTAAAACTGTTCCAAGTCCATGAATTCCGGCAAATGCGATGAAGCTATGTATACATCCGATTCCTGTGCCTTCTCGTGCCACAATCCCCGAATGACGCGAAACTCAAACACACGCGAGCTCTCACGCCGTAAATCCTTCTTCAGACGCTCCATGTGATCCTGCCGCTTGTTGCGCTGCAAACTGTTCTTCACACTGGCCATCGTGGCAGAGTGAGCGAGTCCCGCCGGCGCTGATATTGTCACATCATCCCGCACATGTGCGCTAGTCCTACTGCGCGACAGCTTGGCGCTCTCCTTGTCGTCGTTGTCATTGGTATCACCATTGGTTAGATTCTTGTACAGATTTGGCGCCACAATTAGCTGCGTGTTGTGATCAATGCGTCCAAATTTCATGTAAGGCTTTAGGCGATCTATTATAGAGCAAATTAAATGAGGCATTAGTTTTGTTGCATGCAGAACATTGCAAAATATTTACCCACTGTCAGCGCCACTTGCATTGACTTATTAATCCAAACAAGCAAAATTTGCGGAGAATTCACAATACGAGTTTGTTCCAAAACGCTGGCAGAGATTTTCTCCGTACTCAGTTCCTGAATGAAAATTTCCGTTTGATTAGTTTTTAGATACTTAAGTTTCTGCAGAAGTCTTTTAAAAAATATATAATATAAAAAAATATAATTAACACATTTTAATAATAAACAAAAAATACCCAATTATATTCCCATCTAAATTCACCCCACAAATTTAGATGACTACATATCGATTAACTTTTCCGGCGCTGAAACGCTTTTTTAAATCTTGTGCATCACCCATCCCTGACAGAGAAACCCCCCGTTGGGGTCAATGGCAATGCCGGCGAAAACTAGCGACTCTGAACATAAATAAACACTTGAAAGCATGCACGCCCGCGCCAAAAGCTAATCCGATATAAATTATTTTTATCACACACAAATACTGACAAGCACACACACACGCACGCACACACATGTGCACACAGATAATAACTTACAATGATCTCCCAATCTTTGGCCGAGACGGGAGTGACGTGAACGCTGCGCAGATTGAGAACGTCAGCGATGAGGGCGCACTTGACCAAGTCATTTTCATGTAGATCTACGGCAAGATACAAGGGGAGTGAGGAGTGAGCCAAAAGCCAAAAAGTGGCAAGTGCAAACAGTGCATAGCATATTAAAACGATATTTTTGGCAGCACATTTAGCGCTTATTAAGTAACTCACCAAGCTCCTTGGCCGCCCTGGCATTGATCCCAATTTCGTTATCTTTGATGCCGCCGCCCGCCTGTGGCGCCCAGGAGGCATAGTGCATCCGGCCATTGTACTGCAGCTTAAGGCAGCCAGTGTCCTAAATAGAGTAACATTTAAGCATTTAAGCAGATACCTATATAAAACTTATCTAATCTGCGTTGACTTTTGGACACTCACATAAGTTGAAACGACCCCGTAGTACTGATCGGGTAGCAGCAGGAAGTTGTTTCTTGTCGGTCGATAAACCACTTTGAAAGTGCGTGCAAACATTTTGCCAACTGGCATGCACAGTTCAACAACAATATTTTAGTGTACGATCGTGTTTAACTAATTTTCAAGCTTAAATTCCAATTAGAATGAACGCTTTACGACCAGCTGTTGGACTCTCGCGACTGGACTGGCACACATTAAAGACGAACCAGTCACCACTCACAACTGATATGTATCGAGGTTTACAGTGTGAGAGTCAGCTGTTAATAGACTCTGCATTTAATCAAGTTGGCAGCACTGACGGACCAACTGTTGAGGCAGATTTTAGTTAACAGTCTGAGCGCTAACAGTTGCGCGCCAAAAAGCAGTCTCACAGATCAACTGTAAGCTTAACAGCTATAAAAGCCGTTAAAATACACCGAATTTCGAGGGCGTTAATAAAAAGCAATAGTTATGTCTTTTGGCTAGTTTATTTGGTTAATAATTTATTTAAAATAGTTAAAGTGTTCATATAAATATGTATGTGTGTGTGTATGTATATCTATATATCAAATGCGGCATCTGTTTGTCTAATTCTTGTTCGTATACCAAGCTGGTTTCTTATCAAATTAAATAACACAATATTTAAAACTAACAATGCAGCGTGCTAGTTTATTCAACTTTTCGCCCTCATGTTCGTTTCACTTCCTTTATTTGTTTTTTTGTTTTTGCAAATAAGAAAAACAATGTTACGAAATGATATGCATAAGGACCATGCCATTCATGCCAATGGCACCACATATATATGTATATGTATATTTATGTATTTCTCGCAGTACATTTTTGTGTGCTTAAAGTTCAACTAAATTCGTTAAGTTTTAATAAAAGGAAAGACACTAGTCGTCTGTATGAAAAAGATCGTTACAAAGCTTTTTTGTTTAATAATTGTATAATGTATGTAAGTATGTATAAATGTATATGTGTATTTTGCTGTATTGTTTTTCTATATTAACTGCTCCATATCAGTCTTCGTCAAAATTTCGTGGCTTGTGAGAATAAATTGGCTCATAAATTGCATAGCTATAATATGCATGTTGTATACAAAATCTACATAAAATGTTATAAAATGTTTATTTTTTCAATTGTTTTCGTGTATATTTTTAAAAAACTTTCTAAGAAAATTGTATTCGTGTACATAAATTGTTCATGTTGCTTGCAATATTTGGCGCTTCTATTCGAGTTTTTTATTATTGCAATAATATTTTTCGTCTAAGCAGTAGTGTGTGCGAAATGTGTAATGTGTAAATACAAAATTGGTGCAGATTTATTAAAAACTTTTTTGCCATCTCGGATGCAAAAATAAAAACTCCAATTTGGTTTAAAACTTATACAAGAAAATAATGATTACAAAATATATATATGCATACATATATTTACACACTTTTAATTTAACAATAAAACGTTGATAAATACAATGTAAAATTTTGTAAACTTGTAACTTATTATCGATATGCAACCAAAAAATAAAACGCAATTCTACAAATTTTTGGCGATTGATGGAATATGTCAAATTAAAGTGAGATTCAATAGTACTGCAAATTTTGAGATACTATTTTGGCTTGTTAAGCAAAATATAAACGAGAAATATATATATATATATCTATATATATATTCGAATAGGAAAACACAAGGGTATTTAAGGTAGAGGGGACGGGAATGTGTATGTGTGAGTGTTTGTGTGTGTGTCTAAACAATTTAATCGCCCAATCACATATTGCAGTTTGCAGCTTCGTTTTTCGTTTCGCATTTGAATTTTGATTTTTGCCTTTGCCCACGCCCCATTTTCACAGTCAGCCAGCCAGCTGGGATCTATTTCTAGTCTAGCAATCCATCTCTTCCAGCGTGCGTGACAACCGATTATTGTCAATGCGTCGGCGTTGAGAGCGTCTCACAGCGTCCGCCCTGCGATACGGCTCGCTCTTCAGCCCCAGCAGTATGTCCTCCAGTGCACCATTGTAAACCTCGTCCTGTTGCAACAGTTTCTTCTCGCGCACCGAATGCGTTTTGCTCTTCAGCTCGTTGATGACGGCATCCTGCAAGGAAAGTGCGCAGTTTGTAGGCAACTGTTCGACAACAAAGTGCAACGAAAACAGAGGAGAAACATTTTTCAATTAGAGAGATTAGAGACCAATCACCGGAAAATGGCTTAGCATAACATTAGTTTAGCAATTTTCTTAGTAAAGCCTGGAGATTATCAATAATTTAGACTATAACTAAAGCCCTTTACTATAATTTTGATCACAAGTGCCCTTTTTATGTACATTATAAATTATTGTGTAAGCCAAACTAAAAAAAAAATTATAATTATTGTTTAAATGTTTTTAAATGTATTTTTAATAGGTTCTCAAACATGCACAAATACATTACTCATCAGTCTATATTCAATCAAATTGTGTACACAATATACAGATATACATTTTATTTTTATATGCTTTCGGTATGTGATTTGTTAAGTAGTGAGCTCATAGGGGATTTGGGTTAGTAGACAGAAACATGACAACGGGATTAGCATAAGGAAGCAGACCAATTGTTTGTTTGTTAGAAACATTGTTGCACACAAGCCAAGCGACTTACGCTATATGATATTTAACACACACAAACAACTTCCGTCACATGCCGCCCCAATGTACACGACTAGAAGCTAGTGGATTGTGTTGGTGGTCGTGGTAGTGGTGATGGTGGTGGTGGTGGTGGTGTTGATGATATTGGTTGTAGGTGGTTGCTTTTGGTATTGGTTTTAGTTGTGCTGGATTGAAATTCGCCCGCACCGAAGGCCTTCCCGCCCCAATTGAGTATTACTAGAGTGTGTGTGTGTGTTAGCCAAATAACCTTGGGGTTATACTACTAGGAAGACATATCCACAGTGGTATGCTGCTTGGCAAAGTCAAGCAGGCAATGTATTTGCTGCATAAATCAAAAGCATAACAGGTTACAGAGTTTTACAGAGCACAACAGGATCAAATCAAATGAATGAAACAAGCTTCAAGGATGTAGCAATCTGGTCGGCCTTCAGACATCCACTCACCTGTTGCTTCTTCTGATTGAACTTGTTGCGCATCATAACCTGATCGCTCTCCTTTTTCGATGCAGCCAATGCGGCTGCCTGTTCCAGTCGACGACGTTGTTCGTTCTCCTGGTCGAGTTGCTACAATTCAAATACAAACAGCAATTAATTAATGCAAGTCAAATAGACAAACGTTTGCTTACCTTAAAGGCGCGCGTAAAGCGCACAATTAACGCAAAGAAGGCAGCCGCATCTGCATTGCGGGACGAGTCGCCAAAGTATTCGACACACTCTTTGAACGCATCCTGCGCCATCCGCAGATCGCTCTTGATCTTCTTCAGCTTATCCTCGCTGTTGTTGAGGAAATCCCGCAAGATGTGCGTCTGTGTGCCCTTAACACGCAGATCGGCCTCCTTGCGCACCAGATCCATGCCCTTATCCAGTTCCTGCACATCGGCCACAACGTTCTCCAGCGACACAGATGCCGCCTTATCCGTGCCATACAGTTCGCACTCAAAGCTCAGCAGTTCCGGAAATTTCGCCCTTATGGTGGCCACAATATAGTGCAGCAGCGACGAGCGCTTATCAGTAGACTTTGTGTCAATCAGTGTGTCCAGCGACTGCAGTTTGAAGCCATAGGCAGGACCACGCTTGTTGCTATTGAGATAGTTACCAAAGGCCAGCACAATTTCCAGCACAGCTTTGAACTTGCGCGATTGCTTCAAAGAGTTGGAGGCACTGGCAATCGATAGTACTTGCTGTGGGAGTTATGAGAAGAGAGTTGAAAAATAACCAAAGCTTAACTCAGCTCAACTTTACTTACTGGACTAATGAGATGCACGCTATCGACAAAGTTGCCCATGTAGTTCATAATGGCCAGCTTGGAGGAGATGCGTTCGACGCGCGACAATTGCAACATGAATTTGTCCTCCTCGGTGAGCAGCTGTTGATCCTTGCGCTCAATTATGTACTCCTTGTAGGCCTTGACCTCCGCATCGGTGGGCACCATCTTTTGCAGCAGCTCGACATTCTCCAGCGATAGCTTCTTCAAATCCAAACTATGTATGGCGGCGACAACATCGTCAATGGGCATGCCCAGTTTACGACGTGAGATTGCTTAAAATCGCATATAACAATGATATTATTAAAGTTCTATTGGATAACATATCTGTGTGGATTCATTACCTATGTTTCTTAACCTCGTGTGCTCCAGCAGCGACACATTATCGGGCTTCTTGAAACGTTTACTGGGATAGGTTGACAGGGTGCCATCCACCTCGGTGCCATTGCTGCCATTATGCAGGCCACCACCAATGCCAATTTTGAAGCGCTCCTCGAACTCATTAAAGTCAATTTGCTTGAAGATCTTCTCGTCGTCCAGCTCATTGAAAATAGTGCCACGCACCTATCGTAAGAGGAGCGAAACAAAACACATAATTTTGATAAAGTAGATTTATATAGAATTAATAAGATCTGAAACAATTTTAATCTTAATAATTGTTGTCATCGTTTGATAATAGTCCAGCTAATCGTTCTGCTGCTCACCTGATTCGGCTTGAGTGCTATCCAATTAAGTGTGGGCAGCTTGTATTTGGTGGGCACCTTGCGCTTGATGGTCATAGCACCATCAGGGGCTGGCATGAAGCCGGCCACTGGCGGCGGCGGTGGCTGGAACGAGCTGAGCATGGACGGCGCATGTGGCGGCGAGGGTACTGTGGAAGTGATGCTGCCATTTGGGCTGACCAGTGGACTCAGACCGGGCATCATAGGCGGCGGTGGCGGTGCAGGTGGCGCTGGTGGTGGCGGCGGTGGTGGTGCTGCTGTTGCTGCTGGCATCGGTGGCGGCGGTGGTGGTGGCGGCGAGATTGTGCCACCTGTTGAGCCCGTCAACAGGCTGCCATTCACCAGGGAACCATCGCCGCTGGACGCGGAACGTGGCAGGGAACGCGAAAGAGTTTGCAGCTCCAGGTTCTTGTTGTGCAGCAGTGTATCGCGCTTCTTGAGCTCCTGTTCGTTTTGTTGCAACATGCGCTGCAGCGCATTTAGTTGCTCCTCCAGCTGTTGTCGCATCACAGCCAGCTGCTCGCGCTCCGCTTTGAGGGTCAGATTCTCCGTCTCCAGCTCGGCAAATTTGTAGAGAAACTCCGAGTTGCGATCAATTTCACGCTCCAGCTGATCCTCCAGCTCTTGGACACGCTCCAGTGCCGATGTTTTCGTTTCCGAATCCTCCATCAGGGCAGCCACATCGAAAACATTATCGAGATAGGCGGAAATTTGCACCTTAAGCTCCTCGGACTCGGTGAGGCGAATGCGCTCCAAATACTTGTCAAGACCCAGGGCCGTAAACTCGTATTGCAAGTGGACGCGATAGTTCATATCCTCGACGGAGTGCACAACAATGTTCATGAACTGCATGCAGGCGACCATGAAGTCAATGTTGAAGGCCTCAAAGTTCATGAAGTACTCCATGAGCGTTTGGAAGCGCCGCTGCTCCTGGCACACATCCTTGAAATTATCGAACGAGCCCAGGATGATCTCGTGTCCGCCCTTCACCAAACAAATGGCCGCCAGCAACTCCAGCACCAGCGCCTTAGTGCGCAGAGATTTGTGTATCAGACTCAGAGCGATGCAGTTGATAGCCTCCCGATGCTGGATGACCATATTGAAGCCATACTTATTGTTCATGATCGCACGCAGGCACATTATGGACACGTGTATATCATCTGTGGCCGCACCCATATTCAATTTGGCAATGTGCCGCGAGCGACGCTTCAGGCTGGGACTGTCCAGGACCTCGGTGGGTCGCACAAAGCTATAGGAATGCGAGTGATTGCCATGTGCGGCACCTGGCTGTCGCGAGCTGTCCAGCAATAGAGAGACATTATTGTGATTGGCAGTGCCGCCAACGCCGCCCGGACTCAATGAGCTGTTGCTCAGCACCACCTCGCCGGAATCGAGCCCGCTGGTAACATTTAAACGCTCCTCGGATGCGCAGAGAGCGTCCTGGAGACGCTGCTCGTGTCGCATCATTTGGAGGCGAAAACAGAGATAATCGACAAGAGCATCGAGGCCCTGATTGGTATCGTCGAGAAACTCTTTGACCCACTCGATGTGATTGGTGCGCAGCGAGATCTCGAGATCCCGCAGCACCTGAGTGGATGTCGATTCGCCTACCATCTTACGTTTCTGACAAAGAAAGTAGAAGAGGTAAAGCTGTAAGTGTACAAAGAGAGAGAGAGAGAGAGAAAGGAAATTCGTGTTGGGATGATGGAACACAGGACGATGAGAGCGCAGGACATAATAATTAATGATTGATTGGTTGAGGTTGATTGATTGTGCGCGGTGCAGGAAAATGAGTCAGCAATGAGCGGGGGGGAAAGGGTGAACATAGTATCGATGTGTGGTAGGATGGGTGAGTGTGTGTGTGTTGTGTTTTTGTGTCGGTGTTGTCAGTGTTGTGAGTAGAGAAATTGAAGTTAACACATTAATAACGGAACAATTAATAGATTTGCATTATAATTTAGATAGGCATTACATAGTTTATTTTATATAGTTGCAATAGTCGATAAAAATTGCGACAACAACCACAACAAAATGAGAGTCAGACAGACAAACGCACCACACACCACAGACCCAACTACAGTCAACTACAAGAGTACAACTACAGCTACTTATGGATGTTATATATGCATACACAGGAAGAGCTCGTTGGGTAAGGCGCACTTGAAGACAAGTTAGTTATAGCTATATACGCACCACCAACTTTCAACACTTAAGTCAGACAGCCAGCCAAGTGGCTCCAATTTCCTCCAACTTACCCGATGACTACGCGATGCCTTTGGATCCAAATATGTCCGCAATTTGCTCAAGTAATGTGAGGGTGGATCCTTCGCCTGCACCATTTCCTGTAAATTAGTAAACAGAGACATTTTCTTAAGTAACAATTTGAATGCATCGAATAAAATACTAAAGTTTATGGTATTATAAGTAAAAATTTTACTATAGATTTAGTAAAGCGACCGATTGTTCCTGTGAAAGAGGAAAACACTGCTTTCGATCGTTCATTCCTATACCAGCTATATGATATAGTGATCAGATTCCGCCGATTGCCGAGTTTCGCCTCTACAAAAATATACAAATATTCCTAAATGATCTTCAATATTTTTACAAATATTAAAAAGAATCTTAGCTCTTTGACTGATTAAAATAAGTCGTATGCAGCGTGATGAAAATAAGTCATAGGCAGCGTTATGGACTATAGCGTTATATATTACTTCCCACTTGTTTTTGGTGTTATTAAAGACTATTAATTAACGGCGATAAACTGTTGCAATCGACAGCTTTGGTATTGACTAACCAAAAAAAAAAAGCTGTGTTGGACGGCGGCCAAAAGAAACTAATGCCCCATCATGCATTAACACTAACTTAGCGGCTTTTACTTTTGTTTTGCTTTGGGTGTTGTTAAGTTGCGGCGTTGTTGTTGTTGTTGAATTTTGTTGTTTTCCTCGCAACTGCATATTTGTGTACGATGTTTACGGTAAACAGCCCTGCTCTCTCCCCCTCCGTGCCTCTCTCTTTACCCACCCTGCTGGATCGCTCAAGACCACAATGATCATATAAGCATCGATTGCTTGCCTAACTTTAAACATTTTTTTCTTAAGCATGAAGCGTGGTATACTTGTTTTTGGCTTTTTACTATGCCAACAACATGCCGCAACAACAGCAACAACAACAACAGCAGCAGTGGCAGCAACGTATGACTACAACTAAAACTATGTGTGGGTTTTTGGTGCTTGGCCTGTGCAAGTCGCTAAAGTAAAAAAACCAGTTTCATTCTTTTCCTAGTCGAACACCACCATAAAGACTGCGACGGCATAAATAGAAAAAGATATATATATATATATACATATTTTTAACCAGGTATGGGGCGTCCAAGCAGCAGCACCAGCGATTAAAAACTGCAGTTTATCGCAGTCATAATAATTTGCATTTTGTCACTGTGAACCGCTGTGCAGTGCTGTGGTGGTGCAGAGTGGTGCGGACGCGAATGGATTGAATTGCTTGGATAGCTTGGGATTGGCTGCAGCTAAAGTTTCAGCTGGAGTCCTCGTCAGCGCGGAGGCTAACTCCATTGTTTGTGGGCTGCGTTTTCATTCAAGAAGTGCCTGAATTATAGAAAACAGGTCTGTTGGCATGCAGGCGGTTAAGGAACCCACCAGCAAACAAAATAGAAAAACAAAAACACGACTGCGACTGCGACGAGATCTTTGTAATGTTTGCTATGCATATACCTATTGTTATATGCGAAAAGGGTATAATGCATAGGTATATTTATTAAGACTTCTAATTTAATTCACACATACGAATCATACGAAATGTGTTCTTAGCAAGAATAGACTCAACTGTAGACTAAACAGTCACCCAGTTAAACCAGTTCAGTAGCGAAAATCTGCCCGTTTTGTGGCAATATGCAATATCCTATTGCAACATGTCTTAAGCTCAGAGAAGACATAGAAATGCTCAAACCGAAAAAAAACATTCCTGAATCCGCGCAAGAATCTGGGTTGATGGAAGAGGGTACAATGTATCTAACTAGATCCGTCAATAATAATGCATCTTAAAGGATATTCAAGAGCTCTGGCTACTGAGTAACATGCAGTCACCCTCGACTACTGCATTCATCGACTCTGCTTAAATCGTGTCTTTCCTGTGCCAATGGCGAATCATTTTCTAGGCGCAGCTCTTGAAAATTCAGTGACCCAGTTTAAAACTCTGATCAGCCTCAGCAGAACCAAACCGAACCGAACACAGAACCCAACCAAGACATGGTCTGTCGCACACGCTAATAGTTTCGTCATAACTGCCCAAAAGACACGGCACGCAATGTGGATTTGTAGACATGGGCTTATACACATGTAGCCATCATCATGCTCCACAACATCGCCCATCAGTTGACGACTGGCTCAATATTATAATACCGAAATGTTTTATGGTGTTTTTAATGTCAGCAGACGCGGCCATTGTTCGACATCAATTTGAATTCTACATGCGCCGAAATCGTTTTAAAATTGGATTCATTTTGCCACTTTTACAAGCATCAAACGACAAGCGACAACACACAAAAACAGAGTGTTGAGCACGCACTGAATAATGATACACAATATATATAAACATACATACATACATACATATATATATATATATAGAGATATCAAATGTCTAATGTGAGGTTCATACGGGTTTAGCTTAGCTCAGAGATAAATTGCACACAGATAGCAATCCTAAGTGCAGAGGAGCAAAGTGTCTTCTCAGTTCACATGTCAGACCAAAAAGGCCATTATAAATGATGTTTATTTCTAATGAGTTTCTGAGAAACAGGTCGACAGTTTCTCAAATTTCTGCTGCCTTAAGTGTGTGGAGTCGAAGAGATTTTGATCTACCAATGTGATTACTTTCTTTGCAGACTGATTACTTTATTATGCATATATATTGTAAGATAATCGATCTCGGTTGATAACAACTAGGAACTGCTTCAAGTACAATTACTCAAGAAGCAGATAAAAAAAAAACCGATTAAAATTTATTTTAGATCTATCAAGATATAAGAGGACACAAGAGGTTTAGGGTAGCTCACATAACTTATAAACCAGGAGAGGCAGAGATGGCAACAGAGCTGGTCGGAGACAGTAGGACTCCGACAAGCCAGATGTCTCCTAGGTGGTTATAATCTTGTTCGATTTAAACAGATTATAACCATGGGAAAGAACAGCCTTAGGACACTTACAGGACACTGTAGACTAAGGAGTCACCTGACAAAATTGGGTATATACAGTAGCGATCTCTGCAGGTTTTGTGAAAGAGAGAAGGAATCCTCGATGCACATCCTGGCAGAACGTGTCGCCTTAGCTAGAAGAAACAGCATCCTAGGGGCGCATGTCTTGAATTGCAAAGACATAGAAGACCTCAACCCAACAAAGATCCTTACGTTCGTACGGGAGTTGGGGCTGATGGAGGAGCTATAAGCTCAGAAAGGGGCACAATAGATCAAATGGGTCGCGGTGCAGCTTCCCCAATAATAATAATTATATGCATAGATTACATTTTAGGCGTTAGCCTCCACTTCAGCAGCGGAAGGGGAATCCCGGTTGTCCTCAAATTGTTGCTTGGCCACATTTAATCTGCAAAATTTCTGCGTTTGCCATAAACAGGAAGTTGCGGCCTGAACATTTATGATAAAAAAAAACGCGCAACCATTTGACAGCTATGTGTAAAAGCAGAGAGAGAAAGAGAGTGGGGGGAGGAGGAGGAGGAGGAGGGGAGTGGGGAGTGGGGATGGGGGTGCTTGGTTGGACCTCCGGTTTAGGCAGTTAAATATGAAATTATAATGTCCACTTACTTGATCGCATATCATGTCCCACTTCTTCTCGTCATCGTAATTGCGCAACAGCTTTGCTTTGTCCGGTGGCAGGTCCATTGAAGCCTGCGTGAAAAGAAATAAACATAAACAAAAGTGAGTAATGGCCATAACAGCTAAAAACCATTAGCAAATGGCCGTTAAACTAATCGCATTATAAAATGGGCAAAAGGTATACTGGAAAGTAAGTAGGTTTTAAGTAGCCAGCAAGTGGCCCAATTCCACCAGCAACTCAAGTTCATAGAAAACAAACAATGTGTGCCATTTAATTTGATGGGCCGACAAAAAGAGTTTGGCGATTTAAAGATTTGATCTGAGAAAAGCCAGTCACATTGCAATCATCGTTTTTGTTTACTGATTAAGAACGAAATCCGCACAGAGAATAGGCCAATATAACAAACTGAGGAAATAAATCATTATCTACTTCAGACAGATAATGCAAGTCGATGCTCTGACAGACAGATAAACAAAGAGCAGGAATTCAATTTCTTTGTAACCCAATCTTAAGACTGTTATCTATTTATAAATCAAAGATACAAATGAAAGTATTCAATATTGGAAAGTAGCCAAGATATTGATATCTCTTAGCCTATACTAAAACTTGTAAAGATCGCTTTTGTATAAAAGGTCTGCTGCATTTCCATTGTTTAGTCAAAACTAAAGTAAACCTAGAAATAACGTGGCATAAAATGCACACCTGCTGCACCTGTTGAACAACAACAATCAACGAAATTTTGCTATTGGCCATATTTGCATTTGGCCAACAAAAGCGCTAACTGATTGATGCACGGAGCAGCGTGACTCGCAACGGATGGGTTTATGAGCCCAAAACTCACTCAACCAAGAACATCAATCAGAGAACACCTCTCTTCTCCCCCAATCGCCAGCCAAGTGTGATGGAATTGCTGAACAAAGTTTATGTACATTGTATATTGAAAATTTAACGAAGAATGCCGACCATAATAAAATCAGCAAATAAGCTTACGTGACTTTAATTTGGGTGCAGCTGCAAGCAACTTCTAATTAGGTGCCAACACACGACGCAGGAAAGGGTGTGCGTGTGTGTGTGTGAATGACAAGAGAAAGAGACCTTTAGTGAGGATGTGAATAAGAATGAAAAACACATACAACAAATAGAAAAACCTTCAATTCTAGCAATGTCAAAGTGAGAAGAAAAAGAAAATATTAAATGACGCGGTTGATATATATATATATATATATATATATATTTATTTATCAGTAAGCACTGTACGATTTAGTAATTAAATATTTACTATATATACATACTTTCCGGCTTGTGAACTATTTTTAGATTACTCAGCATTCAATCTGTTTACAAATGGAACATGCGTATGCAAAATCATTCAATGAATCATGCCCTGCCCTCTACTACAAAATGAATTGAGTAATAGGAAACGTTGCAAATAATATGTATATATATATAACTGTATTTGATAAACCAATATTGTTATATATAAATACATAAATGCATATGTGCATCTGAGTAGTTATTTATAAGACAAGTTTAGGGTCTGCATTTCATAATCTTATCATTGACTTATCTTTATTTTATATATCTATATCAGGAATGCAATGTTGCGACTTTGATTGCAATCATATAGGTACAGTCATCAATAAGTACGAGGAAAATTACGAACGGCTTCTAAATTGAATATAACACACAAGGCGCTTACTCATCTGACAAGAGCGCAGATGGGGATTTTCAAAGGGGATACCAGTGACTCCAAATTATACAAACACACACACACACATATATATATATATATATATATATACCAACACACATATTCATGGGACAAAATTTTAAAATGCGTATCCGGTGCGACGGTCAGGCACTCGGATTATTATTATATGTTGTCGACCAATTTATATAGAAAAACATTTTTATTTTTTACTTGCCTGCTCTGGCATAAATATTGAGCGACCATGTACACTAATGAAAGAGACAAACAGAGAGAGAGAGAGAGAGAGAGAGAGAGGGGGGAAGAGAGGCTTTGTCATTTATTATTCCAAAGTATACACAATCGTATATTTATATTGTTTGTTGTTTAAAAAGCGCGTCGAGGCAAATCACTCAACGTTAAGGGGCCCAGACAGCGAGGGGACAGCTTCGGGGAGGAGTGGACGAGAAATGTAAAAGGTGACTGGGCGATGCGACATTGGACTGCGATCAGGGCAGGGGTAGGGGCAGGGGCAGAGGCAAGGGCAAGGGCAACCCCAAACACAGTGTTTACAAAAGGAGTACTACCAAGCACATCAAAATAAATAAACATCATCGCTTTAAGTAATCTATAAATATTGCAATAATTTTCAATTGCATTTTTCCAGTTATGTGAAATGCGATCATGAAAAATGTAAAATTCAACACGTTCCGCAAAGCAAATTACATAAATAAACAAACAAGGAAAATAATAACCAAAACAAACAATAAGAAAATTGCATGTCAATGAAGCAATTGTTTAAGCTTAATTAACACACAACTAAAAGAAAGACTGGCAAGATTCGTGTAAATTGACTGTGAAAAACATGGCATGTGAAAAATGATTTAATTAACATTTTGCTACCGCAAATGCGACTGAGATGCAGTTGAATTATCACTGTATGAGAACTCTTCCGATATGACAAGACACAATTGTAAATCTAATTCACATTGAAACTAGTTTTTGAAAGGCTTTGGATTATAACTTAAGCATTGTTAAAATCCTAATAACATTTAATAAGTTATTGTAAATTATATTTTAGCAAAACAAGTTTCGAGTTTGTTTATACAAATTCTAAGCAGACTGAGTACAGAACTGACTATAATTAAACCGTTGTAATAGCCTTGTTTATAAATGTGCTTAGCTGCCATAATAAAATGGCTTATGTAAGAACATAAAAACTGCATTTAAGTTGTTAGAAAATCAAAGAACATTTTTTGCAATCTGCAAAAGCACTATTATAAAATCGAAGCCACAGATGCTGAACAAAGTACAAATGTAATTTATGAGTAATAGACGACCTGTTTCTTTCTTGGTCTTACATCAGTTCACATTGAGTCTATGCTCGTTTACTGTGTTTTTATGAGCATAAGAACAGATGCAATGAGTTTTTTCTTTACATTTTCTTCTTTTTTTTTGCAGACCGCAAATAGCGAGTGCTAACCCTACAAGGGACCGCCAAGGAAGTTGCATCGCAACGATAAACAAATGACGGCTATATACATATGATGTATATATACAGAATAGATAAATACTATGCACACACATTATGTATTTGTAATCATCTGTGCCTCTTTCTCATTTGGTTCTTCTTGTTCATTTTGCAGTCATTAGATAAAGACGAGCAAATGGCCAAACGATGAAATAGTCATCAAAACGCTGACTGACTTACAACATGTAAAAACAATGAGTATTAATTCAACAATAAAAAACAACAAGACAACAGCTGTGGTTTTTTCAAGACTGACGGTTTGTCAGCCACCGCAAATGCCATTAGCCGCAAAGCCATAATACTCATTATTATCTATTCTAGACAGAGATGATGACCGTCTGCTATTGAAACCCTTCTTCAATGATGATTAAGCAGTGAGTGAAAGTCATTTTGTGTGCCGTGAAAGCTGGTAAATTAATGAGGATTTTATGTGGTTAGTTCGACAACAGCCAGAAAGCACCACAACACCACCGCAACCACTGCGAGACTGGTAGGAGTTAAGCCTATTAACTTTTATAGAGCTTAAAATGCAATCAAAAAATTAACAAACTATTAATTATAATACAGTACGCATAAGTCAAAGACAATGCATAAAAATGATGGCGTCTTTACAATGACAATCTATTTTATGTTTTTTTAAATGCATTTTCATTTGATGGGGACTACAAATTTATATTTGATCATCATTTATAAATGCGACCAGCAACGATGATTTCACAGTACTCCTTAAAAATCTGCAGATCTAGCGAAATCAATCTGAGTCAAAGTGGAGATAATTCTTAATCAAAGAGCGACTGCTGCTGACATTTGTTTGCTCCGCTTGATCCTCTCAGTCAATTTGCCGTCTACAAGTCATGCAAATACAAAGTTCAATCAACCCCCACAAACAAACACACATAAACACACACATACACACATGGAGTGGCACAGCTAACCGGAAACATCTGCGCCGACTGCACCCGATTAGACATAAAACGCAAATTATTAGCGGCAAACTATTTATAACCATGAATCAAGCAAAAACACAATTGCTTTCAATTGTAAACGCTTTTTGTTTGGCAAGGGCAGCAGTATCTGGAGAGACTTTATACTCTGTGCTCAATGCTCTAGACTCTTAATAGCAGCCACCAAAGTAAACACAAATTAGCCTAAGCCTTTTGGAATGGCGATTCGAGGCGAGGCCAAAAACCGACGAACGCTACTGAAATGCCAAAACAACTTTTTGGAGAAATACAAAGGGAGCAAAAACAACAACAACTTAAAGTCAATAAAGTAGTCAAACACTTCCAGTGCCAAAAAAAAAAATATAGATATATATATAAAAGGGGGTAAACAAAATAACTAGAATAATCAACAAGTGTTATCTGTGGCAAATTGAAGTTTTGTATACCCTTGGAAAAGAACAATATATATAAGCGATCAAAATATCTAAAATGTATATAGAAACTGAAGCGAAATGAAACCAGTTTTCTACGAAAATTTAGTAAATACATAATTTATTTATATGTTTAAAACTTTGGACGAATACATGATATATAGATGACTATATATAAAATCAAATATATTCCAATTTATAATAGATATTCAGTAGATAATTGAGCTGAGTTTCATATACCGAGCGAATTACTAAAGAAATATCATAAACAATTTTCTTAACGTATAAATGAAATAAATTAACTTTATTTACATGTCACATGCAACTTTACGAAATAATTATGCCCCAAATATGTTTTAGGCAAAGTGTTACAAATGTAAAAGAACAAAAATAGCTCGTTGAGCTGAGTTTCATATTACATCGACTGCCAACTAAATGATAAGTGAGAACTTGAGCTGCGCATATAAAGATTTCGTTTTTTTTTTTTTTTCCTCTTATCTTTTTGCGGCAGATAAACTAAGTCTCAAACAGCAGCCCAAATGAGTCAGCATCAGCAGTGGTGAGGAAAGAGAGCAGCGACAATCGATCAATTTGCCTTTAATTGCCATTTGCATTAGTCTGGGATTGGGTCACACACACACGCTCACACCCATTTGCTGTAGTATGTAGTGGGTTTTTATGTGGCAACATATTTTATTACTTGTGTTTTATATATTTTTTCTCGTTTTGGCAATATAAAAGCGCGCGCCCATTGTTTAATTAAGTTTTGGGCTCTGTTGCTGTTGTTGTTGCTTTAGCTGGGCTCTCGAGCAGCACTTCATATGCATGACAAACAGAACAGAACGAGCCGACAGAGGGAGAGGAAGAGAGAGCGCAAGAGACAGATTCATATACATAAGCAAATATACAGAGAACGCAGACACGAGACAATACCCAGCTGTACTCTGATGCGTGCCAAACGTACAACTGCACGCATTACTTTTCACACTAAAACTAAAAAAAAACCGTTATATTGTGTTACCTTGTTATTATTAGCACTGTGTTAATTATTTTATTTGTCATTATACGTTTGCTCTTTTTGCTAAGAGTGCAATTTCAACGGTTGTCTAACATTCCAAAGTAATGTCAATTTCACACCACAATGTGCATCAATAGAAAACAAATTCGACTGGGCTAATCGAGAACACACACACACAGAAACACATATGCTACCCACGATGAGCTCATCAATCACATGCATTGAGGGAAACAAAGAGAGACAGGGAGAAAGAGTAGGGAGTGTGTGTGTGTGTGTGGGGGTGTTTGTGTACTTATCCTTTACGTCTGTAATTTTGATTGGATTATTGAACTCACCAATACTTTGGCAAATCGACGATCCAGTTCATCGGTGGTGGGCATCGGCAGCTGGCTGCGACTGCGCACGCTCGGCTGTCGCACATGTTGATATTGCGAACTGGAGCCGATGTCATAGCGAAGATCCTGTTTCTGCAGCGTGCCAACAGCGGGCAGCGCACCATTCAGATGATGATGATGCTGAGGATGTTGATTGTGATGATGATGCCCACCATTGCGGATCACTGAGTGTTGTGTGCTCTGCTGCTGCTGCTCATCTCGATCTCGATCCACATCAGAGTTGCTGATGTTGCGTGATTTGACTGCGCCCATTATGGTTGCAAAGCGGCCGCTGCCAGCTGCTGTTACTGCTGCTGCTGCGCCGCTTCCGCCTGCGCCACCTCCGCCTCCACCACTTCGCCCTCTCCCTCTCCCCCCACCGTCGTCGCGGGCGTCGCCTGCCTCGATGCTCGCCGCTACCGTTAGCGCTGTGCTAAGGGACGTGGATACCGCGCCCCATACAGTTCGACAGAGGGCGCGGGTGCGTTCGGGGCAACTTGAAAGTTGCTCTTTGATTCCGCTGAAGATATCCAAAGCGATGTTGTTGCTGCTCAGCCTGCGTTCGCCTTGCAACCCACTGAATTTTTTCTTATATACGAGTCGAGTTGAGTCTACAAATTAACCGAAATTTTCAGTTCTGTTTTTTCGATATTTTTCCTTTTTTTCTGGTTACTGTGTTTTTATTTGCTTTTTTTTGTACCGAGCGAGAAGCGAAAAAGTTGCTGTGTTCGATTTTTACTCGAATTTATATGTGTATAAATATATTTTTTATGTTTTTTTTTGGCAATGCAAGCACTTTCAACTGTAATAAATTAATTATATATATAAATATGTATTTATATGTACACAGACACACACACACACATGTGCATACATATACACGCCCTAAAAGAATTTTGTTGGAAGCACAAATAATGACACCAAGTGAGTAATGTGCTTCTTCTTGTTGTTGTTGTGGTTGCTGATGCAGCGGCGACGGCTGCTGCTGCTTCTTCTTATATGCAACTGAACAAACACATATACATAAACACAGACACACCGCCAACACAAAAAACACACACACACAGAGCCGTACTCGCACACAAACACACACACACACATGGACTGGAGAGTCACACAGACAAAGCGCAGATTTCAATAGAATCTCAATCCTGCAGGCGGCGACAACTTTGTGCCTTTGTCTTTAATAGTCCATTTAAAAATAGTTGCCAAATTGAAAGCGTGTTCAAATTTAAATTGTATCCTGCATTTGAATTACTTAATTTGGTATACGCAAAATTGGACTGCAATTGTTTAAATGCACTTAACAAGATGCGACGGCGCGACCACAACGACGTGCAACTCCTTCGTTTGTCGAGTTTTCGAACGAGACTGACAGTGTGACCGACCCTCTGGCAGCATCAGAATACCGATTATTTGGCTTTTCAATAAATATATGTATTTTTATAGATATATATGTATATCTATATACAAATTATTAGACCAGTTCAACAAAAGCACATCAATCAGTTTTTTTTTTCTAACAAATGCAAGTGTGTATAAAATTATAAAAAAAGAAAGAAAATTATATTCAATATTCAAAGTTCAACTCAACATTTCGATTAATATATCGATAAGAGCACCATCCCTGGCAGTAACTTTGCTGTAAATACAGATTTGTTTACCAACAGCATTATACAATGGGAACGCCGCGAAAAAACTGCAATTATTATTCACCTTACGCAAAAAATGTGGGCCAATATCCATCACAAACAACGGACTACATGTCCCAGCATGCGGGCGGCCTGCAATCCCCGCCAACGGACAGACGACAGACAACACACAACTCTAATCAGAACGCGTCGCATTTCTATCAGAGCAGAAAAGCAACGCCTCAATCCGAAAATGGTGACTTCTTCTTCTTCGAGGACAGAGGACAGAGCTCCGGCGAAAAGAGGCCGCACTTCTATCAGAATAAAACACCGCAACAAGATCAGCGTCGCAATTACGGCTATCGCGGCGGACGTGGACGTGGAAGTCATCGATCCACATTTGGAGACCGAAGCGGAAACAATCCCTCCTCACAGTACTTTCACAGCTCAATGCTCGAGGATCCGTGGCATGAGCTGATGGAGCGCCACAATGCCATCCATGGTAGCGTGCTCAGCGATGACCCGAGGGCCGACATTGATGCATCTTAACTTTAAATTTCAACACTTTATACATTTATTAAACTCAATTAATAATAACTTAAAACTAAGGAGATTCTTTCTCCTCCTTTGTCATATGTGGTGCTGCTGCTTCTGCTGCTTCTGGATGTGACGCTCCCAGTCGGCGGCGATGCGATTGTAGACGCCCATCGCGGCACGTGCATCCTCCACAGAGCTGTGCTCCCCCGTCTGAATCTCTTGGCCGAGCACGGACAGAGTCAGGCGCTTCAGGCTAGGCGTGTGTCCATTGGAGACGAGCTTGCAAAGCGGCTTGTAGCGTGAAGTATCGCGAATGTGGGCCACTGGATGCTTAATGCTCAGCACACCGAGATCTTTGCGCAGCGCATGACCCACCAGTATCTTGCCCTGTAACATCTTAGCCACCTCTGCCTGCACCGCTTTGAAATCCTCCCCATTCTCAATGTCATGCGGTCGAATGCCCGAGACACTGGTGCGATAATCGACGACAGGCTGACGCGGCTTCACATACTTGTCCAACAGCACCTCACCTCGCTTGTTCACGATAGAGACGCGCGCCAGCATATCCTCGCAGCCGTTGTGGCTCACGCCGACCATCTCGCAGTCCATGGCCAGGTAGCGATTCCTCTGTGCCTTCCGCTTCAGACGCGCACGCGCCGATTTCGTCAATGGGGCATCGCCAGCGACGAGTACCTCACCATCAGCTGCTGCTGCTGACTGCTTCTGGTTCTCGGTGCCGGTAGCTGCTGTAATCGACGATTGCCAGTTAGAGCCGGCGGCGCGTCTGTTTATATTCGATTGTTGCAGTTCCAGTCGTTCCATGGAATTTTGCAGTTTGCGTTGACCTGGCGAGTTAATTTGATTGTTGTTCTTGGCGCGATTCATTTTGAACTGCTTTTGGGGCTGTGGTGAAGACATTGGTGGGCCAGTTTGAACTGTTTGAACAGTTTGAACTTAAATATTGTTTGTTTCCTTGTTTAAATATTGTTTTGTTTGCAGCTAAAATTCTCACAATGTGTTTTGTCTATCGATAGCTTATTATCGAGCAGCGACTGCTGCTCTTTCTTTTGTATTTTTAGTAAATATTTCGTAGCTTCACATTCACTTGAGCTATGAATTCAGGCGCTCAATATATTCAATTTGTTAAACATTAAGCAAAAATAAACGAGCTCTGATCGCAAATTTACCCTTGCTCACAACAAATAATCCACAAAGTGCTCTGCTAAGCGACTAGCAGCTGTTCCATCGATAGTCGACTACAAATAAATCGAATAGTGCAACAACAGCAATGCATTTAGTTGATATTTTCTGTTATAATAAAGTAGCGACTGTTAAATTTAAATTATAAACCTTTTTAAGGAGACAAACCCCCAACAATCATTTATTTATTAAGCAGTTGCTTGTGTTTTTAATTAATTGAATGTTTTCTAAAATTGAAAGATAATTAACTTCTGATTTTATAAAAATAAATAAAGTTGCTACCGTTAAGTAACAGACAATGGAATGTTAAGATTGTATCGCTGTTCACCTGCTGTTAACAAGTAACCCAAATAAAAAAAAATAAAAAAAGAACGACTGAAAAACAGGAAAAGGAGCCAGCAATTAAAAATAAACTATTTCAAATAAAGGAGCCTCGTCAATTGGCACATGACACGCTACATTTAAGTATTAATTGAAGGATAAAAAAAAAACCATGCATAGATCCAATAGTGCAAAACAATTGAGAGCTGTCGTTAACTGCAACTTAGTTCAAAATAACAATGAGCAGTGAAAAAAGTGTTATTTTCGAGCATAATTAAATAAAGTCACAGACATGGCAGCCAGCTCCGCCTTGCAATGCTTTCACACACGCTGCGGTCGCTCCATAACGCTGGGCAATGGCAATCGCTCCGCGCAGCGCTCGATGCGAAATTTTAGTCATGCGCTCGTCTTCAGTGCGGAGCCCCTCGTCGACGATGTCCTCTTCGAGGTGGTCATCGAGAAAAAGGTGAGTTGTGTATAAATATAAGTATAAGTATGTGCTTATAAGCCTGACTCTGTTATGCCCAACAGAATCATTCGTGGGGCGGCAGCATTGAGATTGGCGTCACTTCTGAGTCGCCCGAGGATTTGGAATTGGTTGCCTGTGCGACAGCTATGAGGAATGGCACCTGGGTCATGTCGGGCATTGATGTGCGCAAGGATGGCCGGCGTCTGATCGAGTACTATGGCACCGATCTGGAGACGCTCAACGAGAATGATCGCGTCGGTGTCATGCGCACCTCCAACCACGATCTCATCTTCTATGTGAATGGTGAATCGATGGGCATCGCCGCCAAGAATATGCCCAAGCCGCTCTGGGCACTTGTGGATCTGTATGGGCGGTGTGTGCAGGTCTCCCTCTGCCCCACAGACGCCTGCAGCAGCTTGTTCAACAGCAGCAGCGAGGTATTTTTAGCTTTGGTTGATCACCTGTCCAGTTTTCAGTTGACTCAAGATTTGTCATTTTGCAGCTGCTGGACTCGCCGTTGCAACAGCCATTGCAGCAGGTTGTACAGAATCTGGATGTGCCCATGAGCGTGGATGTTAGTGTGGTCGATAGCTGTAGCCTGGATGCGTTGGCACGCCTTAATCTCAATGGCAATGCTAGTTGTAGCTCGAGCAGCGGCATTGGCGACTTCTACGATGTGAACGATCGGCTGCGGTTTCATACGCGTTGCGGCTCCTTGGTCAAGCTGGTGCCCAATTTCCGTTCAGCGGAGCGACGTCGTCCGCTCGATGAGTTCAACAATGGCGTCGTGATGACCCATCGTCCGCTGCGAGACAATGAGCTGTTCGAGATACGCATCGATAAGCTGGTGGACAAGTGGTCGGGTTCGATTGAGGTCGGTGTGACCACGCACAATCCGACGGTGTTGCACTTTCCGGCAACGATGACGAACATGCGTAGCGGCACCATCATGATGTCCGGCTGTGGCATCCTCACCAACGGCAAAGGCACGCGTCGGCAGTATGGGGAATTCAATCTGGATGAGCTGCGCGAAGGGGATCGGGTGGGCATGATGCGTAAATCGAATGCCAATCTGCACTACTACATCAATGGGCAGGATCAGGGCGTGGCGGCGACACGTGTCGCTGCCACATTATGGGGCGTCATCGATCTGTACGGCATGACCATCAAAGTGACCATTGTGGATCGCGACGAGCGCGAACAACAGAATTTGGTGACCAGGCGCAACAACTTTGTTGCCGGCATGTACACCGCCGTCCAGTCAGGCACGCCCACACTGAGTCTGCTCAGTCCGGAGAGCGAAATGAATGTAGCCGGTGCAGCTGGTGGATTGAGCGAGACCATATCCAGCACACGGGCCATCGCACGCAACGATGATCGGCTCACATTTCATCACATCTGCGGCAGCCATGCCACAGTCACTCAAAGTGGACGCACTGCGCTTCGACCCAAGTAAGCGTGTCACAATCCCAATCACAGTTGGTCTCTTTACATAAATCTTACTCCGTTTATTGCAGCGCTGCGGATGATTTCAATAATGGCGTGGTGCTCACACGTCGTCCACTGCGTCCCAATGAACTGTTCCAGGTGCGTCTCGAACGCGTAGTCACCAAATGGGCGGGCTCCGTTGAAATGGGAGTGACCACGCACACCGCCGATGATCTGGACTTTCCGTTCACCATGACAAACGTGCGGTAGGCGAAGATACCCTTCACACGGTAGGATCTCTCTTGGTTTTATATTGATCACTTCGCCTCTCTTTTGCAGCTCCGGCACCTGGATGATGACTGGCAATGGTGTAATGCAGAATGGCGTCACTGTCATCGAGCAGTATGGCCAGAATCTGGATCGCCTCCAGGTCGGAGATCGTGTGGGCGTGGTGCGTAAAGATGATGGCACCTTGCACTTTTGGGTCAATGGCATTGACCAGGGACCGGCTGCCACAAATGTGCCGGAGCGTGTCTACGGCGTCATCGATCTGTATGGCCAGGCGGCCCAGGCAAGCATCATTGACACCTCCGAGTGCGGCAGTCCCGATACAGGCAACTCAACCATTTCCAATACGACGCTGTACAGCGAGGTTCCGCTCCGCTTCCACAACATACACGGCGCCAACGCAGGCATCTCGAACAGTGGCATGACTGCATCCCGTCCCAATTCTCTTGCGGAGTTCAATGATGCCATTGTATTTAGCAATCGGCCGTTGCGCAATCGCGAACTCTTCGAGGTGGAGCTGGAGACAATGGTGCGTCACTGGTCGGGCAACATTGAGATTGGCGTCACTGGCACTCGGCCGGAGGACATACAACTGGCGCCAAATGCTACAGATTTGGAAGCCAATGATACGATTATATTGTGCGGTCCAATGATCTTCCACAATCGGAAGACCATTCGGACGAATGTGCTCATCGATCTGGATACGCTTGGGACGGGCACACGTGTCGGCGTCATGCGCAACGGCGACTTTATACACTTCTTTGTTGATGGCATGGATCAGGGTCCAGCCGGGGAGTGTCATGCGCCCAACATTTGGGCCATCATCGATCTCTACGGGCAGTGTGCTCAGGTCAGTCTGACCCAAACACAGCTGGACATACGTGCTCCGTATGCCACCAGCGAGAATTCGCAGAGCTGCCAGGCCACATCTGTCATACAGCATCCAGCACTGGAGGCGAAACATCGCTGGACCTACATTTCGGGCAATGTCGTTCTGACCAGGGATTGGACAGAGGTATCTCGATATGCTGGCGCCACGGCTGCTCTCTCCCACAGTCTGGTCTTCTCAGAGCATCCGCTCAGCGCCGGCTCACCCTTTGAAATCAAACTAACCTCCATTAATCCCATTTTTGCCGGTGAGTCTGATATATATCTATATATATATGTATTCTTTATTCTAGTTCTTCCTTTTGCAGGCTGTCTCAGCATTGGCATCACCGATCTCAACTTGGCAGATGAAAGTGTGCGCAAGATGCTGCCGACGAGTCTCAAGCGCATCCCGGCGAATGTTTGGTATGTCAGTGGCAACGAGGTCCACTTGAATTCCAGCTGCCTGCAGCGATCGCTAGCTTCCCTGGAATGGTTGCGTGTGGATGATCGCATTACGCTGGAGCGTGTGGAGAATTCGGTTAGCATTCTGCTCAATTCGGAGAACGTCAATATTCAGTTTCACAATGTGCCCAACAATGTGTATGTGGTGGCCGAGCTGATGGGCTCAACGATGGGTATTCAGGTGATTTCCACGCAGATGCCGGCATCGCCGTTACGTCCATGCAGTCTGCGGCTGCAGGATTCGATGGACTTTGGCATGGATCCACTGAACAAGCAGGACAGCTCAATGCTGGAATCGATCGATTCAGAGGCGCAAAACTATGAATTCGTCGACATATCCAATAAGAATGTACGCCTCGGAGACGATAGACGCAGTGCCGCCAGAAGCAAGTCCTTCAACCAGGCCATCGTAAGCCTCAACAAGCCACTGTGCAAGGGCGAGAGCATCAGCATCAAAGTGGACACCATCAACAATAAGTGGAAGGGCACGCTCAGCTTGGGTGTGCTGGCCACGTGCCCGCAGGCACAATCCATGCCCATATCGCTGCTGAACTGCAAGAGCAGCTGCTGGCTGGCCACCCATGACTACATCAACATCAATGGTCAGGTTATGGCCTCGAAGTATGGTGAGGCACTCGAGAACATACAGGTGGGCACAGTGATCACCATGACGCTGACACACGCTGGCATGTTAGGTAAGTTGAACAGCAGCAGCAATCACTACTATCTGGTAACATTCTCATTCCTTTTCAGTCATCATGGTTGGTTCCACAAATCTAGAGGATCTGGCCAGTGGCTTGTCTGGTCATGTGTATCCAATTTTTGATATCTATGGCAAGTGTGAGAAAATCACGCTGCTCACTGGAAGCGATGCGACACGCAATGGCAATGCCAATGGTACGCCAATTTTGGAGGCACCTGAGGCACTGGAGTTAGACAATATGCCGCAGCAGTGCGAGAAGGCGCACCTTGAGATGCATGAGAAGGAGAAGGATACGGAGCAGTTGAGCGATAGTGGCAGAGAATTTCCAACGGGTGCCTCAACTTCTGCCTCTGGCAACATCATGTTAGTGTTCCCAATTACTCCCAATCGATGTTGTTCTATAATTTTGTCTTCCTTTTCACAACCAGGACCCGTTCGGTTATGGAGAGCGTCTCGGAGAATCTGCTGCTTAATATTTCGATTAAGAATCGCACACTGGAACAGCAACGAAATGAGCTAGGAGGCTCTTCATCCACGTGGTAAGTGCAACTTATATATGTATATAGGATAATTATTAATTTTTGACTGCTGTTTTGCAGTTGTCTGCGCGAATCCTTGCAGCTGCAGCACAACACGAATCTGAACATCCAGCGGAGTCAGAGCACCCAACGTTTCCAGAACTCGCTGAATACCTCAACGGGCGGTGGTGCGAGCGGCTCGAATAATGCTGTGGCTCAGGCGCATGCATCGAACGCTGTTTACGACACGAACAAGGAGTACGATGATCAACCATTGTGCTCCAATGTGGCCTCCTCGTCCATGGTGGCCTCACACGAATCGGAGCATAGTGAGAACAATGTGGAGGCTGTAGTGGAGGCAATCAACGAACGCGAACAGTCCAGCGAGCCGGGTGACAATGTGCTAGAGGATGATGAAATTGATTATATGAATCATTTGTTGCTGCTGCAGCAGTTGCAGCAGAATGAGTACACGCGCATGCAGCATCATCTGATGCCCGATCAGATGTCCTTGCTGAATTTGGATCTCTCCTCGCTCAACTCCCTGGAATCGGAGACCAATTCCAGTAGCAATGCTCGCGAATCTTTGCGTACGGCAGCAGCGGGACTGGAGCAAAACGATTGCGAGTATCTGAAGCAGGTGAAACGTTTCTGTTCGTCGTTGGTGCTGCCGCAGGCCTTCTTCGATACACGCCTCGATCCGATTTGCTTCTGCTCCAAGTGCAGCGGAAACTGCCACGGCAACGGCGACAAACTAGAGGGCTGGGTCTACTTCAAGCTAAACCAGCTGACAGTCAATGCGCTGAGCACATCTGCTTCCGGGTCATCTGCTGGGCAAGTGCACTTGGATCTCAATGGCGATTGGCTACCCTTCTACTATATGACGCGCGTGGATAAGATACGCGCCATATTGGATCGGGGACAGCCACTGCCGCTTGAAATGGACGAGGACATGGTGACGACCACGCATAAGGATGAGCCCGGCACCCGCCTGGAGTTGTATTATTCGCCCAATGCCACCGTTATTGAACCAGTGCTGCCGCAACATCACTATGTCTCCGATCAGGGTGTGCATCGCATCTCCACCTCGTTTGAGGTGTATGTACGGCGTCAGTCTATCTCTGGCGTCACCACGGGCAAAACAGCCGCCGAGGCGAAGAGACGCAGCCTGAATACGATCGACAATGAAGCGGGCAATGAGGGTGCCGCAGCTAGCGGCGGATCTGGCACTCTTAATGAATCCTCTGTACATCTGCTCAACGACCTATGCTGGTTTACCAAAGAGGCGGGCGCCTGCATCATAAATGCATTAATTATCAAACTGGATCGCATCGAAGAGCCCTCAATCGACCCCTAAATAAACTGTCCACGAATAGTAGAATATATCTCCAAATACATATGTATACATATATATGCCCTAGTCACCATTGCAGCTGAATGTTCTAATTAACTCGTATATAGCCCATGTATGTGATTAGATACACGCTACGCTTAGCTTCGCATTTGCATTCCCCCCTTTATAAGTAAACATGTTTTTTAATGTGAGCGCATATAAATCTCAAAATATAATCACAATGTTATGCTACAAGTGTCGTATGTATTTTCCATCATTTCAGAGAACAAAGTTTAAATGTAGAATATTTAAATTTATTTAGATTTTAGCTTCGATTTCCATTTGTGTGGGCATCTTATTTGAGTGGATGTGTGCAATTTGTTGCACTTTATTTTTCATGTTATCCATTCTCGAACTAATCTGTGCCACTAGCTCATCGTCCAATTTCATTTTCTGCTCATATTCACTTGTCTTCTCACTAAGATCCGCCAAATTGGCTTGAAGCTCAGCTATCTTAGCTTCGAGTTCCTTTATTTTGTTATCTTTTTCGGGTTCATCTTCACTCTGCATCAGAGTTTGGCAATAGGATTCGCAACGTTTATTCAAATTGACCGATAACTCGCTCAACTGTACAACGAAATTCGAGTTATTTTTATTTCTAGTTGATAATTTTCGTCACTCACCGAAAGATTTGTGGATGCAGCGCTTATTAAATATGCCTGCATGACAATTAGTAAAATTACAATGACTTTCATTTTAATAATTTGATTTTTTCTTTAAACTTGTTGCGATATGTTCAGCAGCCAAAACGTGAATGGAATATTTATGAACGTTTCTACATTTTATACCTAAACCGTTGCTCTTCAAGAATATAAATATATATATATGCATATATGCGTGCATATATGAATCTCACTTAATGGGCATTCCAACAATTTCAATTTCCCAGAAAATGTTTATATTGGCAATGAAACAAAACAGATTGTTTATTTGCTTATAATACATATATCCTAAACCTATAAAATACATACGTCTTTGATCTTGAATATGTGAATAGGGAAATTTCAGACCCCCACATTGTAGTCAATGTGACCGATTTAAAAATGAAACCCATTTTTCGTGCTTTTCGGAATCATCATTATAATTTTATTTGATTATTTGAATTCCATTCATTTAGTGTCGCTTTTGTTATTATTCAACTATATGCAAAAAATTGTCGATTAGAAAATGTTTCTTTTTTATTAATTTGTTGTTGTTGTTGCATCCACATCCATTCAGCGCTGCCTGCCACTACTATTCATTGCCTGTCTCTACCGTTATCTGTTGCTGCATTTAATCAAATCATAATCCTTTGTTTTATTCGCTTACACGTGTAGCTTATGTTTACAGTTTGCCAGTTTGTCTGCTGATGCTTCGAAAAAGCAAAAGTGCATATACAATTGTTGTTTTGTTGTTTGTTTCATGTTCTTGTATACGTTAAGTTAAATTTGTTTTCTTGTTTTTGTTGTTGTTGATGTAGTTGATGTTGTTGTTGTTTGTTTACCGTTAGCCAATACCATATATATATTTTTGAATATACTCTTTACCGACGAGACGACGCACATTGAGCACAGCTCACTCCACATCCATGGATGGATCATTGACGCCCGCATTCTGCGCATTGTTGCCATCCACATCCATTTTGTCGCCGGCAGCAGCCGAATTTGGATCGCCACCATTTTGATCCGCATTCGCGGTATCCTTGGGCGGAGTCGTTGTCTTAGCAGGAGCTGGCTTCGGTTTCGCGCGCGTAATGACCGAGTTGACGCAGGCATTCAATGATTGCACCTCGTGGCGCAGAGCTGCAAGCTGCACGGGACTATCAGCGGTGCGAGGAGATTGCGTGAACTTCGACAGATTGGTATCTAGCCACTTTTGCGCCTTGTCCGCAGTTTCGGCAATGTTGATGAACTCGGTCTCCGTCAGATGATCGTATTTGGGCACTCCCTTGCGGAACTCGGTGACGGCCTGGCGGGCCCAAGCGATGCTGTTCTTCAGCTCCTCGAAAACAGCTGGACACTGCTCGAAATCGTGTGCGCGATGCCGGATGGGATCGGTCTTTTGCAGCAACGCCGTGAGTCGGCTGGTGTAAGTCTCACGCTCGCAGTCCACACCATCTTCATATAGCCAGTTCTCGAGATCATTCAGCTGCGACACAATCGCTTCGCGCTCCGAATCGACCACATAACGCTCAAGTGGTCCGCCCTAGAAATTTGAGGCATGTCAGTTATAGTTTTCTATGCATATAGCTATAAGTGGATTCAAAATAACTACCAGCAGCTTGTTGCGCATATCGTAAACAAACTCTTCCAATCCGTTTTTAGCATCGATGCGCTCCGTCTCCTTCTGATCGTTGGTGATCATCTTAGTCTCCTGTTGCGAATAATTGGCCATCTCGGCTAGATTGAAGCCATGCGTAGCCACGTCCATTGGCAGCTCAACGGCCTTTGTGGACTTCTTCTTGGTCTTGTCGGTGCCCTACAATAGACAACAATAATAATGAGTATAATTGAACGGATCTCGCTTGGGCACAATTTTTCCAATTCTTGTAGCCAATAGAAAGAGGAAATAGCTCGAAGCGGAACAACAACAAAGCGAAGAGGAAAAACAGCTCAAGTAACAGCCTACAATATGAGCGGGAGATTGTGATTCGTGTCTAAGTTATGTAAATGCAAGTTGTTCTGGAGTAGCATTCACTGGATTAAAGGCGCATTGTAGAACGTGTTGTTTTTGTTGTGGTTATCAAAATAATAAATAAATTATAAAGAAATATATATGTATATTTGCATAAATCAAGAATGTTTTTTTTTTTTTTTTAAATATATTTTTTTATGCGTATTAGGCAACTTGCTTAAGCAATTTCATATTTCAATTGTTGTAGTTTCTTTTTAGTTTTTTATTTTTCAATATTCATGTAGGAGCACACAGGGTAGGCGGCTTATGAGCGGTCTTCATCATTCGTTTTACCATCGGTTGTTGGGTGGGAAAAGAAAGCGCAAAAGTTTTGTGCTTGAATTTTCACAAACGACATTTCCAATTTCGTGACATTTCTCATTTTTTATATTTAGAAATTATAATTGCATTTTAAAGAGATTTTAATTGCTTTAAATTTGAAAACGTACCGAACCAAACCAGCCCTTGACCCGTTGTGCCCACCCTTGTCCGCCAGGTGATGAGGCTGTTGATGTATTATTATCATCCTCATTCTCACAATATGCCTAAGAGAGAGCAAAACGCGAGCGCACAATATCCAATATTTGGGTAATAGTAGTAATAGTAGTTGTATGTATATATGTGGCATATATATATATATATTTATATTTATATCAAAAAAGTACAAATGCAATGCACAATATTAAATAAATCAACAAGAGCAACAATTACTACAAAACACTAGACGGGAAATGAAACCAAAGCGCATTCATTATTAAAGAAAAAAAGCATAAAATGGGAGCTGCAAATATGCATAGCATTAAAAGATAACTAATATATTGCTTAGAATGCATATTAGAGATAATGATGAAGCAAACGTTCATGCGATAATGATATATAACAAGTATACGCCCCAATGCTCGGAGTTGTTTGTGTAAAATTCATAAAATTCATGTAAAATTCATTCAATAATAAAACAAAAATAATAAATAATTGTGAATATTTTATAGCAATAGCTTTTCTAGAAATGCAAATAATTGAAACTCAGATTTTGTTCTGCTTATAATCCCTTATATTTGCCTATCTTGATAATAAAAATATGTGTTTTAGCTGAGGTTTCATTCCCTGTCTAAGTTAACTAACGGAAGACTAGCTGAACAGCAAATAAAGACAGAGAGAGAGAGAGAGAGTTAGCAGTGAAATAAGAGAAACCGATTGTATTGATGAGAAGTGGGTGGAGTGGAGTGGTTAGAAGTGAAACACTTGAAAGGGTTAGAAAACTGCGAAAACAGAGCAGCGCCTAGGCAACAACAGATGCTGATGATGATGATGATATTGGTGATCAACATGATGAGTGAATGAGAGATTTGAGACTTACCTCCGGTTGGGCATCCATTTGTTCGCCACCAGCATTGGGTGCCGCTTGCTCGCCGGCAGTCTTCTCCTCGGCAGCAGCCTGCTCCCCAGCAGCGGCAGCCTCTTCCTGCTCCTTACGATCGATAAGTGTAGCCGATGAAATCAATACGATGCCATTCTGATTGATGCGCACTTTCAGTTTAACGTCCTGGCTCTCGCCACGGTCCGTCGGCTTCACGTCCTTGATTTTCCAGACGCCAATGGTTTGATCCGGATACGGCACCTGCTGACCATACACAATGGACGCATTGAAGGGTCCTTTGCGAGCAATTGTCACCAAGCGGCTGAACGGTGACGGATGGAATTGCGGAAAGATCTCAACCTCACCATTCGAGGAGGCGCCATCGCCATCCCAGAGAACTTTGACGGCATAGTTTTGTATATCGGTCACTCCAAATTCACGGACACGCACAGCCGGCGACATAATGGCGCACTGAAGAGCTGCGCCGCGAGATACAGCCTCATCCTGGTTGAGTGTGGTGCTAGCCGGCTTATTGAAGACCTACAATCAAAACAAACAAATTAGTGATTGGTGATTAGCTTTGAGTTTGAGCAAATCAATCAAAAAGTGATTGCAACTGACCTGCTCAATGAGCTGCTTGATGGATGGTATGCGAGTGCTGCCGCCAACAATTTCCACCGAATGTATTTCGTCCAATGACAGCTTGGACTCTTGCAGCAGCCTCTTAAAGGTTTGCTCCACTCGTTGAAAGATTGGAGCGCAGAGCTCCTCCATTTGGGCACGTTGCATTGAGGAGCTGACATCGACATCATCCAAGAAGCATTCAATGTTTAGTGGCAGCATGGTGCTGTTGGCAGACATCTGCTTCTTTAGCTTCTCGATTTCGGTCAGCAGACGTAAATTGGCGCGTGCATTGGTCTTGGCATTAATCTTATAGCGTTCGAGAAACTCCTTGGTGAAGTATTCGGCCAGCGCCAGATCTATGTCCCGTCCACCGATCTGATCCCAGCTGCTGGCCAGCATCTTTAGCTTGCCCTGGGTGAACACACAGGCGCTGACCTGCAGCGACGAGTGGCCTAAATCAACAAAGATCACATTGCGAGGCTTATCCTCCAACAGATCGTTCTTGTAGAAGCCATAGGACAGCGCCGTCGCCGTTGTCTCATTCATCAGGCGCAGCACATTGAGTCCGGCGATTTGTGCGGCATCCAGCAAGGCGCGACGCTCCGCATTCGTAAAGAAGACAGGACAGGTGATGACACAGTCATTCACCTGCGTTTGCATAGCGGCCGCCGAGGACTCCTTCAGTTTGGTGAAGAGCATGGCCGTCAGTTGTTCCGGCGAGAAATGCTGATCCTCGTGCAAATAGTTGACTTTGATGCCAATACTGCCATCATTGCGCGCCTCCACGCGCGCTGGAATGCTCTTGAGTTCGTGTTGTACATGTGGATCATTGAATTTGCGGCCAAGTAAACGCTTGAAGCCGCCGACTGTGTTTTTCATGTTGGTCACCTGTTGGTTCTTAGCGGCAACGCCAATGATGCGCTTCTTCCCATCAAAGGCCACAAACGAGCTGTGTGCGAGAATGAATTCAAAATAAATTACATAATTTATAAATGCATTCTTTGTCACGCTTAACGATTTTAAGAAATATAAGTGCAAAAATAAAAAGCGTCAAATATGGTAAAAAAAAAAACTGCCACAACAAACAGAACCAAACTGGCATACATCTGTGTGTGTGTGTGTGCATGTATACATCATGTATATGTATGCACACAAGGTCGTATATGTATATAACAATACGTGTGCATTTGTGTGTATTTTCCAGCGTGTTTAGCCGGCTTTGACTTAATTTTTGACCAATGCTTTTGCTCTCTCTCTCTTTCTCGCACTCTCTTTTATTCCCCACTCGGTTCGCCGCAACAGCTGCTGCTTGCTTTGCGCTCTCTTCTTCATTGATGCTACACCGAATGACCGCATGACGCATGCGATGACATGCGAACGTGTGCGTGCCTACAGTGTTTGTGTGTGTGTGTTGTGTGCACACTGTCCAAATTCAAAGAGAATATAAAAAGATAATACAAAAAAAAAAAACATATTGGCAAAAGTGGAAATTGCGCCCACGCCGTCTACATTTATAAATCAAAAATCCAAGTCAAAAATTGGAAATGGAACATGCAAGATTTCAAAGTTGATTCTCATTAATTTGCAATGCTTTTTATGGAGCACACAATCAACAACCAAATTTAGGCCTCAGCGCACAATTGCATATACATACGTATACATACATACATATAGAATTATGCATACATATGAACATATGCACATTACATGTTGTATGTACTTATGTGAAAATCGTTTTTTTCTTTATAAGCGTTACCAGTGACAACTATAAAAAAATACTGGAAATTTCTAGGCGCGCATACACACACACACCTAATACATATACACACGCCTATGGGAGTACGCATACACACACAAACAACTGGGCATGACTTACATTTGCACATAACCTCAAACACTGAGAGAGAGAGAGGCAACGATTATGTACAACGAATTCGATTAAAAAAATAGTTTGTTAATTGAATGCCAATATATAACACATATAGAGAGCGAATAATCATAATCATGTGTCAATTTAATACTTACGGGGTTGCACGCAGACTGTAGTCATTGGCAAGAGTCTCGATGCCGCCGGATCTGGCCGCCGCCACATAGCAGCCCTCGTTACCGAAATCGATGCCAATCACAGACATATTCCCTTCTTCTCTTCGTTTGATTGATTTAGTTTAACTAATTATTTGGTTAGACGACGACGACGTTGTTGCCTAGTATCTGCTGATTTGATTTGCTTTGCTTTTTTCAATGGGCGGCTTCTCTGTGTGGCTATTTTGCTTTTCTGTTTTTCAGCAACTGTAAGATAAAATATGTAAAATTAGTATTAAAGTCAGCAATTGAGATACACACACAACACAGAGGCATGAAATTTATTTCAAATGGTATTTGATTTGAGAGTAGCCTTCGATTTGGGGCATTTTCACATTGATAATTATGGATTTGTTGGTGGGCTGTGGGACCCAAATCGACGACCACAGAATTTGCAACGATTTTTCATTGATAACAATTCGGATTATGCATATTATGTGTCTGACGAGTTACGCACAGTTTTTGCCAATTTGTTATATGTGTAAACGCTTTATGATTATTTTAAGAATTTACAAACGCAGTTCAATTTTTCTACCGCGACCGACACGTTTTTTCAGCGTAATGAAATTGAGGCAGCGACGACGTCGACGTCGACCGAGAATAGTGGCGAAGCTTCTCGAAACAGAAATATCGCCATATCGATGAATCGATAGTACAAAAGTATCACCCGATATCGTTTTAAATGCTTATTCGCGCCGATAAGCATTACGTCGAAATGGAATATTTGAAAGTAGGTTTTTGGTTGAAATTCTACAATTTAAAATGCGATTAAGTGAATATATAACATGTACTTTTGCATTCAACAGGAATTTTATTATACATGTATAAATGCATTGCTTTTTTAGCTTAGAACCAAGTGCGCAAAACAAATTGTTAGTAGGAATGGTTGACATCGATACAATACCGAAATAATTAATGACTAATACATTAAACTTAGACTAGGCTGCATATATATGCATCTCAGGAATAATTTTGAACACAGTAAATAATTATGAGTAAGTTGTCATACATAAATATCAGAGATTCGATATGCATAGAACAACGAAACCGAATTTTGAATATGTTTGATTTCGATTCCATAAAGTAATTTCTCCGCAAACTCTTCTAGATATGTACTAAGGCCATCAGCCAACTCGATCGTTGTTCGTTGTTCCGCAAAAGGATTCGCCGGCCGGTCCGTAATCGATGTAGTTGTGAAGGTAACGCGTTTCTAAGGTCACTAAGGTGCTGAGTATATTTGTCTCTGTCTATAAACAGTATTCAACAGGGAATGTTTCTTGAAAGTGGGTGGTGGTTGTCGAGGATTCAATTTAAGGGTTTTACTATTCGAGTCTTTTGCATTTCGTTCACGTTTCGTAAATACTAAGCAGTCTTCACCTGTCCCAAACATGCTCGTTGGCATCGATCGATATTGCTTGAAGTTCGAATATGAATCAGAGTTGGGCCACCAGTCCCGAGGCGGATATATTATCGCCAGCGCCCGCCGTCTTTTTGGCCACCCGACAAACCAGCACGGGTGCCACGCAAATCTCCACCTCGATCCGTTGAAGATCCTTGCCAAATTGTATATACTCTTTCCAGCAGGGCACTGGATTGGCAGCATTCATTCGCATACGTGGCGCCTGCTCTTGAGCGGATGTGGCAAAGCTGTCATCCAAGACCAACAGGACAGCCTCCGGATTAATCTGTAATTGGGGAGTTGAGTGAATGGGCAAAGCAAAACTAATCAAATAGGCACCACTCACAAACTGCGATTTGCAGACATAACGATGAGCCGTCAACGCCGCCTTGGCTGCCGCAGCACGTGTATTCTTCCACTTGGAGTCGGCTATGGTGAGAATGGCCTGGTAGGCCAGCGTATGTACATGTATTCTGGAGATCTTGCGTCGATGCGTGTCTGCCTGCTTATGTGCATGATAATCCTCCATCAGATTGATAAACACCTGTCGCATTTGGTCCAGCGTATGGGCTATGCGTGGATTCCAGTCGGTGGCCATTGTGGTGCGTCCATGCTGCAGCACTTGGCGCAGATTGGACAGCTCCTGTTCGTTCATGCCCAGAGAGTCTACATAGGGCAGGACAAACTGACGCAGCTGTTGTAGCAGCTGCAACTCCACATAGCTGGCAAACTCGAAGTGATGTAGTGTATCGCTTGGCTGGCTAGTTAGCTGCATCTGCACTTGACGCAGGCGCGCCTCACGTACGCCTGGCGTAAACTTGAACATGTCCATCATTTGCAGACCGCTGACCACCAGCAATTGTGGTTGGTATTGCTTCAGTGCGTCCGTCAGTTGCTCCACAGACCTCAGATGCGGATTATTCTTATCGTTGTGCAGTATATATCGATTGGCACGCGGCGCTTCATATGGACCCCATCTGTCGCCAGCCTTATATTCGAGTATCAGGTGTATGTCATCCTCGACAATCTCATCGCCCGCCAGGCGTATCTCCTTGGGCAGCAATGGACGCATTCTATAAATAAATTATTAGTTATTCATAATCAATTATTGATTAGAACTGGTATATACTTTTTTGACATGTGTGCGCCGAGCAGCACATCCGCTCCCTCCATGACAAAGCGCACAGCCATTAATGGGGCATTGCCCCCCATATACCAATGGATGCGCTCCTTGTCCATTATCTTGGCATTCGCAATCAACTGCTTGAACAGCGTGCCATTTGCGATAACACGTCTAAAATAAAGATTATGAATGTATAAATGTGGATTATCTTCTGGTGGATGCACTTACTCAGCTGCGGCGCCGTTCTTGAAGTAATAGGCAAATGATTGCAGCAGCTCGTTCTCGTTATTCACATCGTTCGATGCAAAATCGGAGCTCATCTTTGGCTCACGCAATTTGTAGTAGGTGTCCAGAAACTCTGTCGCATTGATCTGGAGATCTGTGCAGGCGCCATAGCCAACAGCCACTTTGGGTGCACGAGCCGTGGCGGAACGTTTGAGGCCACCCTCGATGGCAAGCAGACCGGTTAGAAGGACGGTCGTCTTGTTAAGGGCCTGCAGCGACAGAAATGCCTGCCAGATAATCGATATGAAGGCCGTGAACACCGAACAGCTGGTTATCCAGCCCATGTACTTCAGAGCACCCATCTTGGGTTTTTTTTCTTAATAACTGGTCAATAAATTTGTAAATGTTATCGTTGATGCTGATGCCGGCTTCAGCGTTGGGTTATACTGTTGGTGCTTTTGTTCTCCGTTCCACTTTGTAACTGCGTCGTTGCTGATGATGTGGCTGCTGCAGCAGGTTCCTGTGCCGCTGCGGCACTTATCAAATCGAATTTTGTGTGTGTATTGTTATTACTATGGTTTTTATTAAAAGATAACACAACTCCCATTTGTCGAAATCGCGAGAGAATCACGAATTAAAAATCGATGTATCGATGTTTCGATAAGAAATATCAAATTCAAAAATAACAGCGATATTCCTCCATTTATATTAACTAATAACAATATACATATATATTGACAGCTTAAGCAGTAACTGAATTATTGATCTGTCTTTAATTCTGAGTTAAAGAAAAGATTTTCAACACGCTTTTCGTTTACTCAAATATTGCCTTATCGATAGTTGAGCTTATGCTTAATGTTTGCTAAATGCTATGTGCAAAAAATTATTCAAATTGTGAATGCTTTAAAGTTGTCTACTTATCTTTAATATGCTAGAAGCTTGAGCTATATAATAGACAGCACAATTAAACAATAACAAATCTCACCAGCTAATAAATTTAGGCACGACAACAACAGCTCCGAACCTGCAAGTAGAATATTGCTAAAAAAACCAGTACTTAAGCTGATGAAGATTCTGAAACTTTGATTAAGAATTTGCTTTTATGTAATTTCGAGTAATTGTTAATTTACTTCATTTAAGATAGTTGGAGCTTGCATAGCAAGTATATAAATTGTCCTTAATGGAATTGTAGTGTTGAAGAGATAATAATAGGTCTTTGGGTTTCTCCTTTTTATGCATTAGCATAAATCACTCCTCACTAAAGGTTTTAAATTATTTAAGAGTACTTATCGTACGTCATCAGTTTAGTTACGATTCAGTTCACTTACAAGTCGGGTTGCAAAACAAGAAGCTATCTCAAAATGTTTTGCTGTCGTTTTAAACGATTCCTTCTTGTTTCTGGTGTTGTTCATTTAAAACAAGTTGTTGCTTCTTCGCTGTTTCGCTTTAATTGCTTCATGCCGTTATTTTTATTTTTGTTGTTGTATTATTATTTTATATTTAGACAAGGTTATCCAATTTGAGCACTGGATTGCTTGTAGAGGAAGTGAAGTGGAAGCGTATATCATGTCGAGGGTACCTAACAATGATATTATGTACATACTTATGTGCAAAATCTTCAAGTGCTGGTTAGAGTATTCAAGATTGGCATATGATTAGCATAGGTTTTTCAAAATCACAGCCGTTACTTTATGAATGTGTTTATGTGTTCTTTGATAATTGACACTCCAGTTGAAAGTTTTATAGTCCAAATGTATGTGCAGTAAGTTAACTTTTAAGTTTAACACCCCCAGTGATTAAATCAGCAGCAGTCAATTAATGACCGTAAATTATCTACGTTTCTGACTCCCGCAAAATATCTGTCTATATATTTATCACGTACAACGCGTGTGTACAGGTTTTATGAGCTAAATTTATCCCCAGACCGGCGTTAACCTGCCACTCTTTTTTTTTAAATTGAACCGAGGTGGATCCTCCCAATCAGCCGATGAGTTGTAGGTCTCGTTCCATTTTGCCCAAAGCGGCGACTTAAATCGCGCCTCTTTTCGCATCTTTCAGTCTGGTCATGCCTTGAAAACGGCTTTTCAGCAATTGTCTGTTTTTGGAACAGCGCAGCGTAAAGCACGTCTGACAAGTGGAACGCCGTTGCTCTTGGCTCCAAACTATTTTTAACAGCTCAACGAAAGTGAATTTCTGATTTTACGCTACTCAGACGACGCTCGTGCACGCTTATGTATGCTTGTGTGAGTTTGTGTGTGTGCGAGTGTGTGTGTGAATCGCAGATAGCCAATTTTGATGTGATACACCACGTGCTCAAATGGCGAATGGGGTATATTCGATTTGGAGGCGCGGCATGCATGGATTAAATAAGCAAAAGTTGCGATTAATTTTACGAATGCTTTACGAACTCTTTTTGAAAATTACAGAATTTTTTATCATAAATTACAAATTTGTGCAGCACATCAATGATATTTTGAATAATTAAACTTTCTTTGTATTTTATATAAATTTATTTTATTAAATTCTTAAAATCTTGTGGCTTACCATATATACTTCTAACCCAACACTACTTTGATTTATTCAACATTTACGTTTTTATATATCTACGTTCTTAAGAAGTTTACAGGATATGTTAAAGACGAGCACGCTGCGCCGCACAATTTCGCACTTGGCTTGTATTGTATTTTGTTCTTTTTACGTGTTTCGTATACTCGTACGATATTTTTTTTAGTTGTTGTCCATTTTATTCTATGCGTACTACGCTGTCCGGGGGCTGTCCATATAAAATCAACATAATCGGAAATTCTAGCGAGCAGTTGATTCTATGCGATCGACGAAGGCGGACGCGCTGCCTTCTGGGGTTGACAATATATATAAAATATATACACATACGATAAATTATTGAATATTTGTGCGCGTTTTTATTTAAGTAATTGTGCAGTTTTTATTGTTTAAATTGCAAGATTTACCGGTTAGAAATTAAAAAGTTATCTGCAGCTATTGCTTGATTAATCATTCATCATTATTCATTAAACTATATTCAAAGTGTTCTATTAACAACGGATATCAAAAGGTAATCCAGTTTCGCCATCAAAGCTAATTAAGTTCAATCAAATCGTGCGGTTCCGATTGCCTCTGCTTTTGATTTGACACGTTCGTTTCCTAAGTCTTTCGCTTGAAGACTGTGCTTTATGCGAGAAGGAAACAAAAATCAATTTGATTCTTGATGACAACTGGACTTAGCACGCTTATTCAGTTCACCATTTGGATACTTCCGCCAAACATAAAGTTTGCAGACATTTACCATATTATCACATCGGAACAGTTAAAGAGGCTTCTTGTGATATTAAATATAGTGTTTGCATATTTAGCTTGTGACAGAATTATGTGTTTTTCGAAGAGTGTTTTAAAAGTGTAATTGAACTGCGTGTGTTGCCATTAATTAGTCAATTCAGAATATGTTCTAACATATATTTGTTCCATTTCAATGTCAACTCTTAATTATGTTTTATGTGTTTATATATCAATATCCCAACGGCAAACTATTTGGAAAACGAAAATATCTATCTCAAAATCAGTTTGCTGTTGCCAGTTGCTAAAATTATTTATCATTTATGCTGAATGTTTATGTTTTTTTTCCTCTAACAAATGAAATTTGCATAAATTTGTCAGATTCGCTTATGCTAAATAAATTGGCCAAGCCGAAGCTCACTGGGCAGAAAACAAATCAAAGCAAGCGATCGCAAAAGGTGAATAAACTAACCAAGCGTCGTAACGAAACATCTTTGAAGAACTGGTTCAGTGTCGAGGACGTCACCAACATCGAACAAAAACAAAACAAAACAAAAAAAAAACGTTGAATGATGCGATCTCAGACATAGATCTTAACATATTTATTTCTTTTGTTTTAGTTGTAAGACAAGATGGGTGAGACATCATTAAGGCAAGTGTCATTTTTACTTCTGCTTCTGATGTTGCTGATGGGGCTGATGATTGGACCTGTGACGTCACAGCGCACGTCATTGGATGAGGCATTAAGGAATGTGTATCGGCCGCTGCGTCTACTGGGCCTGGCCTTCACCGGTCGCTCCGGCGATGATGAGGCAAACGTGCAACGCGTACGCAATGCAGGCGTAGGTCTCAACCAGCTGCACAATTAACAATCGCCTTCCATATTAAACTCTCAAGATATTCTTTTCCATAGAAAACACAAAAATCGAATCCACGTACGCGTGCCTTGCTGGAATTCTGTGATGCGGAAAATGGACCCGGACGACGCAGCGACGAGCGTCCGACGAGTGTGCATCGCTTGCGACCGGGTGACATTGATATCATTGGTGCCATGGGTGATTCACTGACTGCGGGCAATGGTGTGTTTGCTACCAATCTCGGCCATGTCACCGTTGAGAATCGTGGCGTCGTCTGGTCGATTGGGGGACAGGACAATTGGCGAAAGTATCTAACACTGCCCAACATACTCAAAGAGTTCAATCCAAATCTATATGGTTATTCGCTCAAGGATGGCCTGTCCACAGAGCGCTCCTCACGCTTCAACGTTGCCGAACTGGCCGCCATGTCCCGGGATATGCCGTATATGGCCAAGGTGCTGGTGAAGCGCATGCAGCGTGATCCCAATGTGAATATGACGCACGACTGGAAGCTGATCACAATGTTCATTGGTAACAATGATTTCTGCACCGATATCTGCTACTATCCACAGCCAGAGTTGACTGTCACGTGGCACAAGCAGAACATGCTAAAGACCTATCGTTATCTCAGGGATAATGTGCCTCGTCTGCTACTCAATGTGGTGCCAGCACCCAATCTTCGTTTCCTAACCAAACTCTCTGGTTTGCCGTCAATTTGCCAGAGAACCCTGAGCTTTGAGTGTCCCTGCTTGATAGGCAAGGCTAAGCAGCATTTGGATTACTACGAGCCAATCATGAAACGTTGGATAGCCCAGGACTATGAGATTGTCAACAGAACAGAGTTCAATACAGAGGTGTGGACTCAAAAGGATATTCTAATCGAATCCGATTGATAAGCTTGCTCTTCTTTCAGACCTTTACGATCAATGTGCAGCCGTTTTCACAGTTCGATGACTTTCCGCGCACGCGTTCCGGCAAAACGGATACGAGATTCTTCTCGGAGGATTGCTTCCATCTCAGTCAGCGTGGACACGCGTCGGCAGCGAATGCCATTTGGAACAATATGCTGGAGATGCCGGACAAGAAGAGCGGCTTCAACAGTCACCTATTTGAGAAGTTCAACTGCCCCACCGAGGAGCGTCCGTTCTTCTTGACCAGAGAGAATATACGCGACGATTTTGTCATCTAGTCGAAGATAAAAAAAAGCAAAGCCAACTACCTTCTATCCATCCATCCGAACACCCTGTGATATGTATACGTGTGCCTTCTAAGTCTCGCCCCTATGTTTATAGTATTCATTTACGCTTTGATAAAAATATACGCTTCGGAATTAGAAATATTTCACGACTCAATATCTAATCAGCCAGTCAAACAAAGCCCGCAAAATTGATGGGACCCCAGAGAATCGCGTGTTGATTTTACTTGGTTATTTTACTTGCCGGCGCATTTCCATATCGATTGTCTTAAATGGAATGCGCGTGTCTAACACACAATTGGAGTCGCCTCTAGTTACATTTGCCACATAATAATTAGCCAATAGGTTTACACACTTTATCAAATTATTTGACATAAATAAATATATATAAATTTGTGTATTCCCTTTGGTCTGCTTTGAATTGTAATTTATAGTAAGAGAAATATTTCATAAGAATTCACTTGGTAAAATATGCAAATAAAAAAATGACTAAACGTTTAAAAATAAATGCCTCAATTTAAAACCTTTTCACACAAAACGAGAAATGGAATGAATAAATTAAACATTAAGTAACTTTCCTTAACTTTAAGACATTTTTAATATTCTCCATTTAGCAGACAATCAACAGAATAAATATTTAAGCAGAGTCACAGCCATATTTTGTTACGGGTCTCCTGGTTAACCTTTGTATATATGTAGTAAAAATGGCGTGTGAATATCTTTTTACCCACTTGTGTGTTAATAAAACTTGTTACAAATGTTCACGTAAACAGCATCAACAATAAGTCAGCTCATAATCTTAGCTAATTTGAATACGGAGACGTTGTCGACACATAAATATGAATTTCGTGCGATTTGTATTCAAAACGTGTTTAAGTGACTAATTGGTTTTTGAGCTCCCCCTTTCAGCGCCTCTAAACGGTCTCGCACGCAAGTGCCAAGAGGTAAATGAAATAATAACATCAATTACGAACGGTTTTCAGAGCTGATTGCACACATTATAAAACGCTTGATCGGCCTCCCCAGAAATATATGTATATATATGTGTACATATATAAGCCTAGCCATGTAAGTCGGTCAGTGTTAAGGTTAAACTTACGTTTACGCTTGACTTTGAACTTGACTGCAACTGAAACTGAAACTGAAACTGAAAGATTGTCTGACCGAGTATCAGCATCATATTGTTAACTGTTTTATGACACATCTTATTGGCCTGGTTGCACTGCGAATATAATTTCCATTATGTCAGGCTTTAATTATTTTGTATTTTTATGCACAGCCAGCGAGGTTTTAAGTTCTTGACTATTTATGTCAATATCAAAGTCGCAACTCGGTTCTTATAGATGATCGATGAAATCAAATATTTATCTTGTAATAACACATTTTGTTGGTGATTTTGGATTTTTAGCTCTCGTATAAAAACTTGTAAAGCGGGTTCTAGCTTTGAATTGCCCATATTAATTAAGATTCAGCTCCATTGATTTAATTCATGTAATTTCATGACAAGTCGGGAATTTCCTATTGTAAAAATTATAAACAAAAATAATGTGATTTTTAAACGTTAAATCTAACTCTTAAAATAGTCGCCATTTTAAAAAGTCAATTATTAGGTTTTATTTTCTGTAATATTTGTGGAATAATATTCGCCATAGTCAACATACATCATAAATATAATATTTTCTTGCTTAAGTTTCAAAAATGAAATGTAAAAAGATAAAATGTCGTCGTGCTAGCGCCATCTAGTGATAGCGAGTTTAACTAAGGCAATGCTGTCAGTGTGTACCTATGTAAAATTTTTGTGTACAGTTCAGCAACCGTCCGACAGATGGAGCCAAGCGATGGTTTGGGTTTTGTTAAAAGCAAAAACTGAAGCAAATAAATTGTATAAAATGTTAAAGTAAAGGTAAATAAAATGTAAATTTTATTAAAACAGTTAACTGTGCAATAATAGGTTTAATATTAAAGGGAGCCTGTTAAGTTGTTAAGCTTTGACGACTGTTTAATTTATTATCTCCAAGAACTTTAATGGAAACTATCTTGGAATGGTAAACATTTTATTGACATGGTTTTTTAGAAGTTAAAACTACTGTAAATTTGATAAATATATTAGATTAACGTTTTAAATTTGCAGTAGATTTAACTTATTATTATGATTAATTAAGTAAATTTACTCTACTCCAGAGCCAGGTGTTCTTTGTTATGAACTCTGACACTTTTGATAATAACATTTATAGCTCTTCTCAACATTTTTAATGTAAAGGTCTTTGGCGGTAACATTGAAAATCGAATTTCGCCAAGAGTTTCATGTTTTTCTCGCCTATTCAGCACGAAAGTGAAAAGCAATCAACAAAACAGACGAAATGCATAATAATAATAATAATTGTGCTTGCCAAGCAATCGCTGCAAATGTTATAAATTCTTGAGTACAAAGGCAAGAGCTGAGCATTTCCACAAAAAGCGTTGACACACAATCATGGCAGACAGCAAGCAAATTCAGATTCAGATTCAGGCAGTCGCAATTGTTGGATTGTTGGGTAAGTCTCAGTTGTGTAATCCATACAAGGTAATAATGAGTTTGCAATTTTTGCAGTTGTGCATTTTTGTTGTGCGTTGCCTTATGGATCGCATGACAATGACATTGATGGCAACTATCAGGGCCCGGCGGGGGGCGGGGCAAGTGGGCGACCCGTGGACTATCATACGGTTGTGGGCCATTTTAAGGACTTCTTCATGTATCTGCCGGTCATGATGACCACGCTGAAGGAAACCATGTCCGGATTCCCGAAATTTGCCGAAGGCGTTCGCATCTTAACCTCCGGCAAGGGACGAGTCGATGGCGAGGATTGCAAGTGCAATCTGAATAGCCTGGCAAGTGGATCGAGCAGCGAGGTGCTGGAGAGCAGCAGACGTTATGATTGAAGAATCTGAAGATTTCTAGAACTGTGTATATTTCATGTAAATACTTATGAATATTTATTAACTAGTGCTAAGTACAATAAATAAAATAAATCAGATATGAATAAGACTAAAAAGGAGAGAGAGAGTCAAAGGAAATGCGTCAAGTTGCAATTAGTAACTTTATCAACACATTTTAAGATTATTGATAAACTATTTTAGTTCATTCGATTTCCAATATTTCAATTCACGATGATTCAATGATATTTCAGCATTGAATTTTGATAAGTACTCAATAAGTATTTCTTAAGGCTTATCAAGAGCTAACAGTGCCGAAGCAGTAAGTCCGTAAAAATTGATTTACAATTAATTAAAATTTGTTTGACAAGTTATTCGCCTAATGACGATTTATTCTGCTCTGTAATAGCCTGTAATTGTGGCTTATTAGGTCATAATATTGGCTATTAGACAATCATATATGGCGTAAACTTGACCCACAGGATACCCGTACATGGTGTCCTTGAGCCTGGGCATATTGGACAATCTTAGACAATCAGTTACACGAGTGGACTTGAACTATATTTGTGTTTTCTTAAGTAGTCAATAGTCGCCAGTCGCGACGTTTCATTAGCCCGGTTTTTGTGTATTGTATACCCAGCAGAATAGTCCGGCCACAAAAATATGGTAAGTAATCAGGGCTTACAATCTGCATTGGACTTGGGGATGAGGAGTGGGTGGCAACTGGGTTTTGGGCGCTTGTGTCCTGTCATGTTTGCACTTGTCATTATTGTTAATTGTGTTTGCAGTGAGTCAAGCATACGTGTGCCATATTTACATATTCATATAAATATCTACCCTCAATGCCGTTCATGGGTTGGAAATTGTGGTTTTAGTAACGCTCGGAGCTCTGTGAATAACGGTTCGGTTGTGAAGTCGAGAGACAGTCAAATAGAAAACAAATAGTCAACTGTACTTTGGAAACCAGTATGCGAAAGCGCAAGAAGCCACAAGTTGCCACAAGTTACTAGTCGAGCAGCTAAAATGGCCACTGGCATTGAGCTGCTTGTGGCTGCTGCACTCTGCTTAGCCTGTCCCCCCATGAACGATACCCTGCCCGAGGGTCTAATACTGTTGAATGAGGATGGCAGTGCGATCACCGAAATGCCAATTGATGTGGAGGTCGCAAATGCTGGCTTGGATGCGGATGCACCCGTTGAGACGCTGGAGACTTTGCGCAACAAGCGGGAAAAACTGCGCAATATGAAGGAATGGATGAATGGCCAACATCTGCGCATTGCCACCCTAGAGGATTACCCATTGAGCTACACGGAAATACTGGAGAACGGCACTCGTATCGGACGTGGAGTCTCATTTCAGGTCATTGACTTTCTGCAGGAGAAATTCAATTTCACCTACGAGGTGGTTGTGCCGCAGGATAACATTATCGGTTCCACAATGGATTTGGATCGCAGTCTCATTGAAATGGTTAACAATAGTGTGAGTGGACTTTATGAAAGTTCTTTCAAAATTTCAAAAATGTATAGTGTATAATTAACTATAAATTAAATTTATTCCAGTGTAGTTTTTGTACAAATGTGGAATGCTATGTTAAAGAAATGATGTTTCCATATTTGTGAAATATCTATAATCTGAAAATGTCTGAGTTTATAGTAGTTCTCAAATTATCATTTATTAAATAATATTTTATTATGCAATAGCAAGTGGATTTGGCTGCGGCATTTATACCCTTGCTCTCGGAGCAGCGCACCTTTGTCTTCTACTCGTCGACAATTCTGGATGAGGGTGAATGGATAATGGTTATGCGACGTCCACGCGAATCTGCTGGTGGCTCAGGCTTACTGGCACCATTTGAGTTTTGGGTGTGGATACTCATCTTCGTTTCACTGCTGGCCGTCGGACCAATCATCTATATGCTGATCATTATACGCAATCGGTTGACGGGCGATGCAGTCCAGCAACCCTATTCGCTGGGCCACTGCGCCTGGTTCGTCTACGGTGCACTCATGAAGCAGGGCAGCACCCTCTCCCCCATCGCAGGTGAACTTCATATATCAATTAACCCTAATGCACCGATAAGCATCGGCAATTTAACCTGCACAGGTCGAGTTCAGCTCGATTCTCGGTTCGGAGCACATGCAATCGCCGTGTTTGTCATTTCATTTAAAGAATGTATGCTAAATGTGTGCAAATATATACTAAATTCAATTGCAGACTCGACACGCTTGCTCTTTGCGACCTGGTGGATTTTTATCACAATTTTAACATCGTTTTATACCGCAAATTTAACCGCATTTCTAACCCTCTCAAAGTTCACCTTGCCCTACAATACGGTCAACGATATTCTCACCAAAAACAAACATTTTGTTTCCATGCGAGGCGGTGGCGTCGAATATGCCATGCGAACGGTAAGTTACCAATTACAGGGGGACCAATAGATATTTGGTGAGTCTCAAAACCAAATCGATTTTAGAAAGTAAAATATTTTTGATCATGGTTTGCAGAACTGCAGATTAAAGTTGCACATAAATATACCAAATTATTTTGCTCTTCCCCACTCGCAGGCCAACGAATCGCTGTCTATGCTCAATCGTATGATTCAAAACAATTATGCTGTATTCACGGAAGCCTCGAATGATACTTATAATCTGCAGAACTATGTGGAACGGAATGGTTATGTGTTCGTTCGAGATCGGCCGGCGATTAGTATTATGTTGTACAGGGATTACTTGTTCCGCAAGTCAGTCAGCGCCGACGATGAGAAGATACACTGTCCCTTTGCGATGGCCAAGGAACCGTTTCTAAGAAAGAAGAGAACTTTCGCCTATCCCATTGGCTCCAATCTCAGCGAGCTCTTCGATCCAGAGTAAGCCGCTTAACTTGCTTACATTGAATGTAATAAGTATTTTCCGGTTTCAATTGACAGACTACTCAATTTGGTTGAGTCGGGCATTATCAAGCATTTGTCAGCGAGGGAATTGCCGAGCGCTGAGATTTGTCCACAGGATCTGGGCAGCACTGAGAGGCAGCTGCGCAACGGTGACCTAATGATGACCTACTACATAATGCTGACAGGCTTTGCCACCGCCTTGGCTGTGTTCACCACAGAGGTGCTGTTCCGCTACATAAACGGACGACGCGAGGCCAACAAGTGGGCCCGCCATGGAATCGGACGCACACCCAATGGCCAGTCGGTGAAGCCATCGCGTTGGCTGCGCGGCTTGCGACACCTCCAAAGTGGTGGGGACAAACAGCTGCTAGGTAAATCCACACATGGCGAGAATGTAACGCCGCCGCCACCATATCAGAGCATCTTCAATTATCATGCCGGAGGGGAGCAGCAGCAGCTGCGCTATGGCAAACGACATGGCTTAGTCCTCGGTGGCAATGGGCAACAAGGAACTGGAGTGCGACGCCTGATCAACGGTCGAGACTACATTGTCTTTCGCAATTCGAATGGCCAAAGCCAATTGGTGCCCACCAGATCACCCTCGGCTGCCTTGTTTCAGTACACTTATACGGAATAGGCAACATTTTTGATATTCTATTAATTCTATATTTTATATATTATATTATATATATTCTATATACACAATTTAATGCACATTTTCTCACATACTCAATGTAGAATAATGGACGTAGACAATGATCTGGTGAAGTTAAACAACATACTCACGGAATTAAAATACATATATATATATATATATGTACCACATACGAGGTGTGCTCAAAAAGTATTGGTCCAACATTAACTTTGAGGCTTATAGCTTAACTAATTCAAATCTTTTAACTCTTTAAGCACGCCTCGTATAATTTAAAAATTAAAACAATTGTTAAAACTTTGATGATTTTATGGTAAAAAAATATTGAAATTTAAAGAAAATATCAGAGCTCAAATTGTTGTTAAAATATGAAAAGTCAAACATGAAAAGTGATACGAAAAGGAAAGAAAGATCGTCCTGGCATATTGTATTGCTATATACTGATATAATGATATATCAAGCTAAATCATCAAAGTTTCTTTGAATTTTATTAATAGGTGATCAAAGTATAAATTGAACATTATTATTAGATTAATCACAATAAAATTGTAACTGTGTTGTGAGCAATACTCATTTCCGTTGAGTTTTAATCCCGTACGTTGAAGGCGTAGGATGAAGAGTGCAAATCCAAACTGCTGTGTGAGGAGCAGGAGCTAATCGAAGGCGCTCGCGTTGAACCTGCCGAGGAGCTGGCGGATGAGCCGCTTGACGAGCTGACCCAGGCATGTCCACTGCGTCGTCGTCGCTGGCGCACCAGACCCAAAACTGAGCCAGCCACTGGGGTTGAGGGTATGGATGTGGGAGTGGAGCCCTGACGTGAATCCAGTGAGACCAAAGCAGATGCAGGGCGCGGAATATTGATGCCACTATTGCTGTTGTTGTTATTGTGTGGTGCTGTTGCTGGTCGTGGAGCAGCTGACTCGGACTCATCACTGGACTGGGAACTGTGTGAGTCCATCTGTTGCACCTCGCCGCTAGCCTCATCAATTGGCTGACCATCCAGTATTTGGAGAGTTGCCACACTGCGACGCAGCATATCGCGATATAGGGGCAAACGGCAGACGGGATTACCGTCGAGTTCCACTTGAACCAGCTGCGGGCACAGGCCCAGAAACGAGAGCAATCCCAGCTCACTGATGCGATTGTTGCGCGCCTGCAGCACTTGGAGCTGACTTAGCTCCGTCAGTGGACCCACACGCTGTATCATATTCCCGTCCGCAATGAGCACCCGTATGGCGGGCAGGCCACTGGTGCCATCGAAGCTATTCAATCCACAATTGCTGATGTTCAGATGGGTCAATTGCATCAGGCCATAGCCCAGATCTCGCAGAGAGCTGAGCACACTGCCACTGAGATCCAGCTGCTGCAAGCGTGGCAGAAATAGCGATAGCCTCGACAGGCTCACCGAATATGAAATCACACGCAGACGCACCGTCTCCACCTGCTCTAGATCGGTTCGCTGTGTCACGCGACGCTATATGGTATATATGATGAAGATCAGGTTGGACTTAATGGTCACCAGCAGCACACTTACCAGCAGCTCATCGAGCGTTGGCTCCGGCACCTGAGGCGGCAGCACAACTGGTAGCAGGTGCACAAACGCCGGAAAGTGTTCCGTCTCCTCGGCAATGGGCACATCCCGATCGTAGGAGTTTCTGCGTCCCAGGATGCGACGATTCTGCTGGTTTTGTTGCTGCAACTGTTGTTGCAACAGCTGCTGCTGCTGTTGGTGTTGTCGCACCTCTGCGGGCAGGGGACGTAGTTGTGCCAGGGCAGCAGGGCCTGGCAGTGGTGCGAGGAACAACGGTATCTCTGGCTGCAGTGAGTGCTCCGGCGAGGATTCCGAGTACTCGGCAGGCGCTTCAAGCAATGGCATCTTATACTCACTTCTTTATGTGGTCGATTAAGGCGCAGTTTTATTATTTAAACCACAACCGGTTGTGCCTTGGAGCTGGAGTTGTATTGAATAAACAACTGAGCAGTTGCCCGTGGCAACGGGTTATTGGCAGGATTGCCATCGTGTGCAAAGCCTTTTCTTGCTTAGCTGGGGAAGATTTTAGGAACCCTGTTCGAAGAGTTCCTTTCACACTTAAACTGCAATGCTGGTCAATGTATGAGATATGTTTCCATTTTGAGGTTGAAGTACGAGAAAAATAGTAAACATTTCAAAAAATCAACATGATTTCCATTTGTGGAACTGGAATATATTTTTAATATTCATGTTTATTAGTTATATTAACTTTGTGACTAAACTTTTGTGGTGATTTTCCTTTAATACTCCTAATTTATTATTCTAAATAAAATATGAACGCTTGATTTAATTTAATTTAATTTAATTTACTGTCGTTATTTATTTTGACTTTTTAAATTTTAAATTCCAATTATGACTGGTAATCTGTGAACATAAATAATGTTTCTTAAAACGAAGAGAACGAGAAAATGTATATTTAAGTAATGTACGAGCCTAAGCATAATTTATGAATAATTATGCTGCTCTTGCATAAAACAGTCTCTTTCTGCAGATTTAATGGCACATGATATTTGCCTAATCTGTAATCCTATTGAATAAACAGCTTTTGCGTTTGAGTTTGTTTGGCATTTTGGACGAAGCCTTAGCATTCCGTTAGCTTCTTCTTGGCAACTCATTTTTTTTTCGTATATTATTTTTGTTTGTAGCATATGTGACGCACTGACGTCAAGCCGTGACGTCACGGTCGTGACGTGTCCTCAATGTCGGTAACTGGCCTGCAAGTGCGAGGGAGCGAGGCAGACAGAGTGGGCGATCAAATACGAGACAGAGAGAGACAGAGAGGGGGAGCAGTTCAAGTGCCCAACGCCTTTTGGCATTTCGGGGGCAATTTTATTTTATTTTTTTTAGCTAAGCACGCTGCTTTGGCCGCTGCTTTTGCTTTTGCTTGGCGTGTTGGTGTCTGCTGCAGCCAGACGACGCCTCTGCCTCTGCTAACGCTTTACGATAATGAAATTTGGCTGACGCCTTCAAAATGGCAGCCAGCGCTGGGTAAAAAAAGCTTTTGCCGGCTTTTGTGCTTCAGCTGCGTTGTTGTTTTGGTTTGCGCTGAGCTTTTTTCGATTGACGTCATCAACATGATGTACAGGCTGAAAGCTGCGCAGTAGCTTGCACCAAGCTGAGACATTTCCACGCATTTATCGATTTCGGAGAGAAGATGAACGCAACTAAAGTGTCAGCGAGAGAGACAGAGAGAGAGAGAGAGAGAGAGAGAGAGAGGCTGTGTAGATGTGTGGGTATGCAAAATGTTGCAAAAAACACGACAGCTGCTTTATATTAAAACCTGGGGTTGGGGCAACAACTGACTGCGGTTGCTGCAACTCATCCGATATTTGCAAATATTTAACATCAATTTTAATATATTAAATAAAGGCTTATAAAGCTTTGCTTAGCCATAGAAACATTAGCTAGCATACATAAAAATAGTAATATTGTGCAGCGTTTTGCGAGTTTCTCTCAGTGTAGCCTGAGCGAAAGCAGCTGACAATATTTTTTGGGGCAAGGTGCTGCTTAAAACAAAAATCCCCCACCATTGCCAAAGCTGGCGTCTGCCTAAAAATAGAATTTGTCAATAATGCCAGCACACACACACACAGGATGGAGAGTTGTGGGCGTTAATGCTCAGCACGCACTGCGACTGACGTCATTGTGGAAAGCTTTTGCTCGTTGTGCTCGTTACTACGTTTCAGGAAGCAGGACACAAACAACAACACAAGCAACCACCGAAATGCCAGGCAGGCCAAGCCAGGCGAGGCGAGGCGAGGCGCAAGACACAAGCGTCAGTTGAGTTCAGCATGTTTTAGGCCATTTTACATAGCTGTCTCGTCCAGGCCAAATCAGTCGCTTAGCAGCCGCGAACGCGAGCAAAACACACACGTTCCCAAGCACCAAACGGGCGACCTTCATTGCTGTTAACCACACATCATTTCTAAGTGCTATAAGTGAATTTTTGTCCACTTTGTCGTTGTCAAAAGCATAGTTTAAAAGCATAAAATTGTATTCAATAGAAGTGGTTTTTTAAAAATAAAATTCGACAAAGCAAAGCCTTGAAATAGCGCACAAATAGCAGCAGCTGAGCTCAAGTATTGCCTGTGTGTGTGTGTGTGTCTGTATGTGTGTGTCGGTGTGTGTATTTGTGTGCGTGTTTGTGTGTAGCTGCAGCAAGTGCGACAATTTGAGCTACTTCGGAGTGCATAATTATTTGGGTCAAAGCGAAAAGCTGCAGCTTCACCGAAACTTGATTGCTCGAAAGTTCAAACACAGCCTGCCTGGGATAATAATCCACCTGTTATGAAGGCATACACAGTAGCTTATGCCACAAAAGCACACGTTGCAAGAACGACAAAAACAACAACAACAACAACAACAGTAGCAACAGTAAGAACAACAGCAACAAGAAAAGCAACTGCAACAGCAAGAGCAACAGCCTAGACTAATACGATTGGCAGCCAGCAAATATGGAGGCCACTCAGCCCAAGGTGCATCGTCAGCATCAGCGACAACGTCGCACCGAGGCACGTCAGCGTCGCTTGGAACGTGAGGCCGCCGCAGCGGCTGCAACGCCACCCGATCTTGATGTGGAGCCAACGGCTGTCCTCGAAACGCTCGAGAGCTGTGCGGCCGCCCTCAACAATGATACAGCATCCACAACAACAACAATAACAACCACATCGGGCGCAGCGGGTCGCATCAGTGCACAAAGCTCAGCGGACAGCATTGAGATGGTCGGTTCACCCAGTCAGACGTCACAGCAGACGGTGGTGTTGGTCAATGGCCATGCACCGCCCACGCAGGATACGCTGGAGGAGAGCGCCTCGCTGGGTGCTGATGATCCAGCGGCAGAGGTGGCAACCACACGCCTCGAATCACCCACGCAGCCAACCAAGCAAAGCGATGGCAGCCGCAACTCCTCGGGAGATGCGATGAGTCTGCGTGAGACATTGCGCCAGTTGCCGGCAACGCACGGACATCGATCGAGGCGCACCCATTCGCCACAGTCGCCGGCGTTGCGTTCGCTGGAGGTGGACTCGTCCTTCCATCGCGGCATCCTCGGTTATATCGATCGCGAGCTGAAGCAGAGCTCGCCGCAGCCCTCGGCACAGAGTTTGGGTGCGGCCAGTGCCAGTACTAGTGGCGGTGGTGGTGGTGCCTCACGCAAACAGCAATCACTGTCCGATCCGCAGGCGAGTCCCGCCCAGCGTTCGTTGCGCTCGAGGAACAGCTTCGACAAGAGTCCGCGTCGCAAGCGCAGCAAGTCGGAGTCGCGCAGGCGACGCGAACGGAAGCTAATCGCTGCCGGCGAGATGGAGGTGCGCCAGGCGAATGAGACGCTGATGCGTTACCTGAAACAGTGCTCCGATATGCATGATGCATCGCTGTCTGGTGAGCTGGAAATCGATCAGAGCTTGGAGGAGCGACGTGTGCATCGCAAGACGAAATCGCAGCGTGACAAGCGGGGTCAGCTCATCAGTAAGTGTAACAGCAGCAGCAGTAGCAGCAGCAACAGTCACAGCAGCAACCGCAGCAGCTCCCAATCCCAATTCCCATTCCCCAAATGCAATTGGTATTCCATTGAGCAAAAAAGCTTTTTACGATTCTGCGCATTGACATCTCTCACTCCAACCAACTGACTCTTTCTCACTTTTCCCTCTCTGTTTTTGGTCCCTTTTTCAGGCAAACTTTACTCAGCTGGCGGTCTATCATCCATATTGAAGGAACTGGCGGATGACATTGCGCCCGCTGAGGGCGAGGAGATCTATAATCCATTCACTCCGGTCGTCTCGCCCACGGACGATACGCCCGCGCACATCGACAAAATGTTTCTGCAGACGTCATCGGGCTATCGACCAGTGGAGCACAGCTATTACAAACGTTCCTTTGTCGGTGCGGGTCGTAGTGGTCGTGGCGGTGGCGGCGGTGGTGGCGGAGCTGGTGCCGCTGCTGGTGGCACCACCTGCATCGGCATCGATGGCATCTCCGCCGCCGAACTGGGTGGTGCCGGCCGTCTCTTTCGCTCAAATGGCGGCACAGCCAGCAATCGTGGCAGCTACGGTGATACACGCTGTCTCCTCGATGCCGAGCTAAATCGGTGAGTTTTTTGACAGACCGGCGTGGGTTGAACAGAGCTGCCCTGAGCTGAGCTAAGCCGAACTGCTTTGGTCTCATTTAGTGTTGTTGTTGTTGTTGTATGTCGCGTGCACATAATCCCGATGTAGCCGGCTATTTTTAGGTTCCTTACAGCCAACATATTAAAATTGCTTGCCATATTGTTTGCCAATGGAAATTTGATTTGTATTCGTTTTATTTTGTCATTGTGTGTCTATTTTTGTACCTTAGAAAAGGGGATCGAAGGAAAGCTTATGTGATAAGCTGATTTGCTTCAGTGAATTTCACAACTATCCTCTTAGGTCATTTTAGGTATTCTGCTTCCATTTGCAGAAGACAAAAAGTTATTTTTATTATTACCAACAAGCACAACTATTACTTATGAAATTTGCTGAGGTCATTTATTGTAATTACACAAATTGCTTTTGGTACGTTGAAGAAATTAACTTTTATTTACTTTCAAGTATTATTCATTTACTCAGATATTTACTTACTCATTTGAGCTTGAGGTAATTTCATTTAATTACATTCAATATTGGTGAGAGTTTTAATAAGGACCCAAAAATGTTATAAGGCCAGTGTTAATGTCTTAATTTAAGTAGAGGGGTGTTATTATGGGAATTGTTTATTTTTAGCTTCCTGGTTATTTGCTCACCATTCACATATTATCCAAGTAGCTGAATGTAAAAAGTTATAGTTACATCATATGCTAAAAATAATGTGTTGTCGGAAAATGGCTTGCTTTAAGGGATATTTTTATTCTTCGTGAACTTTATCGTACTTCTTTGCTTAATTATTTTAAGCAATTTTCGTTCAAACTAATTTTTATCGTTTTCCCATCACATGGAACCTTTTTTTTAGTAATGGCATCTCAAGCAATATACAACTTGCCTGTGTTGTTCAACGAATTTGGCTGCTCATTTCGAATATATGCCATGGGCTGCTAGCTGGTCTAGCCTTGGCCCATCTACTCTTTGTGCTGAGCAGCCATCCCACGGATTGGGCAAAGGTCATCAATAGCATGAGTCTTGCGGGCGAGACTATAGCAATCACAACAACGGCAGCGACATTCACACAGCACACAGCAACACAGATGCCAAATTTGGGTATGGAACTCAGCAATTCGGATAAAGCAGCAGCGGATTCTGGAACGGGTACAACGACAACATCAACATCAACCACAACAACAACGTCAACGACGAGTAGCGAAACATTGTCACTGATTAGTGATTATGCTGGATTTGCGGATATGTATCTGAATACATTCTACTGCTTGGCCATCATTTGTCTGGTTTCGGTATTCGATCGGTAAGTGAAAGTTTTTGCAATTTTGTATTTGCCGAATCTTATCTGTGAAAGTGTGCTTATTTTGTTTACAAGTCAATTTAGATGCGTGCCAGTGTCCTTCAATAGGCGCACGTTATAAATAGAAAAAAGGAAAGTCAAACTCATTTAGTTCAAGTACTTAGTGAGCAGTGTGCGTGTGCGTGCTAACCAAGTGTTTTTTGAAGGGGGGTTATCAGGGGCAAGGGGTAGACAGGGGTACCAAGAACACATTGACCTCAAATGCGAAACGACTGGCCAAGGTGGAAACCCTTGAAGCGACCCGCACATTTCATTGAAAAAACACAGACACAGACACACACACACACAAACACTTGCACCTCCTGTCAAGACCAAATGAAAAGTGGGCAACCACTAGGTTCTAGTAAAGACACCCCATCCCACTCTATCAAACACAATGCTGAAGTGTGGCGCGTGGGCAATTCATGTGCGTCAATATTGCCACTTGGGACGCTCAAAAAGTATGCTATATTTATTTTTGAATTGCAAATTTCAAGAGCCTGGCTCTTTGCTTGACTTTGTTTGGCTTCGTGGCTGTTGTCATTATGTTATATAGTTAAGCAAATTTTAAACAGTACTCGTTGCGTGGCAAATTTCATCATTCTTCAATATACATAGTATACATATATATATATATGTATATACAAATTTTAATGCCCTTAAACTTTGCTCTTTTTGCGCGTGCTGCCCACACACACAAACAGCACTGACACTGCTGCACTCTTGACCTTTAAAACCAGCGCCAGTTGTGTGTGTGTTTGTGTTTGAGTTTCTGTGGGTGTCTTTTTGGAAGCACCACTGAAATTGTCTGGCGTTGTCTGTTCGCTTTCTGGCTTTAGCTGCTCTTTGCTTGCCATTTTGTCGTTTTGTCTCTGACCCAATCGGCGCTATACTTCCTCCCTAGATTCCGCAGCGACATTGGAGAAAGTGTCAAAGTCTGTCTGACATTTGTACCCGTTATCCAGTGCTCTGTGATTTATGTGATGCTGCTGCTGCTGCTTCTGTTGCTGGTGTTGCTTTGGTAAATGTCATGTACTATATTGCTTTACAGTGTTGTGAGTGGCATCACATGCGGCTTTTGACCTTTTCCAACTGGGAATGAATGGTATTTGCGAGCTGGCTTGAGTTTTTAATTTTATTACAATATGAATGTCAGAATACTTGTAGAAATGCCTGCACGTAGTCAAGTGGCACAAGCAAAGTTCATTGGGTTATTTAGTCGAGCTTGAAAAGTCAATTTTGTTTTGTGGTTTCCGATGTCAAATTTTAAAAAAATGTTACGCAAGTGCTTACTGATTTGGATAAATTAATAAAAAAAAAACATTGCCTTTTATTTTTAGCATGGACATTTGTCGTTGGAGCTTCTCAAATGCCAGTGAATTAATATCGTTTCGTTGGCTAATCATCACAATGTTATATATTGCAACCATAATCCTAACAATATGCTCCGATTCCATCGATGAGAAACTCTATCTATTCAATAATAATGCAAACATAACGCTAACCCAACAGGAGCTGGTAAGTAATGCAATTCTTTCCCGATATCTGTTTAACCTAATCAACATATTTCTGATCCACTTAAATAGCTGAGCAATAGTGTGCAGAGTGTTTGGAGCAGTTTATCGTTGACGCGAAGTATTGCTGCCATATCGGGTTGGATTATGATTGGTCTGACGCCCCAGGAGGATTTGCTGTATGAGCATCTGGTTGATCTAACCAAATATCAATTGACAAATAATTGAATTTAAGGAACGAAACAAAAATTAAAATATTGTATATACATATTTGTAGTGAGACCCTTTACTAAGTAGTTGCTGTTGTTTAGTAATTGGCTTTTTATATTGTATATGTAATATCGCAATGAGTTTGCTAAAAAAAAGAATCAACAAAAAAAAAACGACTATTTAAAACAATAACGCATAGAACTTGTATACCTAGAAAGATCGAAAGAAATAAACTTAAGCTTTAAAGACGTGAGTTAATTGTATATGTATATGTCCATCAGCAATTTGCTAATTGATGGATGGATGCCCTTCAATGGCCGCTAGAACAAAAGTTTAGTTTGTTAAGTATTATACTCAAATTAGACGGAACCAAAATTAGTTGGCAACAACTTGAAACTATCTACTGAAACTTATATTAAATATGTACTACCTACGCATGAGTACGACTTATATATATATATATATATATATGTTTGTATATGTATATGTATATGTATATATATAAATATATACTTGAGATGTAGACAGACATACATATATATATATATATATATTATAATAATTTAAGTAAACATATCGACTTTAGTGAAACATATTTATTAAATATATAAACCTTGTCATCGTTGTGGCAGTTTAACAAAAGGCTTCTTAGCTCTAAGTACACTTACTACAGTTGGTATCGGGTATGAGCAACCAAAAGCAATAAAAATGATAACAGCAAAGTTCAAATGGTTGAGCATCTATGTACATTTATATACGTTTCACTATGGATTCAAGAAATCAGTTCATTTCACAAATACACACTGTAAACATACTAAATTATGTACTTATAAGGTCTACAAACTGTATATTATATTATTATGTACATTTACATGGAGAATGTACTTAAGCGTTTACCATTTTTGTACTTAAGCGTTTACCATTTTTGATTCCTGTCCATTTATGTTAATAATATGTTGATAACCATTAGCTCCAAATCAAGTAAAACTCTTTAAGTGATTGGATTGTAATCGGAAGATTCATGTATATATTCGACAATAAGTTAAAATACTCAATTCTTCAAAATTGCAATTATTTCTTATATGCATTAGCGATATCCACTGTAGTAGTTAACCACAATTGATAAATGCAAAAGAAAATCTGTAAAGCGTTAATTACATACATAATACAAATGTATATAGTATAAGGATATGTATACTATACATGCATATATACCTATTATGCGACTATTTCGAATTATATGCTATACACGAATCGAATTGTATAAAAATGTTAAGATTATTTACCCATTATATAAATATATTATAATTGCGTTGAGCCAAAATATACCTACGTTGATACTAATTGGTTTTTACATTTTGCAAGCAACACGTTTTGGCTCTACTATATTTTTTTTCTGTGCAATGCAAGATTTAAGATAATATGAAACAATTATTATATATACATATACATATGAATACTGAAAAAATGATACGGACAAACGAGCTAATGAAACATGCAGAGCAAACGGCATAATGCAAAATATATTGTAAAATTGTATATAAAATATAAATGCAAATAAAAAATTGTACAAACAGCAAACAGATGAAAATGAAGTTATATTTTCCTACATTGGAGTTAGTGGATGGATGAAGTAACTGGGTGAAGTAACTGGGTCTTGTAGAAAGTATATGCTACTTTGATTCCAAATGGCATTGGCTAAACTTTTTTTCGTAGAGTGAATAATACAAATATGAACAGAAGAAGCATTTAAATTTAAAATATTACTGATTTAATTGTTAAACTTATATTTGAACAGTTTTTTTTTACTAACAGCCACTCTATTGCAACCTGAATTGAATAACTTTATTCAGGAAAGATTACATTGCTTTGGTATAGGTTAATATGTCCATCCATTTCTCTTAAAATAGTCATCCCAGTGAACAAGAATATTTTGTATATAGGCGGAAATGTTCAATTTAATTAAATGGATCGTTCTCTTACCTCTGTGCTCAAGATAAAAATTGTTTAGAGCTGATTTTAAAAGTAAAATTAACGACCCGTCTGAAGCGTCTAAGGACTTACCTGTTTTTTTGATTACGTGCAGAAAGTATATGATTAAATGGCAAGCAAAGTGACATTTTATTGTTTACGTATACCTAAGGCAATAAAGTGTAATAACACCAGGTCCAGCCAATAAAAGAGTAAATCTAATTCCAAAATTGGCAATTAAGGCACATTCCCCAGCCACAATAACTTCAATAATAAAATGAATAAGTACGTGTCGGATCTTTAAGTACAGCCCATTCCATTGGCGCATTGTCCTTAGTATCGTAAACGATTTTAATGAGGTACTAAATGGTTGCAATTGCCAGAAAAACAAAGCAGTAAAAAGAAGACGACTCCAAATACAACAACTGGAGGGTACGTGTTTTCCAATTTAAATATTTAACTTTGTACTTATGCCTTTTTAATTTTATAATTGTAATCGGCCAAAATGTATGCATCACACAGGGCGTATAATTAATCTTTTGATGTGTAAATGTGGCACGTAAGAACATTAATTAGCTGTAAATTGTGTGGAAAATATAATATTTCGTGTAACATGTCTGACAAGTGGCATTTAAGAAATTTACATAAATGATTTCCAGGGAGATTGCCTTTTTCTTAACACATCTTTCTTGTGCTGCCACGGCAAAAGTTATGTCGAAGCAAACTTTTAGCTTGTTAGCCAACACGAGCTTACTTTTTATACAAAATGTATAAATCTGCATACGTAAAAAATGGTGGACGTTGGCCACTAATATTAGCTGTGTGTTTCAATTTATCAAAGTACTTTCAATTTTATTTTTTGAAAAAAGTTTAAGGCAAAGTTGCTTTCAAGTTTATCTTGTTAATATGTTAATCATGTTGTAACTAGACAATTTACTCGTAAGTGTATGGCAACTTAATGCCAAGAGTCATCTTTATTTCATTGTGTGTCAGCAACCTGGGGATGGGGTAGGTCTGCGGCTAACGAGGTAAACGCATTACCCTCATTAAGCACTTGCTGCAATTATGGCGCTAATTGAATTTCAAAATGACTATAATGAGTCAACAAAAGCCTCAGCAGGAGAGCAGGATAAGTTATGCTCTGGCATGAAACTGCCAACATTATGTATATATATATGGCTCACTAAAGGCGACCTTGTAATGCACTATTAATAAGCTCAGAGCATAGGCTAAACTAAAAACTATAGATAAATACTTATATTTGTGATATAGTTATAAATTACATATGACTGTCAAAGAAGCCCAACATTTATATAGAAACTTATAGAGCTGCAGTCATATCAAACATATTGCTTATAGTATTTTAATTTGATCTCTTAGCTAATGTTAACTTTTAATTAGAAAAGCATCGTAAATATGATTAAGTTACTCTTAGAAAGGGAACTAAATGTACTCGGACTAGTAGATGAAAAGATAGGCTCCTGTAATTAGGTTAAACACACACGTGGCGTAAAGTGTCATCGTCATGAGTGTGTGTGAGCGTGTGTGAGCGTGTGTGTTACTAGAATTGAGATAAAACGCTGTGAAAATTAGGTGAGACAATGCCATAAAACAACCAGCGGCTGGTGACTTGAATAAAAACGTCACGTAATTTGCACATTTAACCGCATGACAGCGAAAAAAATTACGCAACACAAAAAAGCATACAAATGACAAAGAGGACAGTTGGTGTGCGTATGTGTGTGTGTGTGTGTGTATGTGTTTCCTAGCAGTGTCTAAATTACAATTACACAGCCAGGAAGCAAGCACTCAAGTCAGCAACTGTCATCACTTGGCTGCTGTTTTGGATCTGGCCGGACATACGAGCATATGGCAGGATAATTATCCTGTTGCTTGTCCTGTTGCTCACTTGTAGCTCAGTTTTCATTTACACACAGTGTCCCACTTCAGCCTGATGTTTATCGATGTGCTTACGAAGCTAGCTGCCATAACATGATGGGCTCTTACCATGCTCATTGCGAATGTCCGGGGTTGATTAAATAATAGAAATGATGTGGCATATATTGGAATTGTAGTTATAATTTAATATGGATGTGATACAAGTGACTGAGGATTTTAATTCAACAATGTCAAAACTATTTTATTCAACAGATCATTCAACATAACATTAATTACGAGATTGTTTAAACTTGGAAAATGCACTGCTTTATGATTTTTTTTTTTGTTTTCTCAGTGAATAATTAACATGTTTTCTTAGTCACTCTTCAATTTTGAATGAGAATTTTAATAGAACATGCTAATCATTTAATTTAAGATATATCTTATTTCACAATATACGAACATATTAAAGGGTATATAATCGTGTCTGTCATGATAGACACTAAGGAAAAATCCCAGCTTGTAGCCTGGAACTTTTAATTAAGTGAGGAGTTTGCCGAGCACCGAGTAGCGCTCCGAGTGCACACAAAATGAACAAATAAGCGTATAAATAATGCCTTAACGGCACAGGCACACACAATACCATATTGAGACTGTGTGAAGCAATGACAAGAGAGTGCGAAATATGAGCATCAACTGCGACAATGGCCAGAATGGCGACTCAGCAATGCGAAGAGCTGGCTGTCATTGTCAACCATGTGAATGACATTCACAGACGATGGAGCCAGCCCAAATGGCTGGCTTCGAGTTACACTGGCTTTAAAATTTCAGTTCTAGCCATTGTGGTTGCTGATCAAATACGACACTCTGCTAAGACACACACACACACACACACAGTGACACATGCACGCACTGGCGCCATAGACATAGACATACGCATCGTATACGTAATATTGTTAGTCAGCAAGTAGCAAATGGGGTCATTAGCCGAGTTGTGGTATAACTACCTGCGAACGAACAAAATAACCTAAGTAGCTGAAAACAGCCATCGCTATAAAACCATTTATGAGTGCTGGTTCATTGGTCCAATGCGATAAGCAGACAGCTTATTGTTTATGTTGGCCAACCCAATGGGCGTGAGAATTTTACGAGAGAACGCGTAAAAATATAGACAGCACTTGCTGCCTAAAAGTATACACAAAGTGCAAATGTTTTTCCTTATTGCAATATAAGATGAGAAAATTGTGGTTTGTGTCGAAAAGCATAAAACTGAATGTGGAAACCAAAGTGCCAAAATGCCTTTCAAAGAGTCCAACATTTATTGATGCTCAAGGCTTATATATGTAAGTGAAAGCACTAGTCTTAAAGAGTTTTCGTACTAATAAGAAACTAGAACTTTTCAACTTTTAAGAAATCCATTTAAATTACTCTTCTTACTACGCGCACATTTTGGCGATAAAATACATTCTATTTTCAATTGACATACATTGAAGTACTTTTCTAGTTCATATGAAATACATTTAAGAACTTTTCTAGTTGCGCTAAAAATATGTTTTGATCCAATTTGAAAAAAAAAATTATTAATGTATTTTCTGCGTGCTTTTACTTTGGAAAGTTTCATTATTTATTGACCAAAGCCAATTGCTTGGTTGCGATTTGATGAAAATGGTTTATGGCCAGGTCCCAGGAATTCCCAAGTTGACAATGCTTACAGACGAGGGTAGCCAATCACCCCACTCGGATTTTAATGCAACTATACTCTAGTTTTGAAATATACGTGACCTGTCACAAGTTGCTATTATTGTACCTTAAGCTGATCGAATTGTCGAATTAAAGTGTAGCAATTGTAATATAAAATTGCACAAAAAACGATTTTTCTCAGCTGGTACAAGTACCAAATGTGGCAAAAATAGTTTGGAAATGTTGAATATAATTGCAAAAACGTTTAACCATTTGAAATGGAATTCGAAAAGGGGGCATATTAAAGTTGGGTAAAATATATTTAAAAAGTTCTACATAAAATAGCATTGATACAATTTGAAATAGTATTTGAAATGGGTGTATATTTGAGCTGTATATAATGTATTTAAAAAGTTTTAATTTAAATTTCATTGATCTCAGAAAGTTTTATACAGTTAATAGCACTATACCTTTGATATCTTTAATCTCTTTTCAAAACATAGTTTTTAATTCTGGGAATATGCACATCTGGAATTTATTGTAGAGTATTTGGTGTGCGAGGTTTTTGAAAAGGAGCACGTTCAATTGTTTTAGTAGTTCATGCTGCAAGTAAAGCCAAATTGCCGTTAATACTGCAGAGACTACCTGACAGCAAGGACTCCACGTGCCCAGCTTATTAGACTGAACATATCGTAAGCGTGGACCATGCTTTGCATTTAAATGACCCACATGTGGTAAGAGGGTTTTGTTACCTTGGCCCACATAAGTTCAAAGATACATATATGCTATATACGCGCATTATACATACACGTTGTGTGTGGCATCGTTTTTTTGCGCTACTTTCACGAATTTCAATTTGTAGGTCCTTGGCTAGCACTTGGGCCACTTTAAGAGCCACAAGCGAAGAACTTTTGGGCTCATTGGTTTCGCGCAAGTTACTTTTCAGATTGTGGCCCCAAAATCTGCTTGACATATACGATTTTTTGTATTTTATTTTATTTTATTTTTTGTTGGCATTGCTTTTGTCTTGTTGCGCTCTGGTGGTTAACAGCTCTCGCCTTGATGGCTTCTTATCCAAGACTCAGCTGCATTCTATCTTCATAAAAGTCGCATTGAGCACCAAAAAATTTCCATAAATTCGTTGGGATCGCGCCCAATCAATGAACACACATAAATTCAGAGCTATCCGTTTGACTCTAATGGTTTTTTTTCTTTTCATTCTTTGGCCAGCTGCTGGGGAAATCCTTCATTGTAGGATGGAGATGAACATTATTTGTGCCATCTTTGCAAAAGTTCTTATCGCTTGCTTAGGTGGCCTGTCATTGTCGTTTCATCGATGGCATAATTTATTTGCCATAAAACATGAAATAAAATATTTTCGCTCGTAAATTATGAAGTCAAACGGTGAAGTAGCAAACTTACCAAGTCACTAAGCAAGCCACATAAAAACAAATCCAGCTCACAGACACATATTTCTCATTTGTATTTTACAAATGCGCACCATCACATCAGACAACATATATAAATTTATTCCAATTAAGCACGCACGTATAACAGCGTATATGTCAAAATTCTGCTATAAGCACATAAAATAAAGTCAAAAGATAGCTGCAAAATCAAAAGACTTGCCTCTTCTTAATTATTTGAGTCAGCCATGAGATATTCCCCTCCTCTGGTGGGGCAAGATGTGGCGCAAGCACATCTGAAATTAAATGTTTTTTTTTATATTAAGTGCTAAAAATAAATCAAGCAAATGTGTATAGAAACATATGTTGATATTTTTTACTTATTCACAAGAGCATCAATAGACAGAGATGCGGCAAAGGGCAGTGACGAAGACAAAAAATAATTATAATGTGTGAAAAATGTGTACAATTCTCTCTCTTGAGTATAACGTAAATATAAAGAATGGTCAACGTTTAAAGTATAAAATTAGATTTTACAGAACTTTGTGTACACATTATGTAAATCATATATATGTTTAAGCATATGATTACCCTTAACTGATTAATTATGTGCATAAGATAATAATTACTTTGAATCTTATTAGTTTTGTCTGTTAAAGAAAAGTTTAATATTTATATGTATATTAATTTTTTTGTTTTAAATATATTAAAATGGATTTTTTATGAGTTGTACATTTTATTTAGCAGTGTACATATGCAAAATTAATGCTTAAGCTTCTAATACAGCTTGAAGCAATGTGCAAATAGTCGAAAAGAAGAACACAGCGACATATGTAAATTATGTTTCAGATTTAGACTGAGTTGGAAAGCCCAGAATGACTTTTGGTTAAGTTCATTTGGAAAGCAGATGCCAACCTACCTGCCTGCCTGCCAGATCTATGTGGCGTATGCGCAACGCGGATTTACTTTACAATGTCAACAGCTTCGGGAACTGTCTGGTTGGCTGCTCATATGCCATACACACACACACACACACACACACACACACACACACACACACACACACGCAAACACACTAAGACACGTGAAGTCGGCCAACAAAGCAAATAGAAATTCACAGGAACGACGCAATGCTTGAAAATTGTACAGAATTTTCCCGTTGCTTTAAGAAGGGAGCCTGCAGGAGTTTGGAAAATTGTTAACAGTTCAGGTAGGCTAAAGCCCTTTGTTTATGCTCATATGTGTTACGGGCAGGGCAGGCCAGAATGGAAGGGAAACTAGTCACTCCACTTGGACTCACATGAAATGTGTGTTTAAAAAGTATGAAGCCTCATTCCCAGGAAGTAAGGAAAAGTGTCCACTTACCAGACCCCTGAAAGAGATGAGCCTGTGAGAATACGTTAAAAACGAGCTTGAGTGGAGTTTATGTGGAGTTAAGTGGAACGGTTGGTTGAAAATGAGGGTGGGGGGAGGGGAGGGAGTGTAAGCGGTAAGTCCACAGGCCTTAATAAATAAATCGCAGCTGCATCAGTTGACAGTATCGCAACCGGGGGCCTCTTGACAATACCCCTCACATCTTGTGATTTCCTGTGGAACACACAAGGAAGATAACAAATATTAAGTAAGCAACTTTGGGGGTTGAGGCGCTTGCGGCATAAGTGGCAGATGAATAAGTGGAATGGATAAGACTTAAATATATATATTTACTACACACAATACAATCGGGCAGATGCTTTGCTCAAAATGTGATTAGTCAAGCCACTTCAATTCGAATCTGTGCATTCTTTGCCTAATAACATTATAATAAAAAGATTTTGCATGTATTAAAATGTTTGCTCTTTGGAAGTGAACATGACTTTAATTTAATTCCATTTTGTTACATAAAACTTTGAGGAACTTTTTGCTTGAAACGGTATTTAAGTATATTTAGCATATTTTATCGGCCTAAATAATGGCCCTTGGCCCTATTTAAAAGTTTAACCTTTGAGGTAAGCTGAGAAAATTTAAACAATAATAATGAAAAACCTGTAAAGATAAACAAAAAAAAATTTCATGCTGATCTTTCAGAATGTAAATGTAATCTATATAATTTATTTTGCATACGGCTTATACAAATTAGATTCAGTTGAAGTATTCTTTTGAGCCACATGTAATTCATGTAAGAGTTTTACTAGAATAGAAGAAATTGCTCAACTACTCAAAACAGCACAATAAAACTCACTCAAACGGATTCACTCGCCTGCAGTTGAGTGAAAAGGGGCCAAATGCCTTCGGTATGGTGGTAGGAAATTACAATCGGGTTTGCCGACAGTATTTGACGATGGACTCGAGCGCTTATCAGCAGCTAACCTGTTGGCTAACGGCATTGCTGGCGCTAGAGTCTCTGCAGCAGCGACGCCTCGTGACGTTCTCGTTGTCGTTGTCGTCGTCGTCGTCGTTGTCGTCGTCACACACGGCGTATGACAAAACAGAAACAGCGAGGGCCGAGTTCGAGGCTGTCGTCAGTTGCTTGTGTTTCCTCGTTGGCGTTGGACGCGAAGCGGCAAATGTGAGATAAGTTTATATAAATAAACTACGAAACATCTTCTCAATTCATTATCTAAATAAACAGAAAATACGCAGCGTTGCGTATACGCCGCGTTTGCCCATAGGCAAAAGTGAGTCTCGCGCGTGATTTTGTGAGGTGACAGCAGAAATAAAATACAATACAATAAAATAAAACAAAAAATATAAAAACAAATCCCAGCAAGTGCCAGAGCGTGCTCGAGTGCGCGTCCGCAAAGTTACGGTCTATGGTCTACGGGTCTACGGTGTACGGATCTGTGACTGCAGTTCCGTTCCGCTTCTGTTGATAGCATCGCGACGCGTCGTTTGGCATAAAGTTTTGGCTTTCGCTTTTGTTGAGCTGCCTGCGCCACGCTTTAGTCTGAAGTGCAAGTTAAACAGGCAACAACTTAAGTTTAAGCTTGAAATTGAATCAATTGTTGGCAGGTAGGTAAAAAAAAAATAAAAACATCCACACAGCTGTTAACTCCAAATCCTCAGATGGAAAATGTACTTGCTAATAAGTTGAACATATTTGGGATGCTTGATCCCAGACTGTATTTTTTAACTGCCGAACAAATTCAATTTCCAGACAACTTTTTCTGTCATCGCATAAAGAAAAAAAGTTTTGATTTTGTACTCAAAACAGTCCCAACCCGAATACAACTTTTATTTCGACTGCTTGTTTTGCGACATAACAAAAAAAAAACTTAGAAAAAAAGGAAAGAATGCCAAAGAAGTATGTCTTAAAGAACAAAAAAACATTCCCATGCCATAACAAGTCAAATGCATTTCGGTCAGGCAAACAAAAGAGATGCGAAAGAAATGAGAAGCATTTTTATACTGTTAGCAACTTTTTACGACAGTGGCAAGAAAGTTCGTGACCGTGACTTAATTAAGTATGTAAATGGGAATATTAATGGGTATACTCACCGACTGTCAAATCGATTGTTTATGCAGCCTCTGACACCATGCCAAATTTGCAAGTCAAAAGACAATTGAACTGTCATCAATTCATCCGTACATCTATTTGTCAAGTCAACCATTCACTTTAATTGGTATCATCTGACAGCAGTGTCTCCCATCAATTTATATCTGAAAATGTATCAATGTGGCCACACACACACATGTTACTTTAATTGCTTTATCTTGTCTTGAATCTTAATGAATACGGGTAACAGCTTGATGCTCAGTCTGTTCTACTATGCATATACACTTTTATCTGTATGTTTGTCTGTGCAAATGCTGTAATCCCGTGTCTGCATATGCATAATGCAATAATGTTGGTACATTTTGCATTCATGAAATTGTAGGCTTAACTCAATAGAATCTAATAAAAAACTCATTTTTAATACATTTCGTGCTTTTTTTCAATTATGCCAGGCTTATAGCAGTAATTTATTATAAATATACAGAAGCATTGGCAGCATTTAATCAGTACAATACCAAAACAACGAGTTGCCATCGGTTATCAAGGTCTTCAATCATTGGAGTTCAAAGATATGCTTGGTTCCTTGATAATAGCAACCAGGCAGCCAAATGGGTTTGAAATAGAGCGTAAAACGCATTTAAATTTGCATATCAACGCGAAACTAGAAAATGGCAAATAGTCGCTGATACCAGCGAATTTTATAAAAAGGAAGACGACATTGACGTTGATGTTGATGTTGATGCTGATGTACATGTTGTGCGCCTGTCCTCAGGTCTTATCAGGACGAAGAAGGACGAATGTGCTTAAAATGTCCAACCAACTCCCACTGCAGATGTCACCTGATGTATATTTGCATTTAAATCAACCAACCTTTCCGGTTTTGGGGGCGTAAAGGGCTGTGAAGGTCAATGTTTACTTGCTGTGGACGGTGATAATTTGTGCAAAACATTTCATGCTGCGTTTGTTTACGATACCCTCTAAAAGAACAGCAACAAAAGGGCTGATATAACAAGGCCGTAACGTTGTTTACTTTGTTATTGAATTCGCGGAATTTTATATAGCCTACTTCTTGGGGAATAGCACAGAGAGAGAGAACGTGTCTTACATTCCCCTATCTCGTCTTGCTTTGTTTTTATTGCGCCTTTTTATTGCTCTGCAAGTTTTGCATAAATTATGTAAAATAAATTGTTTGTATGTGTGTGTGTGTGGGTGTGTATTTTTTGGTCAGCTCATTGGGTTGGGATAGGTTAACTGTAACGGCTGCCGAAATTCATTTGATTTCTGGCAGTCAGTAACAAGTCACAGGTGACATTTTTATGGCCAATCTGCGCTGGCAATAAAACGATTGCCTTTTTACTCAAGGACACCGAACATTGGAAACCACAAAGCAGTCAACAGATGCCACATCTAATCGACTTGCTTGCGGCATATTAGCAGTCAGTCATGCCCACATAGATGCCGCATCATATTGGTTCACGTCCGCGTCCACGGCAAGGCTAGGATTTCGAAATTTCTCTAGGGAACAGCGGCACATAGTTGTTTCGCTCTCATACGAAATGAGCGCTGGGATAGGCGGTGCGTTCTCAATTTACTATCCATTTATTACTTAGCAATCTAAACATAACCAGCCTGTCTGGAGGATTATGATTTTGCCGTTGTTCAACATTCACTTTATTTAATAATTTACGCACTGTGCTGGGAATTGAGCCATGTATCCAACGAAGACCTTAATGCTTACCAAAAATTAATTATATTTCAATTAAATGAGAGGTTAGATCAAATATTCTACTCACACTAAAATTGTACACTAAAACCACGTCGAGTTGCGCTCAAATTTGTGGATAACCTTATACTCTTTCTAGTAACGTGAACTATCAGTTTAGTAGAACATTCATTATTGAAGATGTTAAATAAGTTAAGAGATATTATTACTTATTTCTTTCTGATTAATATAAGTTATGAACATGTGAGAATTAATAATTTGTTGAAGAAAATTTAATATATATTAAATATTTGATTTTAAAACCTCTTCAGTTTAAGATGTTTTTAATTATTTGAAAAATTTAACTCAAGATTTATGAACAAACATGTTGAAGGAATATGTATTGATATAATAAGTCATAATAATAATAAAGAAAAGTATTCCATTTGTAAGTGTGTGTTCAATTCGTGTGATTTGTTGAGCCATACATTGATTTTCGCCATAATCATCGGGTGCTTTGACGCGGTTACATTGTTGTGGTCTGTGGTCGCGGTCGCATCACGGTTCAAATATCATTAAAATGCAAAAATTGATGAGCGCAGCGCGAGCAAAGCAGCCAAGAGACCAACCTTATGGGCTGGGGGAGAGGTAGGGGAGAAATGGAGAAAGTTGCTGTGTGGCTGTGTTAGATTTGTGTCTGGTGCTCCTGCTGAGAGTGGCTGTGGTGCGGTGGATTTATCTGTGGGTTGGTCGGCGCCTGAAGTGAGCATTTAATTAATTTTGCTGCTAAAAACGCCATTTACAACATTCAGTCTGCTTTCAGTCAAAAAGAATTTAGCTGCTCATTAATTTACATAGACTAAGACAGCAGCTAAGATAATGTGTACGATGCACTTATATATTATATGCACATATCCATTGGGACAGCTTGTAGTATAGTTTTTAAAATAAGCAGAAGACAAATGGGGACGAAGAAGAACCTTAATTGGATTTTAATGAATATTTTTCACAGAGTATCAATGAAGATTTGCATTCTAATATCTGAGCAGAAAAAAACACATACTTTACATTGTTAGCTTTCAATTAAAGCTGAGTGTTACTTTCAACAAAAGGGAAAAAAGACAACATCAAATTGTGACAAGCAGACAATTTTCGATGTTCAACACAATGATGGCCAGCAACCATCGAGAAACACCAGCCAATGGACCAACATTATGTTGGGTTTCTCTGGCCATCTTTTATGGTGTACGATAAGCAACGATATTTTCACAGTGCACTGCTCTTCTGATAAGACAATAACAAATGATACGCTGAAAGGCAGGCAACAAAAAAAAATAAAGGTTCAGCAGAGTACAAGAAACCCTTGCAGAGTAGTGCCATTGTCTTCTGCTTAGCCGCAAAATAGTTGCAATGGCTCTCACGGCAGTTTTGACAGCTTCGACGCTGCATCGGAATGCCAACTAATAATGGTGTCTTTGGCCCTTGAACCACACCGATTTTGAGTCACAGTGCAATCGCTACCCTTGAAGTGCTGCTATTGGAAACTAAAGTTGTTTTAGCAACAAAAAAGCGTCAATATTGTGCTTACGGGAGTACAAAAGTGGAAGAGTTCGAGAAATTTCTGCAATAAAAATTCATTGATTTTCATTTGCGTGGGCACAAGCCATTGAAGGGTTTGTGGTAACTTTTAGTTGTATTAATATTGGTTTTATACGGTGCCATGTGCCATATGCCATGGTACCGTGTGTTTACCCGCAAAGAGAAAGGAACGTGCTTGTGCAAAAGGTTGTTCAAACAAATAGCATCAAAAGACAAGAGAAAATCGCATGAATTTCTGGGCAGGACGGTCCTTTGGTTTTGTAGCTCAGATTTGGGACAACTGAAAAGGTTAAACGCCCAAGCAAGTGAGCAATATGAGCAATGACAGCATACACTCCAAACAGATAAGGGACTTGGATGAATGGGTTAAACATGTCAGATGGTTAGATTAGGAAAACTTTAAGGTTGTTGAGTTTCAATGATTTGGAGGCTTGTGGTAAATCAATATCAGTTTTTTTTAATTAGTTTCGTCGTGTAATCCTATAACTTAATAATTTTCATAAATTTGATTAGTATGCATATCTATTTTTCAGTTTTTTGCTCTCACTTGGCCATAGATCAAATAGAGCCTTAACTTATTATCCTCAATAATTTAACGGTCAATTCAATTTAAGGTTAAAAAAAATTGAGAAAGCTTTTGCCCACTGGAAAATGCAATTGTTGTCTAAACAAAGGAAGAAGGGCAAGCCACAAGACAAGCGGACAGACAGATTGACAGACAGACTTATACTCTAGACAGGCAGATGTTGATAAGAATACATGAGCAGACAGACAGACAGACAGACATGCTGGCCTGTCAAAGAATCGTCGTTAGCCAGACCGCCTGCCATTTGGAAAATTACTCATTTTTATACACGTATGCCCCGGAGACTCAACCCCACTGCCTGCCTGCTGGGCATGTGACACTCAGAGTTCACCATTGCCAGCGTGTCCTTGGCATTTTATTTTAGCCATTGCTTGCGTTTTGGTTATTATTCGCCACTGACGAGGTCATTTCAACTTTCAGTGCACACTACGAATAATTCTCAATTATATTCTTTGCTTAGTAGTGCGAGAAAACGCATCGCCTCTGGAACGGCAAGGAAGCAGTTAGTAAGCTTATGCTAAATTATGGAACATTTAACGCAAAACGAAATATCTGACAGTAGTCGAGTTGCAGTACTTTCACAGTACTCGAACTCAACTTGTAGATATTTCGTTTACGTTAAATGTTCC